CGCAGAGACAGTTACGTGGACAAGCACTACCACAAGGGCAGAGACATCGCCCGACGAAGCGGCTGCGACGATGAGGCTTGCAAAGAATATGCTAGATCAGCTCGTGCAGCAGCAGCAAAGCTGTGGGACAAGTGATGCTACCCTGCAGGGCCGAAGGCTCGTGCAATTTGGCCATCGAAGCATGAGACTCCTGGGGAGCCTCCGGGCTATAGCAGGTTCCATGGGACATGGATGCATGTCTTTAGATGGCGCTTGCTGGGTGTTGAGGATGGTCTCGCTCAAGTGTTTAAGAGAGCTATCCGAATCATTGGCCGTGAAGCCAGTGCTGGGGGAAGCAGAAAACGAAGGGATTGCGCCATGCTGACCATGCAAGCTGTATGCAAACATTTAAGCTTCAACTTTGCGACTTTAGGGTTTCAAGCTTTGGCATATGGGTTATTTTCTTGTTTTCTTGGTTTAACCATTAATGGCTAAACCAAGAACCTGAAACCTACAATCTAAAAGGTAGTTTCATGTTTTCGGCTGTGTCAGGCTTCAGCTTTTCAAGCTGAAGCATTATCATGGTTTAGGGGTTTTAAGGCTGCAGCTTTTCACACTGCATGGAACATTATCAGCCAGTCTCGACTACTATGCAAATTTCGTGCATGGTTCGAGGCTTTAGGCTTCACAGCACTCGTATAGCCCACTGCCTGTCAGACTCGGACAACCCAGTATGGCTTTAGGATTTGTTCTTCAAACCTTCGCTTTGCAAAGCTTTTTCGCATGCTATCTTTTTTTGCCATGGGAGGCCTGCACTATGCAGGGAATGAATATAGACCGTATAGGAAATATGTGCATTTATTTCTTTTTTGAAGTATTGTGATGAGCCATGCACGAAACTCGCTAAATCAGGGTATCTTTTTGAGTGGTGTCAGCGGCCATGGACAGAGGAGCTAAGCTGCAGAAGCTGGAAGCTTTCAAACGAAGGCTACCGCCTATGTCGGCTGCAGCCATGTCTGCTCTTTTGCAAGCGGTGGAATCGTCTGGCCTACCGGAAATGCATGGAAGAAAACATGTCAAGGAGGCGACAGAGAATGCACTCGAACAGCATTCTGCTTATGGTCCATTGCTTCAGAGCATGGCAGTGCAGGACAAGGATGGTGCTGAACAGACTCTCATATTCGTCAATTTTTTTTCGTTGCTACAAGCCCTGTGGCTCGCCTCTGCTGAGTGGAGACGATTGCTCCATGGCAGTAGCACTCGTGCTCCTTGCAGGCTAATCTTTTACTCCGACGAAATCAATTGTGGAAACCCGTTGGCGCCTGAAGCATCCCGGAAAGTCTGGGCAATCTATGTATCATTTTTTGAGCTAGGCCCCATCAACCTGAGTAAAGAAGCCTCATGGCTGCCGCTGTGCTTGGTCAGAACCACTGTGGTGTCCAATTTGCCTGGTGGTATGAGCCAAGTGGCTGGCATGCTGCTGAAATCTATCTTCGTCTCTGGCAATGCGAGCCCTGAAGCAGGAGTGCTGTTGAAGCGGCCTGATGGTGGAAGAGCCGAAAGGCTGTTTTTCAGGCTCGCTGCATTCCTACAGGATGGAGCAGCACACAAGCTGCTTTTCTCGATAAAGGGGGACGCAGGTACTCGGTGTTGCTTGCTTTGCCGAAACATTCTGGCGAACAATAGCATTGAGCTAGCAGAAGCTCGATTGCTGAATCAGTGCTTCAAAGAGGCTGATCTGCAACTGAACAGCGACGAGGATTTCAGCCGAAGCATCATGAAGCTGTTGGAGAAACATGAAGAGCTGACGAAGACCGACTTTGCTTTGTGGCAGCAGGCCGTGGGCATCGTTTATCAGCCTGAGAGCTTGATCTTTGACCCGGAACTCTGCACTGTCGCCAAGCCTGTCAGCCAATGGCTTCACGACTGGATGCATGCCTTTTTCGTCAAAGGCATTTGGATGCTTGGTTTTGCATGTAACAATATATACGAAATACCAGTTCTTTTCCTTTCCTGCACTGCACTTGTTGGCATGATCATTTTCTTCCTGCCTGCCCAGCCCCGACTCTTGGCAGGAACACTTGCATGCAGCTCACTATGAAAGCTGCTGAGAAAGGCCTTGGCCAGGACTTCTACAAGATCTGTGCTGATTATGTGGAGCAGTGGATTTTGCCTCGTTCGAAATCGCAGAATCTGGCTAAATTGTTTACTGCGAAGAGGAAGGAAGCCAACAAAAGCGCTGAGACCTTCAAGTGCACAGCTTCCGAAGCCCTGGCATTGTATCCCATCTTCACGTGCCTTTTGGTAAATGTCTTGCAACCCTTGGGAATCTGCTCCATGGAAATCGCTGTATGCATACACCTCAGAGATGTGCTCGAGCTGCTTCAAGCTGTGCCCCATGGGGTGACGACACCTCAAAGATTGAGAACAGCTGTCGAGGGCTTCTTGTGCAGTGCTCGAGATGCAGGGTGGCAAGATGATTTCCACCCTAAGTTTCATTGGATACTCCACTTACCTCGGCATTTAGCCAAATTCGGCTGTTTACCTTCTTGCTGGGTTCAAGAACGAAAGCACAGACACATCAAGAGACACGGTGCTCTCATGCACAACACGAGTCACTTTGACAAGTCCTTGCTAGTGGAGGCACTGGGCCAGACTTTGGCGGACTACCAGGACGAGCACCTCTTCGACACAGCCGCAAGGCTGCACCAGAAATGCAAGCCGTCCAAGCAGCTGAAAGGCTTCCTTCGCGAAGTCTTGCCACTCGACGAGGAGGTCTACACATGTGCAGCAGCTCACTTGGCTCCAGCCGGCCACTGTCACAAGGGAGATGTTGTGATCATGAGAAGCTGTGAGCTTGCAGAGGTCTATTTCCATGCCGAGGTTGGAGGCAAGATGTTTTCGTTGGTCAACGTGCTCGAGATGCAGCAGCATGACTGGAAGCATGGTACATGCATCTGTCAGAAGCAGGAAGCTGCGAGCTTGGTAGAGACCGAAAACATCATGGCTGCTGTCGCTTATAGCAGAAATGCTGACGGCAGCCTTCGGGCTTGGATCCCGAAGGAATGCAGACCCTGATCGCGAGAGCTGCCGCTTACAGCAAAAATGCTGACGGCAGCCTTCGGGCTTGGATCCCGAAAGAATGCGGACCCTGATCGCGAGAGCTGCCGCCGCATTTCGGAAAAAATGCGTGCTATGACTATACATGCTTCTACACAATTAGCACGATGCCGTGCCACATGTTCAAACCTTGTAAGAGCCCATGGGCTTTTGTATACTTTCCTATACTGCAACTCAAGTATGAGCTTCCTGATTTGTCTGCCCATGTTTCTTCTAAAAGGCTAATCTTATGATCAACTTTCGATGTTTCTGTTTGATACGAAGGACTATTTATGCTTACTAACTAGTTAGCTAACTTCTTAGCTAAGTACTTAGCGACACAGCTAACTAGTTAGCTAATCGGCTAGCTAAATACTTGCTTAACCACTTAGCTAACCATTTCTCAAGTGTTAGTAATCTCTAGTATATGAACATAAGCTTTAATAAACACTATAACCGCGAGCGATCTTTAAAGTTCTTCGTCGGCTACCACCTCGGCCGCGTCCGTGGGCGAGAAGACCGTGCCGGTGGTCGCCAAGCCGGTGAAGAAGCCGCCTCCGCCTGAGCTGGCCGGGCAGGCTATCGCCCCCATCGTCAAGCCCTTCGTCAAGGCGCCACCCCCCCCTCTGGTGGTGGAGCCGGCCACGGGGGCGGGAGCCCAAGGGGCAGGCACACGCCAGTCGTCGGGCATGTTTGGTTCGGCGGCGCCTTCGTCAAGGCCTCCGCCAGTGAAGAAGGCGCCGGCCCCGCCGCCGGCCGCTGCACCGGCCGCTGAGGAGCCTACGCCCTACGAGCGGCAGCGCCGGGCGATATCTCAGGAGAACGCCCTCCGGGCGCTTGCTGGTATGGGGCCGCTGAGCTTCGACGTCACGTATGACGAGATGCTCCAGCTCCGCATCCAGCGCGAGATGCGGGAGATGACGTCGCCGCCGCCCCCGGCCAAGCCGGCTGGGCATACGGAACCGGAGGTGATCGTCCCGCAGAGTGGGGCGGATCCTGAGCGCGACCATCCGCCCAGCGCCTCAGCGGGCATCCCGCCGCAGGCCGCCTCATCTTCGACTACGCCGCCGACCTCGCCCTCGCCCTTTCCGCCTCCGGTGGCATCCTCGTCTGGAGTGTCCTCCGCCTGTGCGGGCGTGCCGCCCAGTGGCCGGGGCGGCTACGGGACCAAAAATCGGTCCCTGCATCGCCAGCCTGGCTCGTCAATGACTGCCAGGGAGCGGTGGGAGCGCTATCGGCAGGCCAAGCATCGCCCTGGGGCGGACTTCTTCGACTCCGAGATGCCCTTCGGCCTCGACGGGGCGGCTGCTGATACATGGGATCGGGCGGAGTCCCTGGAGCGCAGCGTCGCCGACGGCAGCTATGTGCTCCTGCCCAATTCGACAGTGGCGGGCATCTTCCTCCGGAGCTTGCCGCCGAACGTCCAGGGCGGCAAGCTGCCCCGTGAGCCGCCGTCCGATGGCACCTACTTTATAGGGTGGTGCTTCGCCAAATGCCCTGGCCCATGGTGGCGGCCGGCATCGGCCTGTCGGTGCCCCTACGCCGGGCGCTGCCTCCGCCCTATTAGCTACCCGCCGGTGACGGGGCGGCCTCATTCGCACCATCAATGCGCCAGGTGCGCCCCGGACTCTCCAGGCGAGCGGGACCGCTGACTTCGTCACGGCGGGGCTCTCTGGTCTTCGGGCGCGGCTACCTCGACCTCGCCGGCATCTACATCTTTGCCGTCGCGGCCGTCTCACTCTTTGGGGGCGTCCGCCCGTTTTGCATCTCACCGCCTTCGCGGGCGCGGTCAAAAGTCTCGGCCTGTGCTTTTGTGCTCTCCCCTCCCCCTCCCTTCCCTTAAGCTTGGCTCGACTGCTCAAGCCCCTCGCAGGGCCTGGCTCGAGGTTACTTTGGCTCAGTTGCCTAAGGTGAGAGTCGACATGGCGGAACCGCCTCGGGGCTCGTTCGCCGAGCTGGTCGCCCTGGCGCAACGGGCGGGCCACATCGACGCCTTGGCAGCCGCGGGCGTCCTGCTGGCCGCCCCGCCGCCGCCAGCCGTGGTCACCGACTTGGCCCTGGTGTCGTCGGCCCAGGATCCGGGAAGGCCGGACGTCCCTCGCCGGAGAGTGCCCTTGCGGGCGAACCTTCGGGCGGCCCTGGATGCCCTGCTGCCGGCGAACCGCAAGCGGTCCGTCGAGGAGCTTCGCGACGGCTACCTGGCAGAAACCTCGAAAGGGCCCTACGCGTCCCGGCTCAAAACGTGGATGGCCCTGTCCTACCAGGGCAAGGTCGATCCTTGGCCGGTGTCCGCCGACACCATTGAGGCCCTGGGGGCGGCCTTCAAGAAGGGGGGCTACCGCAGTGCCAAGGAGTACTTCTTGGCCGCCTTCCGCCACCAGGAGCACGACCTTGGGCTGGAGGTCTCGCCCGTCCTACGCCGCTTGGCCAAGAGGGCGGTGAAGTCCATCGTGCGCGGCCTCCCTGGGACTCGTCTCAAGGAGGCCTTCCCCCTCGCCGACCTGGGCGCCCTCGTGACCTATCGGTGCGACCTCGCCTTCGACCCGGCCGCCGTCCCCCACGCCACCGACGTCCTGGTCTTGGCCACGTGGTTTATGCTCCGGGAGATCGAAATCGCCGGGGCACTCGTCGGCGATGTGGTGCTCACCAAGCACGTGGTGACGCTGGAGCTACCGCTCCACAAAACCGCCCAGGGCGGCGAGCGGGTCATGACTCGGCGCTCGTTGCGCTGCGCCTGCGGCTTGGCCACGCACCCCCTGTGTCCGGTCCACGCCATGTTCCGACACTTCGCGCGCCTCCAGAAGGCTGGGCGCCTTCGCTCGTCGGCGCCTCTCTTCCCGGGCGCCTCGGGAGGCACCAGGTCCAAGCCGGAGTCCCTCTCCTTCCTCGCCTTGGTGTTGGGGGCGGCCGGCCTCGAGGTTGCTGGAAGGACCCCCGGTCTTCGGCGGCCACGTGCCTCTGGCGGTGATCCAGCTTCTGGGGGGGGCGATGGTCGTCCCGCGCGATCGAAAGGTACACCCAGGCTGCGCCGTTGACATTGGCGCCTTCCGCCCCGTCGTGGGCGCTTTCTTCCCAGCCCGGGCAGTTGGCCCCGGGCCAGGTAGTAGCGGCGGCACTGCCGGGGCAGGGGGCCCCCGGTCAGGCCGACCTTCCCGCTCTGGCCGACGCCCAGCAGGCGGCAGACGGCACGGACACGGCGGACCCCGCGGCAGGGGAGCCAGCCCAGCAGGCGGCCTTGCCCGCCATCCAGTTCGTCCCCGCCCTTGCGCCGGGGGCGGCGGTCCCGGATGCCGACCGGGAAGACGCCCACCTGCTTTGCTTGGAGAAGACGAAGAGGGTCCATCGGCCCGACCCCACGGAGCAGAACTCCGACAGGGCTACGTGGAGGGCCCGCGGCTGTGGATGGCCTTATGGCTCCCGCCAGTTCTTTAGGATCTCGGCTGTGCAAGCGTTGCTTCCCGTCGGGTTCAGCAGGTGACCCAGGGGTTCAGCACGTCGACTCGGACTCCTCCTCGGAGGCGGTGGGCGAGCTCTCGTCCTCTGCGGGCGGCTCCACCTCCGAGTCCGACTGAAAAAGAGAAGGGTCAGGGTGGCGTCGGCACCGTGGGAGTCAGCAGGCGCTCTCTGGCATGTGCGACCGCCTGGTTGACTTGAGCTGCTCAATCGCCGTCGCCCCCTGCCGCCACTCGCTAGGTCGTCACGCCATGGCGGTCCCTCCTTTGCTGCTGGCCCAGCCCGCCCAGGTGCACGCGTTCTTCGTCGACGCCAACGCCTTCGCGGGCGATATCTCCAACGCCGACTGGGGACACGGGCGCACAGCTTGGGAGCACTTGCTCGCCGTGGCTCGCCCATCCCGGACCCTCCGGTGGTATCTACGCGCCCGCCGGATCACGGGCGTGCCTGAACTCGGCTGTTCCGCCCCTACTCTGGGCGTGTGGAGGCGTGAGTTCGTCGACCCCTACCTGGAGGGCTGGCGCCGCCCTCACTCGGCGGACGTCATCCGGTGCTCGCCGACCGACGTGCCGGGCGACACCCAGGCTTTGCATCTGATGTTCCGCCTGGCTCGTCGCCACGCCGACTGGCTGCAAGAAGATACCGCCCGCCGGGCGGGTTCCATCGACGACCGGTTCGGCATGGACCCGCCGCTGGTGATCTTCTGCCCGGCCTGGGCGCCGCGCCCGGCGGACACGGGCGACTCGGATGAGGCGCCTGAGGACGGGCCTCCGGACTATTTGGGCCCGCGTCCGGGCGACCTTGAGGGCCTTGACCCGCGCTTGGTCCGCCCATGGACCTTGGCGCCACGGCAGCCCCAGCCCCTCGTCCCTTCGGGGCGATCCGCCCCTGGCACCTGGGCGCGACAGCCGTGGTACTTGGTGCGGATGGGGCCTTGGCATCGACAGGTGCACCGCCTCGACGTCCCCGGCCGTCGCCCGAGGGCCGCACCATTGAGCCGGAGAGGGCGGCTGTCCTTGTTTGGGCCCCGCCTCGGGCAGAGCCCGGAGGGAATCGGTACCTCTGGTGCCGCCTATGCTGGGGCGATGGCGTCCCGCTCTCAAGGAGCGATTGTGAGCAGCACCCGGACGAAGAGTCCGAGCTCGAGTGACCCCGCCAAGGATTGGCGGTCGCCCACGTCGGGCGTTGAAAAGTCGGGACCGGACCGCAGTGCACTCTTCTATGGATCGTCTACTCCTGCTTGTGATTCCCCCACCCCCCTAGCCTCCTTTGCTGCCTCAAGACCGCTGCCCCCCGCCTCGCCAATCATGGCGTCACCTACGGCGTCTTCGGCTTTGGTTGACTTCGGCCAGCTCGCCACCGAGGCGGGGGCGGGCGACTTCCTCCGCCGCTACTTGGCGGCCCGTGGTGCAGATCGGACGGCCACCTTGGCACTTATGGCGCCCACGGCGGAGCGCTTCGCCGAGATCATCATCGACCCGCTTGGGCCCGGCTTCGTCGCGACCGGGGGGGATGAGCTGACCCCGGCAGAGCTGCCCACCGCCAGGGCAGTCCTCACCCACATGTGGGAAGAGGCCAGGGCACAGTGGAACGCCTGGGCTGCGGCTCGCGCGGCCGCGCTTGCACCGACTGCCGCCCCGGGCCCGTCGGCTCCGGCTTCCGCGGCGGGCGGCCCGCTCCCGTTCCCGCCGACGGCGCCGGCTGGGCCGCCTAAGCACTTCGCCGAGTGGGGCACCCTGGTTAAGGCCTACAACGACCGCCTCGTGGACGGGCGACCGAGGGCCTTTCCTACCCGCCGCCTGGCTGGGGCGCAGGAGGTGCTCGCCAGGATCCACTGGGAGCACACCGTCAGCTTTGCATACTCGCCGTTGGGGTTGGGCGAGATCCTATCTCAGAGGACGTGGACCGCCGCCAACGAGCTGAACCCCCTCGCCGCCGGGCGCTGCGATTCGGCTGCTTCCGCTGCCCTCCACCTCGTGGGCGGCAGCCTGGTGGCTGAAGAGAAACGCCCGTGGCAGCCCAAGTCCGTCATCGCCATTTGCGACGGGCTAGAGGCCATCAAGTGGGCCTGGATACTCGTCCAACTGGGCGCCGAAGAGGACATTGAGTCTTATATCGCCTGGTGGGATTGCCGGGCGAGAGGCAGAAATGCTAACTTGCTCGCCCTGGTGTCCTATTGGGACTCCATGGCGATGCGCCTCGCCATGGATCTCCGCCAAAGGAGGACTTTCAAAGACGCCACCGCCGACATCATGGCGGACGTCTCCTCCTATGTCGAGGCCGTGACCGCCGCGCCGCCCCGCCCCGATGGGCGAACCAAGGGCAGGCCGCAGCCTACCCAGACTAGCCCTGATGCCGACGACTCTTGGGTGGAGCCGCCCCCCAAGCGCCCCCGCCCGGGCCGCAAGGGCAAGAAGGGGGCCAAGGGCGGCAAGAAAGGCGCCAAGGGCGGCCGCCAGCAGGAGCACAAGGGCGGCAAAGGGGCCAAGCAGGGGCAATGGTCCACAGCTGACGCCTGGCAGGAGACGCCCTCCGGCCACTCGGGCTCGGACGGCTGGGCATCCCATTCGTGGTCCGCCTCGTCCTGGGAGCAGCCCGACTCGACGAAGGGCCAACAGCAGCAGTCTTGGCGTTGGGCCGCCCCCCAGGGCGGAAAGAAATGGCGCTAGGGACAACGGGGCCGCGTCAACTGGGGGCTATGACGCGGCACCCGACCCTAGCCCCGCAAAGCGGGTCCGCCTCACGCCGGGAAAGCCCCAGGGCGGTCGGATCATCGTCCTATCCGCCTTCGATGGCATTGGGGCAGCGCCTTGGCTGGTGTCGTCCTCCTTCGGGCGACCGCTGCTGGCCGTTTCTTGGGAGATCGATCGGGCGTGTTGCTCGGTCGCCTCCGCCGCCATGCCCTGGCTTCTGCACCGGGGCAGCCTCCTGGACGACTCCCCGGAGGAGGTGGCGAAGCTGATCAGGGAGGCCGATCCCAACGGCGAGGCCATGATCCTTTGGGTGGCCGCCCCCCCTTGTCAGGATTTCTCTCGCGTCGGAGCCCGAGCCGGGCACGAAGGCGATAGGGGGCGCCTTTTCCAGGACGCCATCGTCTTCACGGATGAGCTTCGCGCCCTCCTCGCCGGGCGCCGCTTCTCCTTCCTGTTCGAGAACGTCGTCATGTCAGTGCCGGACGCGGCGGTGATTTCCGACGCCCTCGGTGTGGAGCCGGTCTTCGTCTGCTCGTCCGACTTCGGCTGGGTGTCCAGGCCCCGCCTGTGGTGGCTCAGTGTCGACTGGACGCTCGTCCCTAAGGACCCCGTGGCGGACTCGCCACTGGAGTGGACCAGGGAACCCGGGCGGCCGCGGACTCCTTCGACCTGGGCGGCCTCACCTTCGACCCCGCCGTGGCTGGGGGGCAGGTGCTCGTCCCCTGCGCCACAACGCCAGCCCCGACGGAGGACGGCCGCCCCAAGCCTAAATCGGCTCGGGGGCGCACGCACAGGCAGTTCGCCCCCTGGCACTACCATCGTCAAGCCATGCTCCAGGACGCCCAGGGCGTCCTTCACCTCCCGACGCCGGAGATCAAGGAGCAGCTTCACGACGTCCCCAACACCTACACCCAAGACGGGGGCGGACGCCAAGGCCAGGCATCGCATGCTTGGCAACGGCTGGCACTGGGGCGTCGCCGGTCGCCCTGGCAGCAGCCAGCTCGTGGCGAGCCTTGGGTTCCCAGGACGCCGGGGGGGTCGACTATACAGTGGCTTCTGGACCATTGGTGCGCCCACGGATGGGACTTCGCCCCGCCTCCTCGGCCCGATCCTCCCTTTCTGGGCGACGGCCTATCGGAGGAGGAGCACTGGGCGGCGGCGCCTCACTTTCGACACTCTCTGACTTCACCGCCGGACCCTCGAGCCGGCCCTGGAGGGCGTGCTCCAATTCCGCGCCCACTGGCGCCACGACATGGTGCGCATTCGCCGTCTGGTGGTCCAGGAGTTGGAGGTCATGGTGCACGACGCCCAGGAATCCACGGCATCCTGGCTCGCGGCTCGGCCCCACCACGTCCGGGCGACCTATTGCACAGAGGACCGCCCTCGCCCATTTTCAGGGCCCCGTCCTCCTGGATCTACTCCAGAGGGCGAACTACCCTGCGGTCCAAGACCTGAGGGCCGACCTCGAGGACGGCTTCGACATGCTGGGTGAGGTCCGTCGGGCGCCTGGCTGGAAGAGCAGGGAGGACGGGCGGTACTCCAACCCCGCTCCCATGGATCGCCTTCGCCGGGAAAACCCATCCTATGTGGCGGCCAAGACGCGCCGACCACAGGACTCGGAGCACCCGGGCCCTCAGGGATGAGCTCGTCAAGGAGGCTCGGCTGGGGCGCGTCATGGGCCCGTGTCGAGCGCCGGATGGATGGGGCGTTACCATGGCGTCCTTGCCGGAGGTGGCCGGTATGGATCGCCTACTCGAACCGCCGCGGGGCGACTGCTTCGCCGCGCTCTCCTTCGCCATCACCCAGCTCGACGAGAACGGGGACCTCAAGCTGCGTCGAGGCGAAGACTGGCGACGGTCCGGACACAACGCCACCATGCGGGCGCACGACGTCCCGACGCACCACTTCCTCGGGGACATCGTGGACATCATCCGCCGGGCGATGGCTTCGGGATGGGACCCGGTGCTCTTCGGGCACGACCTGCAGAACGCCTACCGCCAGTGGGCGGTCAAGTTCCCGGGTCACTGCGGGACGTTCCTCCCGACGGCCGCCGGAACCACCCTTTGGTTCCATTTTGCTATGTGCTTCGGCGCGGCGGCGAGCGTCTGGAATTTCAACAGGGCGGCTGACGCCGTCCAGATGCTGGCCCGGGCGTTGCTCGCGGTCCTCTTCGGCCATTTCGTCGACGACTTTAACGGCGTCGAGGACAAGGCGGAGGCCGACTCCGCCCACTTCGCCCTGGCCGACTTCTTCGCCCTTCTGGGTCTCCAGACCAAGCCGTCCAAGGCCCAACCGCCAGCCCAGGAGCATGTTGTCCAGGGCGTTTCCGTGCGGGTGGCCGACGCGGGCGTCGAGCTGCGGCCCACCGCCGACCGCACACAGAAGATCCTCAAGCAGATCGACACCGCCCTGGAGACGGGAGCCATGAAACCAGACGTGGCGTCCAGGCTGGCCGGGCGACTCACCTTTTTCAGCCAGTCGGTTTTCGGCTGCACCGGCCGGGCGGCCATCAAGCCGCTCTACGCCAGGGCGGCCGACACGGCGGCCCACTCCGACGACGCCCTCTCGGTGGGGCTCCGCTCCGCCCTCCTGGCCCTCCGACGCCTGGTGGCTACGGCCAAACCGCGCCTCATACCTTGGCCGGGGGCGGTTACGGGACCGGTCCCCGTCATCTACGCGGACGCCTTCTTCCTGGAGGGCGACTTACGCAAGAAGGTGGGCCACCTCCATCCGGGGGAGCAGGTCCCTCGCTCAGCCAGATGGGAGAACGGCTGGGGCTTTGTGCTCCTCTTCGAGGGCCAGGTGTTCTACGACTTCGGCGTCGTCAAGCCCGAGTACCTCAAGCCCTTCGCGTCTCGCCGGGCTTTCATCTACGTGTTGGAGATCTTGGCGCAGGTGCTCCCCGTCATCACCTTCGCCCGGAGGCTGCCTCAACATTGGATCGCCTTCATCGACAATGTCGCGGGGCAGTTCGCCCTCATGAAAGGATATGGGCGGGACCCGGCCGTGAACGGCATCCTCGCCTCTTTCTGGGGCTTGGCGGCCGATCGGGCTTGGTGCCCCGAGTTCTACAGGGTCCCCTCCGCCGCCAATGTTTCTGACGCCGTCTCTCGGGGCGACGACTCGAGAGCGGCCCGGGAAGGCTGGTGCCGTGTTAGGGCACCGGTCGACGACGTCATGGTGATCCTCGGGCGGGCGGCCTCCGACATCGACTACGCCTGCCACGAGGCTCCTGAGAGGCTGCTAGACCTTGCTTCTTGGTAGCCAGTGCCGACGCCTTATGGGAGGTGGGTGCGCCGGGCGGTCGCAGAAGTGCGCACCCCGGCACCGGCACCGGCTTTCGGGGCGGTGTGCTCGGCCGGGCGCATGTTATGCGACTCGACCATCCAAAAGGAGCCACTGCACCCTTAGTAGGATTTTGGGCTAACTCGTTAGCGCAGCGCTTGTTGTGTAGCGCACGTGTGCGAGTAGGAACAAGCACTAGCGATCGACCGCAGCACGCCGGCTCGATCGCTTTTTCTGTTCCCGCCCACTCCATCCCTTTTGCTTTCCTGACTTACATACGGCCGTCACCCGCCCCACCGGGCGGTTGTCCGGGGCGGTCGCAGAAGTGCGCACCCCGGCACCGGCACCGGCTTTCGGGGCGGTGTGCTCGGCCGGGCGCATGTTATGCGACTCGACCATCCAAAAGGAGCCACTGCACCCTTAGTAGGATTTTGGGCTAACTCGTTAGCGCAGCGCTTGTTCCCGGGGTCATCCTGCAACCTTCAGCTTAGACTTGCGCATGCCTTGAGGCAAAGATGGTGCCTTGATCATCACGGCTAAGCGAGAACGCCAGGCATGGGAGAAGCCACAGGACGGAGAAGCGGAAACCGCCAGGGACAGAAGAGGGCCACGGCCAGCAAGCGTTTGCTGTTCAGGGCCCCCAGTGCCAAGTCGTGAACTGGGACTCCAACGAGCAGCCTTTGGACAACATGTCGTGTGCCTCTCTTACAAAAGCCTGGCCCATGGGTCCATGCAGACATTGATTGGAACTGTAGCACTGCAGCGTCACGAGGTGCTGTTTGTGCTCCTCCATATTTTCAGTACTACAACCCTTGCGACTTGGTGCGGCCACCTCGTTGCAAAAGCTCTTGAACGGGGCGTGCAAGTCGAAGCACAGCGCTGGCAGATTCCGAGGAATGATGACTCTGGGGGTCCGGCATGCGACTGTTCGGAATCAGCAGAGTTCACTTCTGCGTCTCTCATGACTCGCGGCAAGAAGGACGCGGTCAGTTTTTTTTGCGGATGCTGATTCAGTTTCAGGTTTCGATTGCATCTCCATGACGAACGCATGCTGCATCATGGCATCCTAATAATGTGTCAGGCACCGGCATGCCAAGAAGAGGGTCCAGGGCAATTGGGAGGATGTGAAGGAAGCAGTCGTTCAACGCGCAAGGTGGCAAGGGGCAGGGCGGCTAGGGTCGAATCTTGCATAGACTTTAGAGGCCCCGGACGGCAACAACCTAACAAAACGAGGGCGTTTTTTCACCGATCACGTGTCAACACCTCTGGTTGCTGGCAGTGCTAATAGTTTCTGTGGAGGAGTTTTCCTATGGCCTTTTCGAGCTGCGCGCAAAAATCGACACCAGACCAGGCCAGGCCAGAGAGCGGGGCACAGCGCCAGAGTGCAAATGTTTTGAGACCCGAGGCGCCTGGTCCAGCTGGTGGGCAGTCGGCCTTTCGGCAGCTTTGAAGTGCTGAAGACGACACGGTTCGCAGTTCCATCGCAGGGGAGATTTTCGGGAGCCCCTTCAGGTGATTTCGATTACGTACCCTGGCCCAAGAACGGGGAAATCGACATCATGGACGCTTTCCAGAGGATGGTAAAAGCGAGTGCAACCCGTCCTCACCTGGAGGGAAGGCTTTTCTTTGCCTGTGTAATTTGCAGAATGGCTTTCAAGGTGATCCACGCTGGTGAATCCGGGCTTCCCAGCAGTGCCATCCAGCATGCAGGCAGGAGTCTAGAGACCTTGAAAAGTGCTTCAAGGCTGTGCAAGACGCTTCCTCACACCGTACTACGACAGGTGCCCGAATGATTGATCGCGAGTGGGAGAAGCTCTCTGCTCAGTGTAACTGTCGCTGTTCGGCGTGTGTGCCAGTGTAGCAGTAGCACAGGTACTACCATACCTGGCAGCTGGAATGGGACGAAGACTTTATAGAGATCCGTATAGATGGCGAGGTCATTCTGAAGGCACCTGGGTCATCCGCAGTGGTCCGGCAGAGTGTCTGTCATCGCCTTCCCCTGCAGCTTGACCTCTCCGTGGCGGATTCGAAGCGAACTTCTTGGCCCAATCCGTTCACAGAGGGTAAGCAGCAGCCTCATAGGATTCCCGAGATCTCTTCGGGGCGCACTTGTTTGGTTTGGTGTTGCCGTGGAATCTGTGGACCGCAGAGGAAGTTCTTCATGATCCTGAACTTAGCAGTTGGTGGTCATTCAGGAGGCTCATCTTTATGCGTGAGCTTGGCCAAGAGTGCATTCAAGCTTAGTTGCTTCCGGGCGGACAGGAGATGCTTCCTTGACACAGTTCCCTTCACAGCTTCATGTTGACTACATCCGTCGCGGGCTCACTCCTGCACTCGACGTGCAACTGTGGCATCTTTTGATGGCCAACGGAGGTGTGTACCAGAAGAAAGGCACGACAGCGAGTTAGACGAAGGAGAGCTCGATTGAGAATGCCCGACATTGACCGTTTCGGGAGCGAACCGGGGCCGGGCACCCCGGACACCCGGACTCCCCAAGGTTCACTCCACTCCACACATGGCACCAGCCAAGAAGGAGATAATGCTTTGCTACATGCAGCATGGTACAGGGGGGGACGGGTCCCAGCTAGAAATTTATCCAGAAGGTCAAAGCATGAGCTTTTTTTGCGATCCCACGTGGCGGGGGAGTGCTGTATGGAAGCCACATCCGGGCTGCTTTGATGTCACGGCGTCACATGACTGGTAATTTGGCAGTAGCTCTCATCGTTGACCGACCCCGGTAGCCAACACCCAGTTCTGCTGTGCTGCACGGCTCAAGCTTGAGGAATGTCATATAAACCCAAGACAGGCAGCATTGCTGCAACTGCGTGCCTGCAAGACTGACGCATCGTCGAGCTCATCCAAAGGCTGTGAAAGCAATCGACGACACGACACGACGGTGGTACGTTTTCATCAGAAAATTTCTTGAATGAGCAATGGCAAACGGGATGCAGAGTTGAAGCCTCGATTTTTCGGATCTTTTGGAAGACTGTGCTCCGCTCGATTTTGTCAGGTTTGGGCGTTGATGGTCCGCCAAGCGGCTATGAACCTTCGCAGGCAAGTGAAGGCACACGGAACTCCAATTTGAGATTCTTTGCCCGGGTAGGCACCTGGTGGAGGTGGTGGTGGCGGGTCCATGGTACCGATCTCATGCGCCGTCCTTGCCTTTTTGAGCCAGTTGTGAGCGCTCCCTCTCTCAGGCAGCTGTATCTCAGCTTTTCACCCGGCTCGCTCAGGAGATAGAGGCCGGTAAAGTGATCTGAGTTGCCAAAGTTTTCGTATGATGAATCAATGATGCCAGTTGTTTATCGCGAGACGGCAGGAGCAGAAGCCAAAGAACTGCATACATTTTGTGGTGGATTTTCTTTGCAAGCCTTGCTCTCAGTGCTGAAGTCTCAGTTGCTGCGTCATGCGGCAATGCCAGTAGTGTTTTGAGGCACTATCCCGAGCACTTGCACGGCTTTGCCTCAATATGGCAGGCACGCTCCAGCTTTGGCAGCCGCAGACATCCGCAGATGAGAACAGATCTGACGAGTTTCTTATCGTGTTTTGTGCCTGAGATGGACCCTGACCTGGAGCGGGAGAGGCACGAGGCCGGATGTCTTCTGAGTTTGCCATCGGGCACAGGCTCTTACCCAGCCCCTTGAATTTTATAGGTCGTGAACTTCTTCAAAGCACACAAGATCTCCACAGCCGTGGCTGCCCACTTCACGAACGCAGGGTATCGGCCCTTACAATTCAGCACCTGCTGTTGAAAGCTGCATAGACATACTGCGCAGGTACGACACGCTCGACACGCTGACAACGCTGTCGCCAGATAGCCTCGTCGATGTCGAGGCTTTTGCCCACCTGTCGATATTCAACTGGCCAGTTTGCAAGTCCGGTTCTGGAGGCCTTCAACAATGTGAAGTGGCTGCCCGGGCACAAGGCATCCTGTCGGTACTCTCCAGCCGTTGCAGGAGAAGTGCTTGTAGACAGGTCAGACTTCAGCAAATCTTCAGCGAGATTTCTGCCAGAGTTCGCGCGTGCGCAGCATGCCAGAAGTGCCTGAGCGAGCACCTTGAGCAGAATCCACGTTGAAGGTACCGACAGCAGTTCGGAGAGGGCCAGCACAATCGCAACAAACCCAGGGAGAGGGCGACTGTGCCGAGTGTCTTGCAGGGCAATCGTGCTGCATCGGTGCTGCGGCGAGGCCGGCGGCACCACCAGGGCCAGCAAGGCCAAGTGGGCAACGCACCGGTCGCGGGCTGACAGCCGATTCGAGAATCTGCGAATTCTTGAGGTTCTTCTAGTTCTGGCATACATGAGGTCGATAGGCGACACGACTCGCCACCAAATTACAGCAGATCCCATCACACCCTACACGCCGCTTGCCATGAATAGTCATTGTTTGTTGTCCGCCGGAATCGGGAAGCAATGATCATCCCGCAGCCTGCAGTTGCGTCTCAGGACAACTATGCCCAAAGTGCCCATCCAGCAAGCCACCCCCACCATGCTCCCCATCCTCACCATCAATCGGTCAGCCATCATCCCGCCATCAGCCACCAGGGCACCCCTCCGCAGCCCTACGCAAGCGCCTCAGTTCTGCATAGCCTGTCAGCACGAGACGAGACGTCAGAGAATCTTGTGTGTGCAGGAGAGAGGTTGCACTCTGGAATTTTAGCCTTTGAAAGCGAGGGGGGACAGCGACAAGACCGCAGTGCCACACTGTTTATGGGGCGCGAAACGTCCCATCAAATGGGAACCCAGTGAAGCCACCCAACCTGGTTGAAGAATCCGAGTTCATATGGAACCAATCCAGTCCACTGCTGCTCACAACAGGGCGCAGGAGGAAGCGCACGTGCGGATTCCTTCTTAGCAATTAGCACGGGGGAGGGGTGAGGGCCCTTGACTGGACCCTTAAGCCCTGGAGAGAGAAAGGGAGGGCCGAGCCTGAGCCCCAACGCTTTAGAAGGAAGGAAGGGGGAGAGGGCAACCCTTCTTATACCTCAGAAAGCATGGAAGAAAGACGCCTTGTATGGCTTGCTCTGTCGCAAGAAGCTGGCCGTAAGACCCGAAGTCTTTCGCGAGAGACAAGCGAGCCAGGGCGGAGGAACGAAGGGACCTGAGCGCATTTCTGATGGCCGCTCAGGAGCCATTAAGCCGTTGAGCCTGAGACCCTCTATCGAGTTGAGGCCAAGTTCGGGAGGAGGATTTTCAACACGGATGGGTGCCCGTACACAGCCGGAAGAAGGGGAGAGAGAGTTTCACACGGTTGGCAGCAATCTGTCCTTCGTCGGCTGGGTCCGCTGGAAGTTGGGAAAGGAGTTTCACCCGCCTCCCCAAGCCAGAATAAGATGCAGAGGGGACATGATCCAACCAGGCAGAGTTGGTCGACAGCTCAGGTTGCAAGTCATCACAGTGTTGCGCATCCAGCCGTGCTCCCAGACAATGTTTCTTGTACCTATGTCCGTATGCACGTATGTATGCATTGTGTCCATGTGTGTATGTAGGTATGTATGTATGTAGTTTTTGTGGGTGGGTATGTATGTATGTATGTATGAATGCAAGTAATGTAAGGCAAAGCGAATCCATGTAAAGCGTTTTAGAGTGATGTAAAGTAATGTGAAATGATGTCAAGCAAGGTCAAGTACTTTCAATCATGAAATGTAAAATCATTTGACATAACGAAGCAAGTAGTGGAAGATAGTGGAAGGTAATACGAAGTACTTAATCATACTGTAAAAGAATGCAATGCAATGTAGTGTAGTGTAAGGTAGTGTGGTGTGCTGCCACGTAATGCAATGTAGCGCAATGCGACGTATTTGCTGCATGCATGCATGCATGCATGCATGCGTGCATGTATTCATGTATGTGTGTGTGTGTATGTTCTTGCATGTATGCTCTTAGCAAGTAGTGTAAAGCTATGTAAAGTAATGTAAGGCAGTAACTAACACACTGTAACAGAAAGTACTTTAGTCTGATGTAATGTAGTGTGGCGTACTGTTATGTAGTGTATTGTCATGTCATGCGATGTAACATGTTGCAGTGTACAAGTATATACACATGCACATATAGATAAATAGATAAGTAGATATAGAGGTGCGTGCATAGATGAGTAGGTGAGTCTTCTTCACGACACAATGAAACCAGGTCCAAGCTTTGGCAGGGACGGCTCTTTTCTGAGGGTGAGAGTGGCTGTGTAGTACTTATGCATGTTGGCTGGAAGCCACCTTAGGCTAGCATTGATTAGTCTATTCTGTAATTTAGCTTCGAATCTGTCTCCGTCGGTTTCCTGGGAATCCCAATGTTACGAGAGGGGCTAGTAGCGGACAGTCGTTGCTGGGCTCTTTGGTAAGTTGTCCAACTCAGGTGCTGGGATTGCCTCCAATCCTGTAGCCTCGGGTGCAGTGCCGCGCAAGTGAGGTCAGTCACCCTCAGCACATCACGCCTGTTGTTTATCCGCAGTCTTCGCACACACCCCAGGCCTGTCGGGGATGCTTTGTGGCACGTGGCTGCTTCACTCCACGAAGCCTCCGTTGCACAGGGAGCGTCTGGAGACAGACATGTGGCCTACACTGGCGGCTTCAGCGGTGGCTACGCAGGCGGTGGCCATCCTACGCGCACGCCTGTAAGCTAGCTTCAGAACACAACAGCACGGCATCAGCAACTAGGCACAGTCTGCACCAAAGCCACTGAGGTCTTGCTCCTCCTCAATCTGTCGCTCCCATGGCGCCTCCAGCAGCAGGCACTTCATGGCAACTGTGGCAAGCCACATGCTTCGCCCATCCCGAATTGAACGAGCCATGTGCCGTGCGTTTGGGTGTTTCCCTGAGATGTTACCATGGCTTTGCAGCACCTGGGGGGCAGCGAGTGCAGGTATGAGCCTTTCTCCTGGGCTCCCAAATGCGTCGCAAGCTAAGATGCGCCCAGAAATAGAGATGCTCCCATGAGATGGAAGTTCTGATGGGGCTTTGTAACTGTAGTCGCCGCAAGCACAGGTCAGGCAACATCTTCCTGGCTAACAGCGCAATCCATCCTCCCTCTTGAGACAAGCGCCCAGCTTCCGTTTCTCTTGCTTGCGTGAGTAGACCCGGTAGTTAGCATCAAAAGCTGATTGATGTTCGAGGTGCCAGTCTCGGCATGGTCTTGCTGATACTTCTGGACCATGTGGCTGTTGAAGGTGTGCTCACCAAATCATGGATAGGAGCTGTAGAGATGCAAAGATTTAGACGGAGACACGCTTCTTCTCCCGGCACTCCCATCGGCCGGCGAGGTGCATGCTTTGAGCTGTAGTGGTCGTAGCAGGGACTGCCGCTTCCGGGTTGTGGGGACCTAGCGATATTTACTCGGCACTCACTGCCTCGTGTTGCATTTCCCGTCAGCATTTGCTGTGACTCGGCGTGGCATGTGGCATGTCTCCATACAAGGAAATGCACCTTCTGCGCGACCTAATTGGTGATGTTCAGTGTTGCAGAACGCTGCTCGCACCGACGAGTGCATGTAACAGCTGTGACACTACGCAAAAGGTCGTTGGCCATGAGAGGTTGGATTGTCTTTGATTTGAGGAAACCTGGAGCAGGGTCAGGGTCACGTGCTTTGTCCGGTCGCGCAGCCGTTCGGTCTGGTCCCGTAGACCGCAAGCTGCCTCCGTGTTCACCCTGGTTCACCCTCCTTTCCGCCTGGAGCTCAGAGTTCTGAGCTTCGCAGGGCATTATGTGTTTTGGGGCTCTTTGCGTCGACTCGACTCGGCTCCATTCTGCATCATCCTAGTACCTCCTGCCCCTGCCTTTCGGGTCTTGTACTTTTCAGCCGAGGTGTCACTGTGTGAGGTGCGCTGGGCGCCCTGGGAGTCGGTGCTGGGGGTTCGCATTTAGCATGCCTTGTGACATCTTCTCTCTTACATTAGGTTCGGGCACTACTTGTAGTGACGGAAGCTTGGCTGTGAACTCTATGAGTCACAATAGGTTCACATGCACTGTCGGCCGTATGCTTTCTTGTTGTTGCTAGGCATCAGAGACAGTGGTGGGGTTAGACTGAAATCAGACATGGGGTTTAAATCAGCTTTTGTATGAATTCAGGTGCACAATGCCTTGAGAATGTCCTGAATGTTGGAGAACGTGGGAGATGCTGTGCTAGCTATTGATTGTTGCCGTGCTAGCTCCACTCCTGAACCTGGAAGTTGTTCGATTATCTGCGAATCAAGTTGTCGCCGGTTACTGCCAGAAGTGGCAAGAGGCATATGTAAAACGAGGAGATGCGTAGCAGCCGAGTGGCTGTAGGGTCGTCTGCGCCTTGTTGCAGGCGGCTGGGATCTGGCCTGGCGGCGTGTCACCTCGTAGGGTGGGTCCGGCGGCTCAGCTTGCACTTTCTGAGGACTGTCTGTGCGTTGGAGTGTCAGGCAGCTACGAGCCCATAGGCATGGCAGACAATTATGGAAAAGGCCTCATCGAGAGTCGAAAAATCCAGGAAAGCCTGGATTGGATATTTCAGACATAGCTGTCTCCTCGCATCCTTGCAGGTAAGAGGAGCAGAAAGGGAGGAAAGAAGGGAGAGGACAAAGCCTCAATTGCCCAGAAGTATCAAAAGATGTGCGATGATGCACGTTTACACCTACGAGTTGTGCTCAGGACTATGATTCCGGCTACGGCAAGGGTTACGGTGCGGTGCTCTGGCGGCTGTGCGAATACAGAGCGGGGATGCAATCTTCGCTGCTGTTCAGGGGCGCCCCGGAACAATGGAAACATGGGCGGACAGAGTGCAGGCGACGGCTTGCATGATGCAGGACAGCCATGATGACAGCATCTCGCAACTGCAAGGAGGAAAGCCTGCCAAGGACGCAGCACAGGCCTGTTGTGCATGCTGTTGGCTTGTGGAAGTTGTGCTGCTTTATGTGTGAGGTCCATCACTACCCACCGAAGGAGATGGCCGCAGACGTCGGTGCTTTGCATGCAGCATCATCCGGGCATTCATGTTGGCACCGCACAGCAGCTTTCCATTGCAGGTTATCCGGTTCGGGGCGGGCAGACGCTTTTGATCGACTGCCTGGCCGTTTTTAGTGCGGTCTTGCAGCAGACCATCCTGGGCCTTTGCCGGTGTTTAACAAGATTGTTCGCCAGGCATACTTTCCTTGGGAGGCTTCTGAGGCCGGCCAGAAAATTAATCTTTAACGCGGTTCAGCCTTTGCAAAGGGCATGCGATTGTGCAGGCAGACATCGAGAGAGAGTTTTCGAAGTTCTGCCGTGTGAAGCGAGTTCACTTGGTCGTCCCTGCCTTAGCATCGCAACCTTCCCGGGTGGTCGCGTGAGAAGCAGCCAAGCTTTCCCCTCGAGAGGTTGACAAGTCTTCCCGGAAGCCTCGTTGCTTCGGCTTCGTGAAGTTCCTCAGCAAGGCATGTGAGCTCTTCTTTCCCTCACGCAGTCGCTAATAGCCAAATTGCCGTTCCTCGCAAAGGCTGACGCGGAAGAAGCTCTTAGGGCCACGACACAAGGAGGGCGGTGACCGGTGGTGCTCCGTTGCAAGACAAGTCGCTCGGGGGCCGGACAGGACTGGTACAGCTGCCAGATACTCGAGGTCATGTATGGCACCTCAAGGCGACCACCAGAGCAAGAGACCCGCATAGATTTTTCGGCTTCGGACCGGAGTTGCCAGGCTGAGTGGACGAAGTCTGGCGACATGGTGGTAGACGACTCTGAAGCGGAGCAGGAGGTGATCTGGGCCTTTCTCCTGTTATCGCTGTATCTGCACAGCCCTCGTCGCTTGGCTTCGTCTCTGTGCAGCAGTAGCCCTACCCTGAGCTTCCAGAAGCCTTTTCTGTCGTGCTCAGCACTCGGCAGCCTGTTGTTTGACCACATTCAACCCCTGCGAAACTGTTTGTGTCAGCCTTCGTGCAGCTTCTGTGCACCCTCCGGCTGTGTTCTGACCCCCACAGCTGTTGCCCGAAAGTTGCCAGTCTCTTTCACGTTCTTTCCTCATTTCTTTGGATTGGCTTGTCGTCTTCGTTTAGTTTGCTCTTATCCCAGTAGGTTCTTCGTCCTTTCACAGTCTGCAGCTTTCTCTGAATTTCTGTGGTCTCTGTCGCTTGGCTTGCTCCCACGTCTCGAATTAGCGAAAGTCTTTCACGCGACGGCTGCTTCTAACCCTGCATGTTTTCAGGTTCCTAGTTGGTCTTAGTTCCTTCAAGGCGGTGTGCTTCTTTAGCTAAAGTCTCTGAGGCCTTCTCTCAGAGGTTGAGTTCTATTCCCTGAACTTCTCTCGTCCACTTCTGCGTATTGCACGTTGAAAGTAACTCTCCAATGTCGTCGTAAGTTCCCCATCTTTGCCTTGTCGATATCACATGGTTTGCCTCTCTCTCTCTCTGTCTGTGTGTCCGTCTGTCTCTCTTTATTCTAGGCTTTGGGTCCTTGTGACTTAGTTGCTCCTTGGTCTCACTGGCTTTAATCCCTCTCGCACGGTTTCCGCGACTTCCGCTCTGTAGAATCACTCACCGACCCTCACCTCAAGGCTTTCCACCGGTGCGAACTATTTCCACACCTCTCAACCCCTTTTCCGTCGATCCTTGAGGCAATTTGCAATGCTATTGCAGCGGCCTTTCGCTGGCACAGTCCTGATCTGCAACCATCATGCGAGTGATTGCATGTGAAGTGCACAGAGACCCTACAATCCCGTGGGGAATAGTCTGGAAGAAAACTCGCCACTCTCCATCTTCAGCAGAGAGTTCTGCATGACCCTTCTAGAAGAACAAATGTTGGCGTGACCATCCGCATCAGTTTCTCGGGTGCCACAAAACCACTGCCGTATGCCAATCGCCCGTTATGCAACTGGCGTTGCTAGGCTTCTTGGGACATGAGCGGAGGCCCAGGCAAACGAAGTATACCGCGAAGCATGGCAGGTTGCAAAGAGGAAGGAAGAGAGGCGAAGCCGCACCGACACTGCAACCCCTGGAGCGGCGCCGCGCATGGAGCTCAATCCTGCCTCGGGAGTGAAGTCGTTTCCGTGTCTGTACGGCCAGCTCAGGCACCAACTCGGGCAAAGGAAGCGCACCGCCGCCCAAGGCATGGGCTCCATGGGGGGTTTGTGATGGGCACTTCGACGCAAAGAAGCGGAAGTGCCGAGTGCCCGAGGGAGCGCTTCATCCCGGGGTGCCCGCGCCGCTGCCGCCGCTGCAGACCCGCTATCCACCGCAGGCGCCTGGGCGCCTGGGCCTCCAGGGGGGGGGGGGGGGCTGTCGCCAGGGCCTCCAGGGCCTCTGCCTGGGCGCCTGAGCAGAGCGCATCAAGAACTGTGGGTATTTTTTTATGTCTAGTCGTGTGGTGATTCGGTGGGTTTCACTCCGGGAGTCGGTCTGGCCTCCGAGAGATTTATAATGAATGCTTTCGCTGGCATCCCTGCAAGAGGCTGCGATAGGCATGCCACCGCCGCCGCCGGCTGCCCTTCAGCCTCCATCTCAATGCATGTGTTGCAGGGCTTGAAGCTGTGGAAGCAATGCATGTTGTTGGGACCGCAGCTGCAAAGCTGCTCAACCGGAAGGGTTGAGAGAAGTTGAAGGCATGTCAGCTGACGGCCTGGCCTTGCCCAGGCCCGACAGTCCGATGGATGCACCCAGGATATCTTTGGGTGGACTTGCAGAAGCCCCTAGGATGGGCGCAGTGACAGAGCCGGAGAAGGTGGCCAGAGTGGCCAGGAGACCGGAACACCATCGGATGGCGACTCCTCGCACGTCCTTGGGCTCCGCTGCATCATCTCCTCGGCGCGGTCGACGTCTGCTGCAGCGCCCCGAGAACCACGCCATGGAGACGCCTCGGACATCCATAGGCTCTGGTCGCTTGTCCCTAGCTTCTCTGCGGGAGGTAAATCAGAAATTCACACGGCGGCAGAAGTTGGCCTGTGGACTGGTCAGCTTGATGCTGCTCGCCGTTGTGGGTGGAGTTCTGGCCTTTGTCTTGCTCAGAAAAGATTCAGTTGGCCCCGCTGCAGGCATACCGCAAGGAAACTGCTCAGCTGTTCAGGTCGAACAGGGCTGTGCACCGGGCTTCTGTGCCGGTGGCCGGTGTGCCTGTGCTCCGAATTATGATCAGATGGATAAATCACATTGTGCAGTTCCCCTAGCGAACAAGCGCATGCAGTTCTTCGTGTACAAAGTGGTTGAGGATTCAGCGAATGCTGATGGCTGCTCAGCCGATTTTGCGCAGGCCTACAGCCTTCAGGGCGTTCTTTGGTACATTCACAATGTCGTGGTGAACCAGTCCTGTCCCCGCAGCGGGAATCTCTCGCGCATTTTACGCTGCAGAGCGACGGTGTTCAACACGGAGCAACCGTTCCTCGAGTGGAAAGGGCAGTTTGGTCCGTTTACAACATTTGATAGTTCTGGCAGCTGCACCAGCCCCGACTGCCTGCAGACTTGGAGGAAGTTTGGCCGCGTCGTTGGTTGTCTTCCATGGTCAGGCTACATGGGTGGCTATAGCTATGGCAACTCGACACACCTCTACTCATTCCCGGACGAAGGCAAGAGTGACACTCGCCTGAACCGCTGTTGCTTTTGGTTCGTGTAAATAGGCGATGTTGACCGCAGTTCCAGATGAGTTGGTCTGAGCACAGGCAAAGGTCAAGGGCAGCCTGCAGTGCGAGGGACCTAGTTTTGCCCAGCCAACCCCAAACCAGAAGTTCTTGAGGGTTTCGACTTCAGAAGGGGGTGATGAACTTTTGGTCTTAGCAAAGGTACCCTGGAGCTGTGCAGAACCAGACGGATCCAAGAACTGCACTTGGAAAATGGAAGAAGCTGGGGAGGTGCGGCTGGACGACTTGGAGAATATTTCAGATTACAAGGCTTTTTGCACAAAGGGTGGAGCGGAATACATCAAGAGCAAGGATACAGGCCGTGGCTGTTCTTTCTGGGACCACCAGAACAGCAGTGTGGCGAATACGCATCGTCTGGCTCGTTTGCAACAGCTCTTTGAAGCCTCAGAGCATCCCGAGTCACTGCTTCCAGAACCTGTTTGCGACAGCCAGAACGCGGCCTGCCATTATCATGAGAACTGCCGGAACCTTTCCGGAGCCTGCTGTCCAGCTACCACAGGCATGATGCTGGCCTGCTGTGGAGCTTCCTTCCCGCATCTTGGAAGAGCTGTCGTTGCCTGATGCTGTAGCCGACTGCAACATGCCTGAAACACATCGGAAGCCCCGCGTGCAAAATGCATTGGGCGCAGTCTTGCATAGCTGCATACCAAAATTAAGCCACGACGGCCGAGAACCGGGCAGGCTTGCTGTCCAGTCAAAGCCATTTTAATGGAGCTTTTGCACAGACTGCGCAAACAAGCGAGGGATGCCTCGATATCGGGCGAATGCAGGAATGAGCTGGCAGACACAACAGAGCTGCATGATGCTTCACATTCCAAGGCAGCAGCAGCGTTCTCTGGATTCTGCCTCAGCATTTGTCGGGTGTAGCTCTCAGCGCATGAGTTGCAGCTTGAACTCAGGCGCATTCACATGCAGTTCCTCCTCTGCAACAGCCTCTGCCACACCAGGGGCAGGCAGGGATCAGCGACTCGCCTTGACCTGACTATAGACTTGCTTTTCCTGTCCAGCTCTATGGCCAGCACATGTATGGCAGCCAGGGGCAGGGCCCACAGAAGTTCGCGCAGTCGACACTGATTGCAGACTCCTGCGATGCCGTCGAAACGACAGGCAACAGTTATACGGCAACCAGGCGCGCACACAGATGGAGGAAGTTATCTCTTTTCTTCAACAGCTTGTGTCGAGAGGCGTCCATCTACGGAGGCACGGAATTCCTCTGTCTGCAATAGCTGACGTCGGGACAGATCGTGCGAAAGCACAACATAGCCCTTGCAAGGAGGGGTGCCCGTGGCGCCGTTGGGTCGCGATCCAGCAGCATGTGACCCAGAACATCACCACGTTTGTTGGGAGCGACAGTCCGGAACAACAGGGTCAGCGCCGGGCATCTGTGCATTGGTATGGTTCAAAAATCGAATCCGGATCCCAAGGTTGGTGGCGCCTTAGATGCCGCGGGCTCTGACATCTTTAGCTGCCCGTGCGAGAGCATCATACTTCCGTGTGCGTCGAGGCCACGTCAGCGCCGCTTGATGCTGAGCTGCCAATTTTGAAGCGTGTAGCTTTTGCGTCAGGGCCGCATGTCCGCGCATGCAGGCCGCTTCTTCGCGACATCAACAGCTACGCGCATGTCCCTCTCTTAACTGGTACCCGCATCATCCAAGAATCATCCATGTATTCGGTAAGTACTTGTGAGATCCTTGTCGGTTGGGTCCGAGTCTGCTGCTTGGGATCCCATGTCGCAGGCGTCTGCTGCGGCTCAGCAGGCTGGACATCGCAGCAGAGGAAAGCAGCAGATTGCACGTGGAGTAGCCATGTCGGAGGCCGCCTATCCGGGCTCCAGCTATGCAGCTGCCGTGGCGGCTGTTCATGCCTCATCGAGCAAGGGAGGCGGTCCGTGACCTGCTATCGGGACGTGTGCTTAGGCTGCAGCCCACGCGCCAGGTCGCTGTGTTCAGCACTGCATCGAAGACGTGTAAGTTGCGTAAGTTGGCGATTGTCCACTGACAGGATACCCGCCGGCTCAGTCACAGAGCTATGTGGGTCTGGTGCTCAAAATGCCCTTGACTTGAACTGCTGGGCCAGACGTTCTCTGCCAGGCCAGCCCTATGCTGGCAGCCAGCAGCCCTACGTCTCCCAGCAGGCAACGGATCTTTCTCCGAAGCAGAACAGCATCTCAAAGCCTTTGGCCTGCAGGCTTACGCAGGAACTGGTCAATACTCTGCAGCAGGACAGCAGGCGATGTTAGATCCGGATGATGTCCCTATGAAATCAGTGTCGGTGGCGCGTAGCCTAGTCTGCATGTCGCTGGCAAGGCCGCGTATGCAGCAGGGCCGCAACCTCAGATTGTGCTTCTGAGCTTCACCCGGACATTCCTGACTGCCGGAATTATCGCCGCGTTCATCTGCCCAGGCAGCAGGCATATCAAACCGCTGCTGCTACTGCCAGCAGTGCAGTGTATCCATCAGCCGGAGGGGCGTATCCACCGCAGGCTCTTCGATCATTTGCCGCATGCCTAGTATCGTCCTATTCAACGGTTGTTTGATGAAGGCACAGTCTGGTTACGGAGCTCCGCCCGGATATGGAGCAGCTGCACGCATCTTGGAGTTTGTTCTTATTCTTGCGATCAGAGCCAGGGCGAGTTAAGCGAAAGTCTCTTGCATGCCAGACGCCATGAGGCACAGTACGGCCAGCAGCCAGCATCTTATCCTGCCAACCCGGCCACTGCTCGCAACTTAGCGCCAGCGTGGGCCAGCATGATGTTGTGGACAGTCTTGGGGCTTGCTTTGTGCTTTCAACTGTTTTCGAGGCCTATGCTGCAGCTGGGTATGGGCTGGGACAAAGCAGTGTCCTTGGCACAATGCATGCCCACAGCCACTGCAGACACCTCATGTCAACTGAACTTCCTACTTGGTCCCGCTGACAATCACTTGAGAAGCTTGCAGAATGGCAGAACAGTTTCACAGTCCCCTTTCCCCTATCAAGCTGCCTCTTTGCGGCCAGGTCCGTACAACTACCTGCAGCAGCCTGCTGCCGGATCCGGGGCTTCTCAGCAACACTCAGCACAGACAGAACAGGAGCCTGCATTTCCGTCACACTCTGTAGGTGGTGGCTTATGGAAGCTACCAGGGTGCGCAGAGCCAGGCACCAGCGACTCCGAAGGATTGCCCAGTGCCTTTTCACAACCTGTTGTGGGCACAGGTTGCACAAGCACAGCCGCAGCCTCAAGCGCAATTGCAGCCCTACACCCAGCCGCAGGCGCGTCACTGGGTCGAGAGTCGAGAGGTGTCAAGCGATCATCCATATGTCGAGCCATAAAAACTAACATCATCTCCTGATCGGTATCGGCATCGACATCGTCATCGTCTTCGTCGTCTCCGCCGTCATTGCCATCGCTTTCATCCATGTCACCATCATCGATTGTCACCAGCATCAGCATCGGCATATTACGATCATGGTCTGAGTCCTAGTCTGGTTCATCATCGTTAGCACTGGTATGTCATGGGCATACTATACTTGGGCATCTCATGCAGCATCGGGATCGGACCCTGCCGGTAGAAGGTAGACTTCAACCGACTAGCTCATGACTCTCCCATCGGCGGAGCAATGTATCTGTCCGGCCTTTCCGAGTTCAGCCGCGCGTTTAGAGATCGGCTGATCTTTTGACGGTTTTTGTCGATTTCGCGCAGCAATGTTGTAAATCGCCCGACCAAACTTCTTCGAACCGTCCAGTGAAAGAAACGGAAGAAGTATAGACACAAACACTAACTAGATAAGTTGCCTTATGTCTCATTGTCGTGCTAGCTCTCATACGGAAACACGTCATCGGACTATACAGTTCGTGTGTGTTGTATTTCACTACAAGCCGCACTTCTGTTTGATTGTTTGTGCGCGTACATGGAAAGCAGCACACACAAACATCAGTGATTCATGCAGTTCGTGCATTGCACTAGCACATACAGACATGTGTGCATATACATAAATAATATGCATATACATAGGAAGTAAATAATACGAATATGTGCATATCTAAAATAAAATGTAAAGAAACCAGAAACATGCATATATGTATATCTATGTATATATATATATGTATACGTATGCAGTTATATGTGAGTATGTAAACTCTATCTCTCTCCATATATACATATACTTATAGATACATGTGTGTATGTGTACATATGGATATACAGGTAGACACATACGAGTATACACATATGTATATGAATACACATAAATAAGCAAATTCACAAATACACAAAGAAACCCATACAAGATTAAGACAGATAGAGAAACAAATCAGTCTTCGCAAATGTGTGTGTATGTATATATATATGTACATATATATATATATATATATTTATGGGCTGCCGCCACTGCCGCCGACCCCAAAAGAAGAGAGGTGACTATCCAAGGAACGCAGCAGGTGTTGAAAGCAGCCAACTGCAAGTCTTGTAACTGGCACGAGTAGCATGAGCACATGACTGATGCTGCGAAGTATTCGGACTGACGCAGTGCTCAGCTCTCGGACATTGTGTGCGCATGTTTCAGCAACCTTGTGACTCAGAGGCAAAAGGCATCCGCACAAAACCGAGTTTAGCAGGAGGGCTGTATTCGATATGCTTAAGATACGGAACCAGTGCAGTTGTGGCCATGGGATGGTACGACAAAAAAAGTCGCGCGCGCGGCGGCGCATCGCAAAGCCGGGGCGGGCAGTGAGGACAATAAAGGTAGTGAGGGCGGTGGGGGCGGTGGGGGCGATCGGGGTGGTGGGGGCGGTGTGGGCGTAGGCGGTGGGGGCGGTGTGGGCGGTGTGGCGGGCGGGCGGTCGGTGTGGGCGGTGTGGGCGCGGGGGGGTCCGGGCACACATTGGCAGCCTTTAAGTACTCTTTACTCTTTAAACACCTACAAATACAGCGGGCGGTGAGAGCGGTGGAGACGGTGGGAACGGTGAAAGCGATGAAGGTGGTGGGGGTGGTGAGGGCGGTGAGGGCGGTGTGGGCGGTGGGGGCGGTGTGGGCGGTGTGGGCGGTGGGGGCGGTGGGGGCGGTGTGGGCGCGGGGGGGGTCTGGGCACACATTGGCAGCCTTTATTACTCTTTACTCTTTAAACACCTACAAATACAGCGGGCGGTGAGAGCGGTGGAGACGGTGGGAACGGTGAAAGCGGTGGAGGGGGATGAAGGTGGTGGGGGTGGTGAGGGCGGTGAGGGCGGTGTGCATGGGCGGTGGGGGCGGTGTGGGCGGTGTGGGCGGTGGGGGCGGTGGGGGCGGTGGGGGCGGTGTGGGCGCGGGGGGGTCCGGGCACACATTGGCAGCCTTTAAATACTCTTTACTTTTTAAACACCTACAAATACAGCGGGCGGTCAGAGCGGTGGAGACGGTGGGAACGGTGAAAGCGGTGGAGGGGGATGAAGGTGGTGTGGTTGGTGAGGGCGGTGAGGGCGGTGTGGGTGGTGGGGGCGGTGTGGGCGGTGTGGGCGGTGTGGGCGGTGGGGGCGGTGGGGGCGGTGTGGGCGCGGGGGGGTCCGGGCACACATTGGCAGCCTTTAAATACTCTTTACTCTTTAAACACCTACAAATACAGCGGGCGGTGAGAGCGGTGGAGACGGTGGGAACGGTGAAAGCGGTGGAGGGGGATGAAGGTGGTGGGGGTGGTGAGGGCGGTGAGGGCGGTGTGGGCGGTGGGGGCGGTGTGGGCGGTGGGGGCGGTGTGGGCGCGGGGGGGTCCGGGCACACATTGGCAGCCTTTAAATACTCTTTACTCTTTAAACACCTACATATACAGCGGGCGGTGAGAGCGGTGGAGACGGTGGGAACGGTGAAAGCGGTGGAGGGGGATGAAGGTGGTGGGGGTGGTGAGGGCGGTGAGGGCGGTGTGGGCGGTGTGGGCGGTGGGGGCGGTGTGGGCGGTGTGGGCGCGGAGGGGTCCGGGCACACATTGGCAGCCTTTAAATACTCTTTACTCACTCTTTAAACACCTACAAATACAGCGGGCGGTGAGAGGGGTGGAGACGGTGGGAACGGTGAAAGCGGTGGAGGGGGATGAAGGTGGTGGGGGTGGTGACGGCGGTGAGGGCGGTGTGGGCGGTGGGGGCGGTGTGGGCGGTGGGGGCGCGGGGGGGTCCGGGCACACATCGGCAGCCTTTAAATACTCTTTTTAAACACCTACAAAAACAGCGGGCGGTGAGAGCGGTGGAGACGGTGGGAACGGTGAAAGCGGTGGAGGGGGATGAAGGTGGTGGGGGTGGTGAGGGCGGTGGGGGCGGTGTGGGCAGTGGGGGCGGTGTGGGCGGTGGGGGCGCGGGGAGGTCCGGGCACACATCGGCAGCTTTTAAATACGCTTTACTCTTTAAACACCTACGAGAGCGGTGGAGACGGTGGCAACGGTGAAAGCGGTGGAGGGGGATGAAGGTGGTGGGGGTGGTGAGGGCGGTGAGGGCGGTGTGGGCGGTGGGGGGTGTGGGCGGTGTGGGCGGTGTGGGCGCGGGGGGGTCCGGGCACACATTGGCAGCCTTTAAATATTTTTTACTCTTTAAACACCTACAAATACAGCGGGCGGTGAGAGCGGTGGAGACGGTGGGAACGGTGAAAGCGGTGGAGGGGGTGGTGGGGGTGGTGAGGGCGGTGAGGGCGGTGTGGGCGGTGGGGGCGGTGTGGGCGGTGTGGGTGGGCGGTGCGGACGGTGGGGGCGCGGGGGGGTCCGGGCACACATTGGCAGGCTTTAAATACTCTTTACTCTTTAAACACCTACAAATACAGCAGGCGGTGAGAGCGGTGGAGACGGTGGGAACGGTGAAAGCGGTGGAGGGGGATGAAGGTGGTGGGGGTGGTGAGGGCGGTGAGGGCGGTGTGGGCGGTGGGGGCGGTGTGGGCGGTGGGGGGTGTGGGCGGTGTGGGCGGTGGGGGCGGGGGGGTCCGGGCACACATTGGCAGCCTTTAAATACTCTTTACTCTTTAAACACCTACAAATACAGCGGGCAGTGAGAGCTGTGGAGACGGTGGGAACGGTGAAAGCGGTGGAGGGGGATGAAGGTGGTGGGGGTGGTGAGGGCGGTGAAGGCGGTGTGGGCGGTGGGGGCGGTGTGGGCGGTGGGGACGGTGTGGGCGGTGTGGGCGGTGTGGGCGCGGGGGGGTCCGGGCACACATTGGCAGCCTTTAAATACTCTTTACTCTTTAAACACCTACAAGTACAGCGGGCGGTGAGAGCGGTGGAGACGGTGGGAACGGTGAAAGCGGTGGAGGGGGATGAAGGTGGTGGGGGTGGTGAGGGCGGTGAGGGCGGTGTGGGCGGTGGGGGCGGTGTGGGCGGTGTGGGCGGTGTGGGCGGTGGGGGTGCGGGGTGGTCCGGGCACACATCGGCAGGCTTTAAATACTCTTTACTCTTTAAACACCTACAAATACAGCGGGCGGTGAGAGCGGTGGAGACGGTGGGAACGGTGAAAGCGGTGGAGGGGGATGAAGGTGGTGGGGGTGGTGAGGGCGGTGAGGGCGGTGTGGGCGGTGGGGGCGGTGTGGTGGTGTGGGCGGTGTGGGCGGTGTGGGCGGTGTGGGCGCGGGGGGGTCCGGGCACACATTGGCAGCCTTTAAATACTCTTTACTCTTTAAACACCTACAAATACAGCGGGCGGTGAGAGCGGTGGAGACGGTGGGAACGGTGAAAGCGGTGGAGGGGGATGGTGAGGGCGGTGAGGGCGGTGTGGGCGGTGTGGGCGGTGGGGGCGGTGTGGGCGGTGTGGGCGCGGGGGGTCCGGGCACACATTGGCAGCCTTTAAATACTCTTTACTCTTTAAACACCTACAAATACAGCGGGCGGTGAGAGCGGTGGAGACGGTGGGAACGGTGAAAGCGGTGGAGGGGGATGAAGGTGGTGGGGGTGGTGAGGGCGGTGAGGGCGGTGTGGGCGGTGGGGGCGGTGTGGGCGGTGGGGGCGCGGGGGGGTCCGGGCACACATTGGCAGCCTTTAAATACTTTGTAAAAGTAAGGGCGGCGGTGGCGGTAGGGGCGGTGTGGGCGCGGAGGGGTCTGGGCACACATTGGCAGCCTTTAAATACTCTTATTTTTTTTTGACACCTACAAATACAGCGGTGAAGGACTCTTTAAACAGGGCGGTGGTGGAGGTTGTGAGGGCGGTGGGGGCGGTGAGGACGGTGGGGGCAGTGGGGGCGCGGAGAGGTCCGGGCACACATTGGCAGCCTTTACATACTCTTTAAACACCTACAACTACAGCGGAGAAAGACTCTCTGAACAGAGCGGTGGAGGCGGTGGAAGCGGTGTGGGTGCGGACACCTCTCGGGATATCACGGGCGCCGCCCGCAGGGGTCGGCGGATATATCTGCGTACGTTTTTGCCGAAAGCCTGAACTTCGACAAGTTTGTGTCAGACCAGACTTATAAACACACCGAACGTTTGTAAACCCAGGCAAAGTTTATGATCCTTTGATATCCTTGAATCTGGACCAAGGCATATAAGTCACAGTGAATAAACACGTCTTCGTGTCCACATCGAAGCCAACATAAAAGACGCAATATCTAAGCCTCTATGGATGATTATGGATGTTTCTTACACTTCTCGTTACGCTACGTACCTTCCCCTTGCAGGTGCCATGATTCCGCTGTGTTCCTCACCTTTTCTACAGACCTACTTGGGAGACTAGCGCAGCAAGTCGCAAATCCTAAGTACGGGCACCTATCATTGTAACCATCCATGTTTTCACAATGCTGACCAGCTGAAGCCCGTACAACATCATGAATTCTACAACAACCCCGTCGAGACCCTGATACAACATGCTAAAGCCCTTGCCTTGTAGGCGTCGATACATTTTCGTATTGCATGCCTCTGCGACTGCTCTCTAAACCCTTGTAGATCCAAATTACTAGCAAATGCCCTTTTAAGAAATTAACCTGGTTCAGTCTTGCCCTACGGTGAACTAAACTATAGAACCTGGAGTTCTGAATGTTTGTATTGCAATACTGCAGTTCCCCAAGCGTGTCTTTGTTTCTAAGCATTGCTTTGGAATTTTGGCTACATACAGCGCTGAATAACATATCCCTGTTCCCGTATGCATTATGCGGGCATTTGGGTGTTGCATTCCTCAACTCTGCGTAGTGACGCTCCCAAAATGAATCCAACAACTTGCATACTGTGCACGCTTAGCAAACGTTGTATAGAGTGTTTCTCCTGTGGGGCAGTATACACAGAGTGTCGCTTCTTCGACTCGACTCTATTTCGATATACCGAGTGACAAAACCTGTGCTTCTCGTTACACTTCTCGTATCAGCATAGCGGAGCCATCTCGTAGAGCCCACTGCGGACCAGAAAGCCTCATGTAGTTTGTCCGCATTGATGCAAAATAGTGTTTGCCCCTACAATGAGTTCGTATCAGCATAACCGCGTGCATGTTCTGTTGACTTTGCTAGTCCCGCGCCCTGCCACGCCTATGTTTGTGTTCTTGTGAGCACGACCGGAGCCCTATTAAAAGCCATTGTCCCAGTCCAGAACGTGATTCCTCGTGTTAGAGATAAAGGTTAAGCACACCGCGTCACTCCTAGTAGTGTTCTACGTACCAAGCGAGGAAACCTAACAGTCTGTAAGCTGCAAGTTTTTGGTTACTCGCCACACCTTTGCTTCTCAGTCTTGTCTCATCGAAATCCTGCTTCCTTGGAATGATGTTCGGACATAAGGTTGCAACCAATTCGTCTATGTACCACGTGATGAAACCCTGCGACGAAAAAAGTGTTCCTCCTTACAAGTGAGGTTTTGTCAGTCGTATCTCAAGTTTCTGTGTCGCTTGACGTTTTCGTGTTGACAACACGTACTGAGCTATTGAACCCCGACGGAAGCCACGTGGTGTTCAGCAAGATAGTTCCTGCATGAGTGACGTACAAGCGCCTACTCGCTTAGTGTGTACATAGGTACATAGATTGCCTTCTCTCTTGTAAACTCCATGTACTGGAACAGCCAGATCATGAGAACGATCCTGCTGCATGGCCTTTCCGCTAAAGTCGCGGGAATCTGCATATGGGGTCCCGAAAATATGTGAATCCTGGCCAAAAACACTGCGTCATTGCTCAAAAAACGACTAAATGCTGGATACCTAGTACCATCTATTCTCCTAGTTTGTTAAACTGTTTCATTGCAGTTTCATTCTTCCTGAATCACCTAAACCATCGAAACTTTGGATTTAGGTGTTGGAGAAGTGCTGACTCTAATGAGGTAGATTGATTTCGTACGTTTTATTGGGCCAGGGGACCCTCCCAAAGTTTATAAACCACGACATTGGTTTATAAACCCAGCTTTTCCGAACCTTCAAACAGTCAGTTTACCTATATGACGGGCAGGGCACAATTAAACCAACGGACCAGTTTCACCATTTCACCAGTCGGTTTGATCCTTCGAGTGGTTTGGTAACCAAACCAATTCATTTCCTTCTTGCACCATTTCACCAATGGACTTGGTCTTATGAGGTGGGGAGGACAAACCATATGGGGTGATTGCACACCCGAAATCATTTCACCATATCACCATTTCACCACACCATGTTACAAATTAGTTTGGCGCTATGTTTAAACCCACACCCATCAACCGTTTCATCACTTCACCAACCCACCTCACCAGCTAGTTTGGCCCTAACCCGTAAACCGTCTCACAATTTCACCAATTCGTTTGGCCCTAACCCATGAATCATTTCACCAACTAGTTCGGCCCCAACCCTAAACCATTTCACCTGGTCTGGCCCTAACCCATAATCCATTTCACCATTTCACCGTTTCACCATTTCACCATTTCACCAATCAGTTTGGCCCTAACCCCTAAACCATTGCGTCTGACCATATGGGGGAAATGAGTTGTGAGATGGTGAACTGGCCTGACCATATGGGGGAAATGAATGGTGAAATGGTGTGTGAGAGATCACGAAATGCAGGGGGATCTAACATTACCCATACATATATATATATATATACACATACATATGTACACATTTGAGCAACCACACACACATCTATATATATATATATATATATATACACATATATATATATATGTATATATATGTATATATATATATGTATGTATGTATGTACGTATGTATGTATGACGTGTGCGTATGTCTATTTATACACATGCATATGTTTGTTATAGGCACGCATACATGCATGCGTGCAGGCCTTTTTGTTTGGAAGTGATTTGGCAGGCAGACCCAACAGTCGCAACTGGCAGCCTGGTCCGCTCCTCGTGTTGCTGTATTTATTCGCTTCGCGGTGTCGGCGTGTAGGCTTACGTGACCTTGATCCGTGTCGGAATTTGCATTTACGGCTATGTCTTTGCTGACAACATGCCTTTGCTGAGCTGGTCAACACGCTCAAGATCCCATGACAGCCTTATTCGTTTGCGTTGATCAGGGACGTGGGCCTGCCAGTGGCTTAGTTCCCTGGAAGTTCGGCACAACGAAAGGGCCTCTCCGCAAGCCTGAGGCAACCGCGGATCAGCAGTCCCAACAGCAATACTTGGATATGGCACCTGCCCCGGAACTCTGTTCTGTTCAGCCGTACCATTCTTGGATCTTGTGAGGTTTGGCAGCTATCTGACATGTCCTTGAACGACAAGGCTGGCTCGGCCAACGTCAGAGCCGAGGGCGCAGGGAATTCTTGTTGAAACGTCCCGTTGCCTGAGGGAGTTGTAACGTGTAGTGATGGTTGCTGTTGAACATGTTTGGCTATTTGTCAGCAAGCGTTGCCGGCACCTCCGGCACAGCAGCCGCCTGCGCCGCCGGCAGAGCCTGGAGCCCAAAAGATCTTGGCCGAAATGGCCACCTGACGACTGCGCCGTGCCCTGTATGTTCGTGGCACCAAGGCACGTTCCAACAGCCAACTGGCAGCGTGACGGCACTGTGCCAGCAGCCGGTGGGCCTGCCAGTCCCAGACCAGTGGCACGGGTGTTCTCTGAAGTTTGTTGTGCCAGGGAGTTCCGCTGCGGTCGCGAGCAAAGCTTTGCTTGATGTCCTGGGCCTGTCTCCGTCCGCTGCTTGCATGGCTGTCAAGGTCTGGAACTCTTTCGACGATGCTGCTGCCAAGGGCATGGCTCGGCACCAAGGACCAAGGATTTAGCATCCGCAAGCCTCTGAGAACCGACCGGATCCGAGGTAGACGGACTTGTAGGTGGGGATGAGACGAGTGCTCCTCCACCTCTGCCACCACCTCCTCCCAATGCCAACACAGCCATGTGGGGGTCTCACTGAGAAGGCATCTGGCCGACTGCCACCAATGTTTCAGAGATTGTGCTTAGAAAGGTTCCCGTAGACCATTACCGTTCATTGCTTCTTACATTGGTCTCACTCTGCTGCGTCCCGGTTTCATCCGGTTTCACATATTTATATGGGCTTCGCCCACGGTCAAGGCGGACTTGACCCCAGTTCGGGCTGGAAGCATTATGTCTCAGGCAGAGAAGTGGTGCCACTATGAATGTCTCCTCTGCAAAGTCTCCTCACACTGAACCGCTCATCACGTCGAGGGTGAAGCAGTGATGTGTGGTTTCTTATGAAGACGCGTCTCACAGGGTTCGATCTCGGACATATCATGCCTTCTCGTACATCACCACCTGAACCGAGTGCTTCATCGTGGTGCCGACACCTGGTCCAATCGGCCGAACCTTGTATCACAACAGGGCCCGCAGCGCCTGGCCATGCCGGTTCCATTTCACCATCTGAACGGCAGCCTTTATCGGCGGGCAATCTCCCAACGAATCGTGCACAATTCGATTGATCAGATGCCAGCAAGTAGCTCGCTTGACTTTATGTAGAACATGTGCCCAGTTTTAAGTGTAGCCTAACAGCCAGTCCCGGCCGCAATGTGTCGGAGACTGTCAGAAGGATTGCTGGTCTGACAGTATGAGTGAGTTTCATCGGATTTTGATGCTCGGCATATCAAGCCTCGGTGTTAGTAGCAAAACACAAGTGCACATGTGTCTGTGCGTCAGTAGAAACTCGGCAAACTGTTCCCGAAGGGCGGGAGGGACTACGTAGTGTAGGACGGCCGCACGAGGCGCAAGACATCAAGAACGAGAGGGCAAGGGTCCCGAAGATCTTGCCAGGATCTAGGAAGCCGGGCATAATCGCGGCAGAATCCTCGGCCCTACGCGATGACGACCATCATGACGATCACTCGCAATTTCAGAAATCTCACGCGGACCCTGTGCCAGAAACTCCCTTCAACCAAGACTAATTTGACTTTTCAGGTGTCTGTCTAGAACCTACAGATCTTTTTTCTGGAGTGCACCGGTCTGCTTTGCTTCTGGGCTCAGAGCGGCTGCGCCGCCAACCTAAGTCTTGCTCTCACCAATTGACATGGCCCGACGCTGAGAAGGGGATTCAAAGAACGCCCCATTAAACGAAACACTGCATCTCAGCTTCAGGTCAGGTGTGAGAGCTATGGCCCGCGGCTGAGACCCACCGTCCGGAGGAAGGAATGCAGGTTGTCGTAACGCCTCTCGCGCAGGTGTTCGGCCTGAAGCTTGGTCTTCCCAAAGCTACGAAGGTCCGGCTTCTTGTTCTCAACGGTGTGAAGAGGATTTCTTTGGAAACTGTGTCTCAACATCTTCGGTCTGAAAGGCATCGGCTGAGTCTCCAGACAAGAGTTCGAAGGCCAGAGCTTGGGCATTGTCGCAGAGAGCATTCTGCTACAGCTCCGCCATGTTTCAGGCAGAGGGAAGTGGACGGAGTAACTCCAAAGGAGACAGGAGTGGTCCTGGAGGAGGAGGCACGGATCGACATGGTGGTGTCAAGAGCCAAGTCCAAGAGCGGCTTTACCCGCTCGCAGGTAAAGGAGCACTTACCGTCAATGAGTTTGTCAGTGCCTAAGACCTGACGACTTGAAGGGCCATCAGGCATTTCTGCTCCAAGGTTGCTCGCACAAAGCGATATAGAGAAAGAGGGCTCGAGCCAACCAAGCCTGAACTCATTGCCTACGCACGGCGCAACGCTCAGCGGTGCATTCGCCCAGCTTGTATTAAGTCTGATCGAGGAGTTGCGATGCGTTCGGAAGGTACTTGGGTATAGATCCCATCACAGATGGTGACCTCATGTGGATAGCAGATGAGGCCGGAGCACATTTTCGAGTGGCATTTTGGCCTTAAGTCGGTTGTCTGCAAGGCTCTTGCAGCACCGCTTCCGTCCGAGTGGACAGAACATCACGACAGGTGCGCTGCACGGCCTTTGCACAAACGAAGCCTTGTGTGGTGCTGTGACTCACTTCTGATCCTTTCGCTCGACGCAGTGCGGATCGGGTCTTCTACTACAACGTGCAGACCCATGCCAGCTCGTGGACACATCCTCTCGAGCAGATGCACCGGGACACGTGACCTGACCCTCGTTGGGATTTGGGGTATCGGATCTTGCTGACCAGGTGGCATGCGGTTGTGACAGTGAGCCACTCAAGTGCTGAAACATGTCAAAACCGGAGCCAACATCCGTGACACAACTGGAGCAGGTTCACAATGGAACAAATGCGGGATGTCCTGCAGGGTTACGGGCGCAGATTTGCCAACAGGTACAAGTCCATCGTGCATTATCGCAGCGGAGAGGTCTCCAAGGAGGAGAATCTGCGTAAGTCATGTTGCACCTGGCGTGTCTCAGCTTTGCGCTATTCTGCGCTGTTCTGTAATACCCATGGCTTGATCGGCTTGTGAGGATCAGGTGACTGAGCTCGAGAGGCTCAAGAGAAAGCCTTTCTCTCGACTTGCTCTTCGCATCGTGGTGTGCAGTCTCTCCATTGTCAGAGCTGCTCGTGACCAAGCCACTGAGGTGCGACGACGCAGAGCGTGAGTCTATCAGAGAGCTTCAGGTTCCGCATGCACATGGCGAACGTGATACATTCATAGATTTCAATGCATGCAGGCGTGGTCAGAACATACTGACGAGGGAGGCAGGGACGAGCCCGAACACTATTCGAGCCTCGAACGAGATTGGCAGAAGTGAAAGTGGGTCCAGGTCAGAAGTTCTTTTACAATCGCGAGAAACAGGTCAGTGCAGGGAGCCTACAGAGCTAAGGTTGGTTGATCGTGATCGAATCCGAATTAGCGTGAGTGTGCATGGCATGGCCGAGGTGTGGACAGATCCACGGCCTGCGCGTTGCCATGCCCTGCCCGCCGGCAGGTCTACACTACGAGCATTGGTTTGTGATGGAGACCGCTGGTTGTCTCAGGTACCTGCAGATGAGAGCTCTCCGCGACATGAGCAAACATTGTGGGCAGGCGGGAGCCACAGTTGCCATGCTCCTACCGTGCACTTGGATTGCTTGTTGGACAGGCCGTTCCTGGGCTTGGCACAATGGATGATCCGCGGAGAGATAAGCTTCGAATTCAGCAGCGCATATCCCAGTTGTCAGTCGAGTCTGAATGCATCTTCGTGGCGCTTGGTATGGTAGCACCCGGCAGCAAGCTCAGGACGTTGGTGATTGGAAACGTAGGCAACGATCTCGTGTGTTGATGCACCCCATCGAGCCTTGTATGATGCTTGCCTTGCAGATCCTCTGGGCCGAAGTACGCAAAGCACTCAGCGCTGCAGAGATTTTGTGCAGCTTCATGGCTTGATTTCCGAGGCGTGACAAAAGAGATGATGACAGTCGTTTGGCTGGCGCTGGGAGCCCAGTTCTATGGCCAATCGCCATGAACTCTGTCAAAGTCTCAAAATCTGATCCTGTGCACAAGGGAAGTGGCACTGCAGGCTTGGCTCGACTGCATGCGGCAAGATGCAAACTGTGCCCCGTTTTGTCAAGCTCGAAGCCCCTCGCAGGCCAAAAAGACGAGGAGAAGAAAAAGAAGAAGAAACACAAGGAGGCCACCAGCACAGCCTCTACTGATCCAGCTGAGCTGCGTACGAGCCTTCTGTGTTCAGGGAAAGCACAAGAAAGAGGGAGGCAACGAGGCCTTTCGTTGCTGCTTGCAGTCTGCATGCCATTTTCGGTGCGGGTTAGGTCCCCGCTTGGTGCCCAGGAGCTTCTGGACCTGACCGAAGACGGCGATGGGGAGATAGGCACTTGCTAAGAGAAAACTTTTTGCAAGCACCCAAGCACTCGGTCAGCTCTGCCGGGCACAGGAGCTCCGGACATCTTCAACAAGAAGTCTGGCCTCGATGTCAAGAAACCCTCGTTGTCTGCCGTGGAGGAGGCACGGCCATCACACGGCCAGAAACACGATAGAAAACGCCCCTTGCGACCGGCCACCCCCTCCCCCCCAAAGGTGAGACAGGCGCTTGGTGTTGCTCCTGGCAGCAACGCCGCTGGCAGCCAAAGTAGGACACCGAGACCTCCTGGCAGCTGAATCCGCTTCGGCTTCACCGTCGCTGGCTTTCAGGTCCACGCGGACTGTCTGGCGGACTGCCCAGCATAAACCAGGGGAGTTTTGGCCGCTTGCCACAAACACCACCAGGCGGGCTGTCGCTGAAAGCTACTAAGACCTGGCGAAAGGGTGTTCCTGGTTTGCCAGGTGATGGTTTAAGCTCCGTCGGCCGGGCAAAGGTAAGGGCAGGCATTCGTTTAGAGCGGGCAGCCAAGCTTTTCCACGTGCTGTGCTATCTGTGCTATGTTCTGCCAAGCGACAACTCAGCCACTTTGCGCTTCAGCACCAGTCACCGTTTCGGGGCAAGGGGATGCCCTCACGTGCCTCCATGCCAAAGCATGCCATAGCCGCCATGCCATAACCTTTTGCTTGAGGCCGATCAAGGGCTAGCGCCCGTTTACTGGGTATGGGGACCCAGGCCGGCAAACGGGTGCGCCCGGCCTTCTACATAATTCGAGCCTGTTGCTGCCAGGCTACATGATACTGCACTGCCTGAGCCTGGATCCCAAGCCGTTCGACCATGGAGCACAGCATATTCCGTAAAGGTTTCACAGCCAGCAGTGTATGGCAGTTGAGGCTGCGGAAACCAAACGACTCTCGGCTTGCAGGGGGTAGAGGCGAATAGACTCCCAACAATCAAGCTAGTGGTTCCCAGCTTTGTGCATACTTTGCTTTCATTGCTTTCCTGTTTGAGCATGTTTGCAAGGGCTGCTGTGCAGCTTTGTAAGTCGTTTTGTCGTCTCTGCCTTGTGCCCTTCCTGTCCAATCCTGTTTAGATCTTTTGCTTTCTACTTATGTCGCCACCCTGTTTGGCGTGTTGCTTCGTCAGTGCTCCTCTCCTTCTTGTCCTTCTTCGTGCCTTACCTGTCTGAGCGAGTTTAAGCGTCTGCTTTTGTGAATTTGCATCTTTTCTGGTGTTCTTGTCTGTTTCGCGCCTTTCCAGGTGGTGACCATGTCTGTGAGGTCTGCTCTGTGAGTTGCCAAGATCCTGTCGAGTCTGCTGCGTGAAATTGCCGAGCATGCTTTGCAGCAACTCCTGTTTGCCCCTGTCCTCTTTGTGGTGTCTGCTTTGTGGTTGTGCACCTTCCTGATTGCACCTTTTGCACTGTAAGATACTACAACTGGGCCCCACTTTCATTTTGTGGTGACTGGCTACTGTGTGCTTCCCAGGCTGCGCTCAGGCGTTTTGCTTTCATCTGCTTCTCCCAAGCAGCCTTTGCCTCAACGTCTTTTCGGAGTGTCGTCACGTTTTGGGAGTTTGAGAATTCGCATCGATCTCCAGGTCGTCAGAGGCTCTTTAGGAGTTTCTGTCTCAGTATCTTGCGGATGGTGCACTGCTCCGGGCGACGTTGCTGGTATCTGTAAGCCATGAGAACCGTCACGCTCAGGTCTCTTTTTCCTCTTGGCTGTGATTCAGCCAGGACAGAAGGGAAGTGATTGCTGATGCTTTCAAGGCGGAGAGAGCTACGTGACACCTGCTACAGCTTGTGACACTCCAGGAGCTTGAAAGGACTGGGCCAAAGCACCAGCTTGTCCCGATGAGATCTCACTTGTAGAGCACCTTGGAGCATGATTCATTGGGAACTTGCTGAGTTTCGTCAGATTTTTCACAGCAGCTCCGTGTGGCAGCTCAGGTGGCTCTCTTTTCACCTCGTCCTTTTGAGTGGTGCCAGCTCCAAACCGCCTCCTGCACTGAACATCTAGCCTCACTTTCCCAATCATCCCCGTTCTGGCGCAGCATCTGGCGACAGCGGCGTGAGTTGATCACTAGTCGTACGTACCTGTACCTTCAGACTGCACTTCTGATCTCGGGGTTTGGGGCAGCTCCACTCTCCCTGAGTTTCTTTGACTCAGGACCCTGTCCATAGATTCGAAGCTGGTGGTGGCAGTTTGTAGGTTACCAGGGTGGATTAGCTCAGGTCCAGGCTCAATAAGAAAGCTTCGAGTCCAGGGCTCTGCTGGTGCACGCAGGAGCTTGTTTCACCTGTGCCCACCAAGAATTGCTTACAACACAAAATCCTCCAAGCTACACAGCTTGCTCCAGGAGTTTGGCCAGCGAAGGTTCACAAGCCAGAAACCACAGCTATTCTAACTATGGCCGCGAGTCTTTTAATTTGACTTTGCTGATATGGTCTGTCGTCGTGACCCTTCGTGTGGTGCTAGCTGCTTTTTGAAAGGCGAACGCCTTGTCTCACTCGCACACTAAATACCCGGACATATACTGCCATTGTCCATAAGACCGGCACTGAGAGCTTCCATAAAGTTCGAAACGGCGGCAACAGCTTGAGCCTATGATAGTCGTTTCATTCGCATCAACAGTAACTCAGCAGCGCAGACGGGTGCATAGACATAGGCTCAGATTTCTAGACACCAATGGGCGTTGAAGAGCTTCGACACCTGCGAAGATGCTGTAGCATGTTGAAATTTCAGCACGTCTGAGCATCTCCAGATTCCGGCTTTTGCAGCCGGTTGATCCGATACCGAGTACAAGAAAACGGATGCTTGCATAAGTGGAGCGATTACGATGGTGGTTGTAAGGATGCCTTGCGCGCCCGCCAATGGAATCGGGCGTGCTCATGGCTCCAGAGCTGGCAACATGTGGGCTTGACGCATGGTGTTGCAATGGCAAGCGCGCAGACCAGGCGTGAATTCGGCAGGAGCATTGCAATACAAGAGCAGGGCCAAACCAATCATGCTGCAACAGTGCATCAGCCGGAAGCCCATTTCTAGCTGCAACCCATAAGCCACCAAACAAGCAGACCTCCGAATCTCAGTGGCAGCTAGAATCTTGCCTGGCTTCGTTGACCAACGGAAGGCCAGCATTGAGTGGCATGCTGCTTCAGAGGGACCAAGGGCTACTTTATGACCAACATTCCTGACTGCAGCTCCTCTTTTGTCGTTAGACGGCTGCAATTACCAGTGCCAGTTGTTCCAGTATTGGTGGTGGTTGTGGTCGTTGGCCCCGGCGCTTGCCGGTGCGCAGGAATGACCAAGCGTTTCCGGACAGCAGTTGATTTTCTGCAAAGTCCATGTCTCCAGCGCATGCCATGCCCCAACCATGACAACGTCCGTGTCACCAGTGCATCCGTTGGTCAGAGCACACATGCGCAAACCTTGATGATGTGACTGATTGTCACGAGCCCTGTTTGGGATGGCTTTCTTATAATAATGGCAGGGCGTGCTGTGTTTGCATCGTTTCGGATCGTCGGTTTTTTTGTTTATCGGATGGATGATTTCTTTAATCTGAGGTCAGCCTGCCTAGGCTACAGTCTTGATGACCGCTGCTTAATCGTTGGTCATTGTGCTTGTTTGCAAGTGTGCGAGAGGCATGCGACACAGTCTCAACAAGTGTCGTCGGGTTATGCGCGCAGAGCATGAGAAAAAACATGTTTGGTCTTGCAAGTTGACCATAAAATGCATTCGGCGAACCCCCTGGTGTCTTTCAAACATAAGCACGATCCGACATACAGCACAGAAGCTGCTGTGCATGCCGTTTGTCTTGTAGTTGCAAAACATGTTGAATGAAGACGTTCGTGCGGCACACCTTGCGATAGCCTTTTCGCATTGTTTCAAGTTTGCATTTCCATACATGCAGTCGATGTATGCCCGGCACAAGTGACAGCAGCTGACATAGCATTTGTAATTTTGGGAAGGTCGCTGTTCTTTTGCTGCTACACGCGACCATGCTCTTGGTTTTGCTATGCTTGCCAAGATCGCGGCTGTCACAATGGATGCTACCATGGCCATCGATAGCATTGCCATTGCAACTCCTGAACTACTGTTTCGCCTTTCACCAAGATGACAGGTACTGCAAGTCTTACTAAGGGCTGAATTGCTGTCAAACCCGTCCAGGTTTCATTCACTGTTGTAGCTTTGAGTGCAATTTCGACCGGTCATCATTAATACAACCACGGCCATTGATATCACTACTGAAGATGCCAACCGATAAATGCAACGACGACTCTTTGATGATACCGAAGCAGATCTCTATTTCCCCTTGTTATTCTGCTGCCACTGCTACTGCTACAGCTTCTGCTGCGATACTGCAACTGCTATTGCTGCCTCTCGCATGAGTACGATGACTGCGCGCGCATTTGCGAGAAGAATTCAGCCAAGCAGTTTCAGTCTACGTTTTGGGCGGCCTTACTCCGCTTCCTTCTGCTCAGAGCCAGTGATGCTTCACCTTTTGGTATGATCTCATGGCAGCTGCTGCCCTAGTTTTGCTTTTGGCGTTCTGCAGGCTTCTTCAGGAAGATGGTGGCTGGAGACAGGCCTCCGCGACATATTTGTGACCATACAGGGCTTCTCATAAACGACCTTCGTGAATGGTCGACTCCCCTCCTTGCACAAGCAGCAGCGAAAATACGAACAACAGCAGCGCAGATCCAGCAAAGGAAAGCAACAAAAGCCAGACGAGCAAAACGGCTTGTGAGTTCTTGCTGGGTTGCTTGTTTGGTTCGGGAGGCGAGTGAAACTTTCAGGAGGAACACGAAAATCAAGATAAGGTGCTCGGGAAGCAGCCGAAACTCGCTAGAGACGGCAACTACACAGGCGAGTCAAGCCACATTCCGAAGCTCTGCCACGTCTGCATCTGTACATGGAGATGGCACGGCAGTCAGCACCAAACAGCCAAAAGAGCCACACGACATGGTCTACCCGCTAGGCCGCTAGGTGCCGTCAGGTACGGCATCTACATATTACGACAGACTTTCCTCTGTCAAACATACAATTTGCCGAGGCTAACTCAGCCAGCTGTGGCAAACTATGCAAGCAACCCGATCGTCAATTTGCGGATGTCGGTGACATTGTGGTGACATTGGGTGGAATCGAAGAGAGGGGCCAAGGACGGAATTGAATGTGTTGGCCATGGGAAGTCAAGGGTTGCATGTTGCCTCGTGACAGCTGCTTGCCGCCCCTGCCGCTGGTGGTTGCAGGCTTCGCTGGGCTGACATGGTCGACACTGCTGACCACGAGGATCGTGCCATGGGCCGCAGATTGTGTAACATGCTCCAGCAGGGGTGCCCAAGTCGTTACATCAGATGGCCGCGATCGGCAGGCGACCTGGTTTCCGCAATTTTCTATGCAGCACACGGTCACCTGCGACATCAAACTCGAGCCGCTTCTGAAGAAGGCGCACGAAGATTCCTGTTCCCGTTCTCGATCGCTTAGATTTGCATCCTTTCGTCCAAACAGCCAGGCAGACGGTGGTGTCTGTCCCCCTCACGAGTGTCCTCGACCGACTGTGCTGGTTATCGCGCGAGAGGATTCAGAGGCAGAAGCAAAGCAGAGATGGAAAGGCCCACTTCAGCTGCAGACAACATCCAATCAGGACATCGACGAAGAGGAGTGGAAGCAAAGATCAGACAAGCGCTCGAAGGCTCGGAGCTTGGCAGAGTTGCTTTTGGCTTGTGTGCGAACGATGTAGGAGCTGTGTACTCGTGTTTTTCACTTCTGTCTTGAATTGTTGCGACGATTGTGACGATTCTGGCGAAGAAATCATGAAACCTTAGTCTTTGCAGTTCTCAGGCTTTGTAAGGTTTGCTGTCGTAGTAGTACTGAGTAGTGGTTGTGGAAGCAGCAGCAGGAGGAGCAGCAGTAGCATGAGCAGCAGCAGGAGCCAGAGCAGGAGTACCGGAGTACCAGATACGGAGTTTTGCAAGTTGTCGCTGTCACGATGCAACTGCGAAGCATGCAAAGAGGAGGGAGCCCTAGGCACGATGTTTGCAATGCCATAGAAGACCCTGCAAAAGCAGCAGCTGTTCTTTCAGCACAAAGCCGACAACAGTCCTGAACAGCCCTGCACCGAGGCAGTCGCCCAGTGCGGCACACTCAGCCATTCGTTCGATTGTGCTTCCGACCTTTCTATGCAGAGACTCCAAGGCAAAGCCCTGCCCGAGTATCAGAGGCAACCTTGGGGAAGTGAGTGCAGATCTTGAAGTTGGGAGCATTCGCCAGGGGCTGTGTGAAGTACTGGCAGGCTCAAGCAGCTTGGGAGCTCCAACGAGGAGCCAAGGACGCCGAATGCGTTGGACCCCCTCCAAGATCCATGAGAAGAAACGGAGCAAGGCCGGAGACACAACATGAATCATGACCCACCGAGGATCGTTCGCTCAGCAAGAGGCGGTGGAAGATTCTTGATTACATTGAGCGACACCGCATCGTGGTGTGGTAGATGAATGATGGAGCCGGTTGCCTTGCGGCTGAACTCAGGTATCTTCTCCAGCAGTGGCGTTCCGAGGCCGTCGGATGTTTGCAAGAGAGGAAGGGGCTCCGAAAGCTGCTCCGCTGCTCCTTCGTTCACGCACGACTTTCTTCTCCAGCGAGGGCTCTTAATTGGGTGTCCTACACCAGTCAGCCTTGGTCGTTTCCTGTGCCAGATTCAGAAGCTTGCCACCGAGCATGTCGAGTGTAACGAGGCGCTGGCATGCTCTCAGAACGGCTCAGTTTTGAACTCCAGCCTGAGCCAGGCGACATCATGATAATGATCTGCAATCGGGCGGCATCATGCTTAGTGGATATTGTTGAACTGGGTACTTGTAGCACATCATACTGAGTGAGCTCTCGAACACCTGCAGAGGTGTGTTCCATCGGCGGCATGGGGTTAGTTGCTGAGGGCACGTTGACGCCTGATTGAGACTTTTTAACCTCGGGAGCACCATGTTCGCGCCAACTCGATCCACGACCAGCTGCTACGTGTTGTTTCGGTGTGTCGCTTCCGAGATGTACCTGGTTGATCGTATCGCAGCGGGGACCGGGACAAGGTCACCGGCAATCTAAGTGCATTGTCCAGATAAGTGGGAGGATTTGCCTGGCCGTGTTCCGAACTTAAGGTTGGTGTTCAAATTACAGGCCACATGTTCGGGCCGTTCAATCAAACTAGATGCCGCACTTCCTCCCATGTCGCACCACAAGATTGCGGCTCGTTTTATTGTGATGTTGCGAGTGATGCATGAATTACTTTCGAGTGGGAGTTCAGATCCGAGACGACATAGCTCATGAAACAGTCTGCGCAGGTCTGCGCCACCTCACATCGCTCACAGCGTCCGTGTATGCTACATAATTGCTACATCGCCTCAGGCGGCCGTGGCGCATGTAATTCTGCAGCTTCTCTGTTTTCCGGGTTTATCCTCGTCGTGTGTACACTTCACTTCCAGCCCTGTTCCCGGCTCAGGCCTCTAGGCAACTCTTCAGAACTTGAGAAGCTGCGGCGAGGAGAGTAATCTGCCGGACCATGCCTGGGGCAGGCATGCCAGATGCGGCATTAGCTGCAGTGCAGATCTTGCAAAGAGGTGCCTCAGCAAGAGCTCGCTGGCCCAGCTTAGATTTCAACATGCGACGCGATCGTCATCCGGAAACGCGCAGCGGGTTTGGCCCAGAAGAGTGGGACCCGGTTCTTTGCCGGGGCAAGCCATGGTCGCTTCAGGCCGAAACGGTCCTTGCCAGCAGATCCTCAAATGAAACCTGACACTGAGCAGGTGCACGCAGCTTGCAGATCCTCACGGGCTTCCTCGCCATCTTGCTGCAAGTGCACTGGCTCGGCTAAAGAAAATCCTGCATTGCGAGACATGCATCTCGCAGAGACAACCTGGAGGTGCGAGCTGACATTGCCTTTGTCTCCGTCCCCGGAACAAGCGTGCAGAAGCAGGCGGTTTATAACTGGACTCGGGGGTTACTGTCGGGCAGCACTGCTAGCATCCGTCTTCCAAGGAGGTTCGCTCTGTACGGCAAGTCGCAGACTTCCAAGCTTCGCCAGGCAAAGGTCAGTGTGCTGATGCTTTTTTGCCTCCTTGTGCCAGTTATATGACGGCACAGCCATTTGCTCCATTCCGTTGGGTCTTCTGCAGCATAGCGGATGAATTCAGGCTGGTCTGGCAGCGCCTGCGCCACACTTGCCTCGGCCGGCATTGCCGTGACTCTGGCTTTATGGCCGTGGGCTCAGAATGTAGTCATGCAGCGATTCAAGGGTGCTCCCTAGAGCTCCAGAACGGCATCCATGTAATGCTCGAGCGAGCTGCAGCGGTGGTCTGGTTTGCGCTCCTAACTGCTGCCAAGCTGGTGCACCAAGTAGCCCTCGGGCGATACGGGAGTCTTGTCCTAGGCCGGCTTGATTGGAAGACGTCCGTGGTCCGTGAAACGTCTCACCTGGGCTTGTGCGCACCGGTTTGGACGTATAGGCCAATCTAAAGCCGCCCTGGGTTGTGCGCGACTGCTTCTGTGAGTGCAAAATTGCACATGCATGAACTGGCAACAGACCTGCAAAGAACCTAATATGTAATATGTTCGTGTAGCAACCTAATTACAGAGTGTAACTTCTACGTCACAGTGGCGACCCGCAGACTCGCAGCGAGCTGTAGTCCACGTCAAGGTTTGTATGCAGTCGACCAGACTGGAGCTAGGAGGTGTGGGCCCAGCACTCGCCCAGGCGCAGATCGAGTCGTGACTCCTCGGCAGTGGCAGCCGGCTACGCTCCTGCAAAGAATAGGTTTGAGCGAAAGTGGTGGTCCGAACCTCAGGGATTCATCCGAGACCTTTCACTTTCTCTTTTTTTGTCGCGCTCCCGCGCTCCCGCTCCTGCTCCCGCTCTCTCTCTCTCTCTCTCTCCGTGTCTCTCTTCTGTCTGTTTCTCTCTCTCTCTCTGTGCCTCTGTCTGTCTGTTTGTCTCTCTCCTCTCTCTGTCTCGAACTCACTCTCCCTGAGCGTGAACCAAACGCTGCCAAGGTACATTGAGGAAACCAGGGACCCGACAACCCTGCCTGTCTGGCAGCGCGACTACCGCTTTGGATTCCAGGCACGGCATGGGACAATAGTCAGTTGGCGCATGCATGATCACAGACAGCACCCTGGGAGAGTCCTAGGAAGATCCCGGTTCCGCAGGTCCTGAGACGGAGCATGATTGAGGCACGGAAAAAAGGCCAGGTTCCGGCTGGAGTGCAGCCGCGACAACAGCTTTAGCGAATGGTAGCTAGCACGTCGAGTGCTGCATCCAGCATATCTGGGACATGTTTGGGAGCTTGACACCGATGGTCGTCATCTATCGTCTTGGCAGTCCAACTACCAGCAAGTTCAACTCTGGTTTGCAACATGGACGGTGCAGGTGAGAAGATCTTTTGGGATGTGCGAGTTCTGCATGTTGATGAGAAAGGCCGCCCAGCTGCTGTTCTTCCCGCAATCCCTATTTCACAACTCCCAGGGTTGAGTTACCATTGCTATAAATACGACCACTGACATTGTGATTCTCATTGTCAAGGGCATCCGGCATCTATCCTCAGTACAATCATCATAATGTTACCGTCTTGGTCATTGTCACTATCATTGTCTGCCGTTGCCAACCCAAATCCATCCGAGCGATGTTTCGAGGTGCCAGGTGAAGATTGGCCGGTTGTTTGCGCTAACACAAACTAGTTGCACGGGAGGCTCAGCCAAGGGCTCTCGCTGGCCCACCAAGATCCTACATACAGTGCGAGAGTGTCTACACGACTTTTTAACGTTTATGTGTTCAGGGCAGTTGTACAGCTTACTTCGTTGATATCTGCCTCTGGCCAAGTGGTCTGCCAGGCTGCAAGGTCGAGATGCTCAACTCTGGTCTGATTGGCTTCATGCCAAGAGGCCAGACCCAGCTTAGGCTTAGGGCGAGCTTCATTTTGCAGAGATGAGTCAATGAGCGAGCGTGTATGACTCGGACTCTGGGACTCCTGGATTCTGGATTCGGCTTGCATAGTCAGGCCTGGATCTGCCCTGTAGCAGCCAGGCGAGGAGGGCCAGGCCACACCTGACGACCGCCCCAGTGTGGGACAGGAGTTGAAGGCAGGATTTGGCCTCAGAGCTCTTTATCGGCTCGCGCCAGCCTCGCAAGGTGGAGTGTCTGGCGGCCCCCATGCAGCGCGTCAACAAAGAGTCCGGGCCTTTGCTGCGTCGTTGGTCGAAGGACAAATCAGAACTCCCAGCCTCTCGAAAACCCCACCAAGTTGGCAGCTCTTTTTCCGAGTCTTCGCTGAGGCAGAAGTACAGCCCGTGGCCGAACCTCTATCGGCGCTCCAGAAAGGCAGCATCGTTGTTGACAAGATCTGGGTGCAGGGGTATCTTCCCACCGCCGAAGCGCACAAGTGTGAATCTGTGGGAGGATGTAGCCTTGAGCCGACTATCGACTGCTGCAGGCACAGCCCATCTTCTCCCACTATATGTGGTGTCCTGCCTGATTTCAGCCTGGAGTTTGTGTTGTGTGGCATTGCGCTGCCCATATTGCGAGGTGGTTCTTGCACCCCCCCCCCCGCTACTCCCCGACTTGTCTCCACTCGTCGCGGTCCTCCGTCGTCTTGCAGATGTGGTGTGTGCTTTGAGAGTCTGCCGTCTTTGGGGAAAGGCTCCAAGACCTGTCGGCTCAGGTTGGAGCAGCAGAGGTCCATAGCCAAAGCTCAGGAACTGGAGGCTCGCCTGCATGCCCCAAAGGAGAGAAGACAGGAGCCCACCCTCGACGCAGGCTGGAATGATCATCGATGCCGCCCGAGCCCTCAGTTTCGTAAGTCATACTTCCGGTTATTACCAACTGTCAGTAACTGTTCATGCACCCAGGTTGTCTTCAAGCACTGTCCCAAAGGGCTCGTGGAGACCCTAGCATCTCCAGCTTTCTTGCAAGAAGGGTGCAGATTTCAGTGGAAAGACTGCTCGCTGTCAGGTCATGACACTTGATGGTCCAGACAACCCGAAGGGCATGCTGGACATGCGGGACATCTCTCGCAAGGCCGGGTTGTCATCAGAGTGTGGTGGCGAACATTAGAGCCATTTCGCCGCACCCGCCAGAAATCTGCGCACAAGTGGGTTGACAAGATGTTCCCAACTGGCACGAAGATGAAGTGCTACGTGGCAGCCGCCCAAGCAGAGAAGGGTCATCGCCACGCATCTCTCAGACTCCCTGCATCCTTGGGAAGCCAAGCGGCAGTGGGCTACGGCCGTTCCCGGTAGCAATCTGCTAAGCTTGTGCCGGTTCCTTGTATGCCATGGCAGTATGTATGCAGAGTCCGAGTGGGTCACTAAGGTTCACGCCGACAAGGAGAACGGTCGCATCACCTTGTCCACCAAGGAGTTCGAAGACGACTTTCATGTGTCTCGCCTTCAAGACTCGAAGATGCAAGTCAATGCGGAGAAGTTTTCAGCCCAGAGCGCAACATGGGAAGGAACTGTGCGCCTGGCAGGTCGGGTGGATGTTGAGCTTTCCCGAGCGATGCTTCGAAAATGCTGAAGAGGCACGAGACGTGATGCGGGATCGGTTATTGCTTTCGGGGCCTCGCAGCCTTGCTCGGCCTTCGGAGAAGCAAGTCTATGCCACCCAGCCGCGGGTCGTTACGTTCGGGGGTTTGAAATTTTCGGGTTTAAGGACTCAGCTCAACAGCCCAGCCGCAGGCCGTCAAGAGGTACCACCGCAAGCCGGCCGCCTAGAGTCCTGTGCTCCTATGCCATTCCTGATTCAGCACGTGCATGCGACCCGCGCAATCGGACATCTGGTTTTGCCTTGTTCACCATTGCAGGAGGAATGCGTACATCGCCTGGCTGCAGCGATGAAGCAGTTCCGTGTCACTTCTTGGCAGCGGCCTATAGGCAAGAGTCAGAAGCTCTTCGATGATAGACTGGCAAGCTGGAATGTCGTCAAGCTGATAAGACTTGTTACATCTTGTTAGGCTGAGCTCAGCATGTCTAACGGTTTTCCCACCAGTCGTCCGCCGCTTGGAACACGTTCTGCGAAGGGACCGAAAAGGAGAAATAGCTTCACAGGATTTTGAGCGGTTCGCGCAACGGCTGCTTCGCGCTTGTTTCGCAGCTCTTCGCTGAGCGGGCAGTTGCCTCACAGATTCTGGTGGCGACAGTCGCATGCACCGCAACCTGCGGCTAGCATCATTTGAATCAGCAGCGCACATGCGTGGACTGCCCTGTGCAGAAGACATGTGCTGACTACTGATAGGGTGCACACCTCCAACCCCCCCATCGTACCTGTACCAGAATACTGTCAGCTGATTGCGACGAGCTCTTCTAGGTAGGTCTGCATCTCTGCTTTGTGATTAACTAAGCCCAACTCGGCGGTACTTCAACCCCTTAGCATGGCATCATTGCAGCTCGCGCCAAGAATCTGCAGCCCTTTAGGCTGCTGATGGTGGAGCAAGGCCTGGCGCCGTCATGCCGTGTTGAGGGCGAGATGATCCGCACCCGGGCGCAGCTCAGATCGCATACCACACGAGGCGCACGGCGTCCCCTATCGAAGCTGCAATTCAGCAGGGACTGCCGAGTGCATGTGAATCACACACTGCGAGTGTGTTTGTCTTCGGGAAGTAGCACGGGGGGACTCCAGGATGCGGGTGGAGGAGAAGCGAAGATTTCCTCGGGGTGGCTGGCAGGAGACTCAAAATCATCCAAGTTGCTCCTTGCTTCTTGCACGGGCTTTCGGCCACTCTGAGGCTGGCATCAGCAAGACCTTGTACCGCAAGCGCCTGAAGCAGGCGCCTCCCGGCCTCCCCCTCCTCTCCGACCCTACTGTCCCTGCATTCGGCGGCTCCCAGCCTCAGCTTCCGTCTTCATGCAGCTGCGTGGCTCAGCTGCGGCCCACTGCGAGCCTTTCGGCCGGCCATCCTCCGTCTTCCATCTTTATGTGATATACTTCAGAAGAGAAATCTGAAAAGGCAAGGCCCCGGCCCCATCTTTCCCTTTCTGAGCAGTTGGAGGGCGGAGGACGTGCAGTAACTTGCTGCTCGCAGGGATGATCCACTACAATCCCAACAAATGGTCTTCTATGTTCGGGTACCGTGGCAGCGTGCTGCCAGTGTCCATCAGGAGAGGTACAGTTTCAGTATCACATGCCCACGAGATCTCTTGTGACATGACGAATTATGAAGACCTTGCTTGGAGTGGTCTGGAGGATATCGCTTCCATGGGCGCTCGTTGCGTTGCTGATCAAGTATCTGGAGCTTTGGGGCGTGATTGACTTGAAGGTCCTTGAATTTCTCAACACCGGAGAGATTTACGGTGGTTTCACCTTCGTCCTGGGCTGCTTGCTTGATTCAGTGGTGCTCGTACGCGCATAACATCAGTCCAGTAAGATCCCCTTGGCCAAGGGTTTACCTTGGTCTTCCGGACATCTCAGTCCTACACTCGCTACTGGGCGGCTGCAACGGCAGTTCATGAGAACCTCGGTGCTTAGGGGTGCACGAGCCCACGGCGGTACATGAATAAGTGCAGGCTATGATGGGGGCCGGGCGAGAGTCATGTATCATCACCGAGTTTGGTCAGAGAGCCATCTGCGAACCGAGGATGGGTTCCGAGTGGTCGGATTCCTGCGCTAGCCTGCTGGCATTTTGCAGCTGCTCGAAAGCTCGTCCGGAGGATGCGGCAGTGTGCACTCCTGCGCAGCATCCCTCAAGCTTTTGTCGTGCCTCTGCAAGATCGATGTGGGGTCCTCTTTTACCAGGAGATTCAGCGGTACATGCACCTGACGGTACGGCTCTTCAGCGTCCTACATGCGTGCTTCGCAAGCAAAGCTTGGATTTCTGGCACTGGGCCGAGTGCCCGTGGAAGAGAAGTCCATAGTTTTTCGGCTCAGGATGGCCATGGAGGAAATTGCAGAGCTGAAGCACGAGAACTTTCGCGTCATCGACTGTTTAGGGCTGGACAGGGCCGCTTGGTGAATCTTCGTCGGGCTCAGTCAATGCGCATCATTTCAAGAGTCGCATACCAGTGGTCTCAGGACAGTTTGGAGAGCATTGTGCTCAGACGTGGCGGAGGGTTGTAGCAGAAGCATCATTTGCTCGTCTGATTGGAGTTACATATTACAGCTTCCATTTGTCGTCCATGTCGTGCGCATTTGAGGCATTCACGGAAATGACACTTCCGCCAATGCCAACCGAATAGGTCCGACACTCGGAGGAGCAACGCTCTGAAGAAACACAGGGGCTCTGCTACGGTGTGTAGCAGGCCATGCCATTAAGACCACGACTGTGCTCTGCTGGCTGAAGAAGCACATCGTTCAATCCCAGGCTTTAGGCCATCCGTTTCGTTCCGTGAAGTTCAATGTTTGACTCCCGGCGTGGCAGGCATCATCGCGGTACCTCCACCCATACTGACCCGCGTCTTCCATGAGCTCAGCATGGGCCGCCCAGCCGAAACTGCCGATGCGGCTGGTGCAGGTTCCCGCTTCTGTCCAGCTAGCTCAGGCTTGGTGGAATACCACAAAGCACAACAAGTGGTCATATGGCCGTTTCCCTTTCCTTACGTGCTTGGCTTACGTTTAGTGTTTGGGGCATTCCTCATCGCAGGTTCCGGAGTTCTCGGCTTGGTTCGCGGCACTTGAGAGGCGCAGCTGAACACATTCCTGATTTGGATCTTCCTCTTCGTTTCTCCTCTGGTTATTTGCACCTGGCCGCTGTGATGCCTTTGGAGAAACAGCTCCGTGTAGCTTTTCAGCGCGCGTCGTGGTGCTGGTCGTCAAGCATCGTTGAGTGCTTGATCTCAGGGACACCAGTCCCTGGATTATCGCCGGCTTCACTTTGTTGACGGGATGCTCAATGGTGGGCCTGGATTGCATTGCTGCTGAGATTGAGGCTCCGTTTGGAGCCTTGGCTGCGTCATGCCGTACTCTGAGCGCAGCATGAAGCAGTTCGGGTCCAGCCAAAAGAGCATGCGGAGGACTCGGCTTGTAATTACCGCCTGCGGCATCAAATCCTCGGACCCAGGTCCTGATCAGAATGACCTCCCGTGTTTTGCAGCTCTTCTGCAAAGTGCGGCATGCATGTCACATTTTTTGAAGTTGGCAAGTAGAGGGGGTGTGCATCACGGACGAGAAGCGACTTCCAGGAAATGATGGATGACTACAATGCATTGCTGCTGGCTGCTTTATCGCATGGCCCTACTGCCCCTGAAGCCACCCAAGCCTGCCCATTCCGCGCAGTGGGCAGGCATAATAACGGTGTCGACCAGGTGTGGCATGTGCATGTTCTAGAGTCTGCTAGAGCACTGTCGTCAAAGCCGAAAGACCCTCACCTCCTCGAGCCTGGAGGTCCTGAGTCTCAACTACGGCCTAGGCTTGACATGGTAGCGGTGAACAAGTAGTCAAGCCAACAATCTCGCGGTCTTTCCTCGGCACTGTGCATACGGTCCGCATATTCATGGTCCACAGACCGTCCTTCTGAGAGAGCTGCTTAGCTAAGGCTCAGCTGGACCCCCTGTCCTGGCGCGTGCCGCACATGACCGAGGATGCGCTGGTGGATTATCGCCACTTGGTGAAGATCGGTTCCCCAACACGTCGGTAGTAACTGCTCTTTCGGGGTCTCGGCGATGTGTCCGAGTCGACCATAGGCTCACTGACGCATCCGCAGAACGACAGCAGCTCTGCTGCAGCTTGGAGGGCTGCAATGCAGTCAGAGCGTGAAGGTAACATCTCTCAACCAGCAAAGGTCGCACGTGCTGCGTAGATGACTGCTTCAAGGAGAAGTCAGGCTGGACATCATCATAGGCGCGAAACCGTACTGTAAACTCCTTGAAGCCTGCGCTGACAGGGCGACCTCCTCTCGTGCCCAGCACAAATGAGCTGGACTTGGTGCCGAATCTGAACACGGAGGCTTCCGGACGATGTGCGCATACAGATGCCCACGATCGCCTTTGATTCCAAAGCACGGCGTTCTTGATGTCATTCTTTACGTTTTGCATTGAACACCTGCTTTCCCGTTCGGCACGATCCATTCCAATACATGGGCCTCGCATTCCCGCATTGGTGTTGGACGGTACCACCTTTGAGGGCATATTCACCAAATCGCACCGACATCCAAAAAGAGACAGAACTCTAACGTACAGCTATGTGGCATTAAGGTCATTAAAGGTCGCTGCATTTGCAGGCTGCAAAGCCGCCCACGGCGCTTCGTCCTGCCGAACCTCCAAAGGACGACTGTCATGTTCCCCTGGCAGTGCGTCGCAAAGAGTGACCCATTAACAGGAGCCGGCAGCTCCGAAACTCCCGTCGGACGCAGTCGAGGCAGGTCGAGTTTGCTTGATGTGCAGATGGTTACAGCGAATCCGCATTGGTCTGTTCCGCCTGCAGGAGCTGCGGGAACTGCGGAGGCAACAGCAGGCGCTTCTTTCATGCCAATCCTCAGGCTGACAGCTGAAATACACGACATGCAAGGAGTTCTTCACGCAGCAGTCGCAACAGCAGCGGGAGTACCAGGAACGACACTGCCCCTTGTTCGTGAAGAGCCTGTGCTGGGCAAGTTTCGGTACAATTAGCAAGTCTGAGGCCAGCTCTTGCAACACCTCATTCAAGTCAGCAGCTGCTGGGTGGGCAAGATGAGGGTTGGCATTTTTCTGAAGCTTGCTGTCTGGGGGCATGTGCATGTGCCAGGAAAGCTGCACTGTGATCCTAAGGCCAGCGCAGCAACGGATCCCTGGCTGCATTACATCTGCCTTGCACATCTTGCAAGCCGCATCCACCACCACCACCATCATCATCATCATCACCATCACCACCTTCATCACCATCACCACCATCGTCGCCATCATCATCGGGGTCATCATGGTGATGATTATCATCATCCATCCAATCCATCCATCATTGCCAGGGCATCCTTACGCCAAGGCGGTTCTGGCCAGTGGTGTGCCGCACCGGCAAGGTCCGTTCCGAAGTGAAGGATTGTTGCAACCTGCCGAAGTGGGGCATCTGTGAGATACCGTTTGTTAACGAAAGGCTTCTGCCCAGCAGCAAAGCATGCCGGTCAGTAGGCACTGGCTTTCGGCCGATAACTTCGCAATGTTCGCATAAGAACATGCATCAACTGCCAAAGGAATGCAGTTTTTGCCTCAGCCTCCCGTCTGAAAAACGATGTGAGGAGTCCTGCTAACGTTTCTTCGTAGATGCTCTGTGCTCTGTGGCCGGACATGCCGGATCCACGCATCGGATGCCAGAACCACTCTGGCCGTCACAAGGCAAACACAAGCTCCGGCTGGTAGTGACATGCAGAATGGCATGGGATCTGCCCGCCGGCTTTTTGCTTAGGAAATCCTGTGGCGAGACCCGCCGCCCGCCGAGGTTGCCAGGGAAGAAAAACTAGCTCATCTGAAACGAGCTTCATGCCTAGCTTCGTTCGAGAGCATGGTGCCGATCATCAGAAAAGACCGTTGAATCATGCGTGTGTGTGTGTGTGTGTTGAGAGCTTGAAGCGGCAGGCTCTCCTCTTGGCTGCTGTCGACATCCAGCTTCAGCGTGTTCGCTCGCTTCCGGTGGAGAAGTCGGCTGCCTGGTGCAGTTTAGGTGCCCAAAGGCTCTGGAGTAGCCTGCGGATAGGCGCCCGCCGCAGAGAGAGGCTCTGCGTCGCCGGCGTCAGGGCCTCAGCACCGAGGAGAGCTCGTTTCGCCGACCTGAGCTGACTCAGGCGCTTCGATCCTGCAGGGGGGAATCCAGGCAGGGCTTGTTGTTGCCAACACAACAGGTAGCAGGTAGCCAGCCGTTTCGTCGCTGTGCCGAGCAGGCAGAAGTGGGGTCAAGCCATTGGGAAGGGCTTCGGAAGGCAGGAGCCGAACCTGGTTCTCCATCGCTGCCATCACGTTGGGCCAGGAGCTGCTCGAGCGTCACGTCATTGTGATGCCGCGGCCTGCTGGCTCGGACTGTTTCTTTATCCGTTTGATCACGGACTTAGGAAGGGAGGCTGGCTGCAGGGCAACACAAGAAGTTTCTTCTTGCTCACAGGTGGCCGATGTCTTGTTTCATGGGAAATTCCGGTCATCACTGCCATCGCAGGTGCCGACCTCGCGGTGTTCGAGAGGCCTGGGGGCAGGGGTTTCCTCTGGTCAGCAGGTGAGTTGAGGTCTCTTTAGACTCGGATCAGGCTAGACAGCCAGCCGCCAAAGATGCAGCTGAGCCTTTTGGGTTCTACGGCCCGGCAGCACCCCAAGCGCCAATCATGGTGCAGCCATGTGCAGCCTCGCATTCGCTGGAGACGGATGGGCGAGTGAGGTTAGAGGAGTCGCACATGCAGACAGCGGAGAGCCCAGCTGTCCCGTCCTGCCATGGTCTGGAGCGCCTTTGCAACTCTGACTCTTTGCCAGGCCAATCCTCCTTTTGAGACTGGATTTCCTGCTAGAGCCAGTGCCCCGGTGCACATCCCATATCCCCCCGTCGCAGACTGTGGATGCCGTGAATTCAGGTCGGCGTGACTTTGGCCACTGGGGGGTCGAAGCCTTTGCAGGAGAGTTTTTTTCTAGGTCCAATACGCACAATTTTGATGAAGGCGACTCTGGCTCTATGCACCGCGGTTTGCAGCCGCCTCAGAAAAAGCTGACCTTGCAGCGAAGCAAGAACGCAAGGATTCGGCAACACACCAATGCCAAAGCTGTCGCCGCCAACAGCCAAACGTAAACATCGATCTGCAAGCATCTACAAGCATTGCGCACTGCAGGGCAAGTCACACCTGCATCCACCATTCTCCGATAACGCATCAACTTTCGACACTTCACAGCTTCTCGTTCACCGCAATTGCCACATCTCGTAATTACAAGCCTTAGACCACTACCCGGCTGGGACACCACCTTCCGAGCGTGCGAAGAACAACTGTTCGAAAGCCTGGGTCCGGTAGGCAAAATCTTGGGCGCGTTTATGCAAGCCTACCTCGCCAAGCCATCCTGTAGCTTTTTTCCAGTCGGTGGTGGGCAGTTAAATTCTAAAACAAGTTGACAGCAGAGATGGATCCCACCTTTTGATCTAATGACATGAATCTAAGACTGGCTGAACTCACGTGCCCACAAGGATCTGGCAAAGCATTGGTACCGCACCATCCGTTTGGCGACGGGCTTGGCCTGGTCAGTCAGGCTTGATCTACAAATGTCCAAGTCCGAGGTGAACCAGATTCACGAATCAAAGAAAGGCAAGCTCGCGTAGGCCTCAAAATCGTTGTATCGAGCGCACCAAGTGGCCAAGTGGTAGACTTTGGTCAGAGCTTTTGTCCAGCTGAACAAAGGCTTTGGAGATTCCACTTGAGACCATTGCCAACTATATGTCCCTGCCTGTGTCGCATGTGCCGATTGCGTGATGTGAGTGAGCCGTGCAGTATCTGTCTGAGGCAGACGCACTCGAGACGCTGCAGCCTTTTCATCTGACCAATGCTCTTGCACTGGCTTGCAGTGTTGGTCTCCTCTTTAAGGCCGTGCCTGGGATGTCCTGGTCTCGTACAACAAGATATGGTGGGAGAGGTGCTGACCTTTGCAAATGATTGCCAATGCATGTCCTGCCCTTCGCACGGCCCTGCCATGCTTGCATGTAAAACCAGGCATGCCTTGCTTGCGCAGTGCTCCCAAGCCTTTGCGAGCCTGACCGTGGGCGACTTACTGCGGCCTGGATCGGAGCAGACCGAATTCACTGTTCTCAGGCATTTGAAAGGGTCAGTCGTGGTGTCGTGGTGCAGTCTGTCCAACAATTTCAAGGTCCTCCGCGGGTGGCATAAGATGCTCGAGGTGGGGTTTGCAGGTTTGCCACCTCACAGACTTACCGGCAATCCGGGCAATCCTTGCCGTGTGGGATCTGCGACGGCAGTGCAAGCCTGGGGCTTTCGCCGGAGTTGCGGCGCAGGTCTATGGAGCCCGAAGCAAAGCTGCGGCTGAGGACTGGCGTGAATGCTAGTAATGCTAGTGAGTGCTTGCTGTCTGCTTCTCCTTCGACCTCTGAGCAGCTGGTCGATTCTTAGGAGGAGGCTTCTGGGCTCGTGGTGCAAGCGCAGGCCGTGATTCATGCCTGACATGCTCCGACGAGTGGTGTGCCCAGCCCTTCCTGCCTTGCTCTGTTGACTTCAGGCTGTGGCACTGACCAGTGACCAGCACGGAGCTTAGCTGAAAGTGCAGGCATTTCTCCAGAGCGGCCCGGCGTTGAAGTTCACTTTAGGTATGATGGCGAGCAGCTGGCCCTGCGAGAGAAGGCTCCCGCAGATTCCCGGAGCCGAAGTCAGCAGAGGGTTGGCAGTCGATTTGTCAAGGGACTGGTCCAAATCTAGTCACTCTGGAGCGAAACCAGTGCCAGGCAATATCCTGGCTGCAGAGACGAATTCGTGACCTCATGCGATCAGACGGTGGGCCGCTGCCTTTCCTTCGGATCTGCTGCAAAAGTCAAGCTTCCAGATTCATGCACAAACTTGGTGGTGGATGAGGCTGAGCGCAGCTGCAAAGTCAGCAGGCACGGCGGATCAGTCAATGGCCAGTGCTGCCTGTGCGGGCCATCTGGTCGAGAGAGCGAGCTGGACGGAGAGAGAGAGAGAGAGAGAGAGGTGCAGGCCAGCGCATTTGCTCCGACTGTGGGGGTTTCACGAAAGACAGAAGACCCGGTGCGCGCACGCGCGCGAGGGGGGCTTAGGCTTCCCTTTGGCCGAGTGCAAGCAAGAGAGAGAGAGAGAGAGAGAGAGACAGACAGGCTGCCCCAGCGGGGGCATGCCCTCAAGCCTGGAGAAAGAAAGAAAGAGACAGTCAGCTGACGGGGCGGTAGCGGAAACTTAGCAGAAAGAGTGGGGCCCAGAGGGAATATTGTGAAGTACCTGGTATGCAGTATGCAGTGCATTTTTGATTTGTTGGGCACACTCCGGTAGCATAGCCTCCTCGTAATGCCAACACCCCAGCAGTCGAGGCAATGGTGGAACATCCGCAAAGTACAGATGGCAGTGGGGCGAAAGCAGTGTGTGTTCTACTCAAGTTAGTTCGTACTCAACTTGGTACCAAGATTTGCCCGAGGAGTGCTCGATCTTCAGCATGTGAAACCATGCAAACAACCAACCAAACTGGCGGCTCCCGCGGGGGCTCGCCCTCATGCCCGGAGAAAGAAAGAGAAAGAGAGAACGACTAGTGTATGTTGTGTATCTTTAACCTGCAAACCAGAAGCTCCGCCCGTGGAGAGCCCCACAACTACTGCACGTAAAACCGTGCGTACAACCAACAAACGGGCAGCTCCCTTTGGGCTTGCCCTCAGGCCTGGGGAAAGAAAGAACGACTAGTGCCAATTTCACACAACGATGGGGGAGAACCCCACTGGAAGGCCATTGGGGCTGCACAAGAGGCACATAAACTTGCCTTAGCCGCTCATACGTGATGTGTCTTGTTTAGCCAGGGGGAACAGTGCAGCCCACCAGCCAGCAGGTGTTGCACAGTCGCATCACCGACGCAGCCTCCTAGCTAATGTGTACTCAGTACGGCGATCTCAGATTATCGATAATTACAGAGTAGGGGGCTGCCCTTTTGCTTTTTGCCATCACCCTCAAAACGAGGGAGAGCTGACTACAGGGGGGAATAGAACAGTGACATCGTTTTGGTGCAACTTGCCTCACTGTCTGTGGTAGTGTACCATCATCTTTCGTGAAATTCCCCTATGAGTGCGGATGCATGGGAGCTCTACCACACTGTTTCCAGAAGCAAGCCCCAAAGATGATGGCCATAGGGGCGCGGAGATGAGGCGGGTTGGGGCTGATCTAGTGTAAAGGGAGGGGGCTTGCTGCTATGGAAACACAGAGCAAACCAGGTACTGTAGTACAACGTCTTAGTCGGTGCGTCCGTCGTGACCCCTAAGCCCAGCAGAAAGCAAAGAGAGAACGGACACCGAAGAGTGGTCGGGCGGGCCAAACGCCTGCGGGTCGCGCTGCGACCCCTATGCCTGGCAGAAGACAGAACGGACACCGAACTCGGACACATGCGTGGCGCGGTGCGCAAGGGTAAAACCTCGGTCGCTACGCAGTCGGCGGCGACAGCTACATGCAGGGGGCGATTAAGCGCCAGATCATCGTGGGAGGCCAAGTACCCGGCGGGGGGGTCGTGACACTACTTCGAGTCTTATAACCTTGATTACTTGTAATCTCTGGGAGCAGGTTCCGGAATTAATTCTGTCAAATATCTGTCTTTAGTTTGTCATCCACATGTGTCAGAAATCTGTCACCTGCCGGCTGGTAGGGTTTCGCATCTGTGAATAATCTGTGAATAATTTGTGAATAATATGTGAAAAATCTGTAAATAATCTGTCAACAGTCTCTGCCAGATTTACGAAAAATCTGTCAAAAATCTGTCCCAAATCGCGGCCAGCATCACACGGGGTGGGGCGGGGGGCAGGGCGGGGGGGGGGCGGGGTGGGCGGGGCGGGGCGGGGCAGGGCGCACGGTGTTGGCGGGCGGCGGGGCGGGCGGGCAGGGTCAGGGGGGGCGGGGCGGGGGGCCGGGAGGGACAGATTTTTGACAGATTTTTGACAGATTTTTGACAGATTTTTTGACAGATTTTTGACAGATTTTTTACAGATTTTTGACAGATTCCACGGGCAGGCGCCCACGCCCGGGGCCCTTGGGCTGGGGCTAGGGTGTCAGGGCCTGGGGCCTTGGACCTGAGTCGCCTGGCTAGGGCCTGGGTCCGCGGCCCCCCCACGCGCGGAGCAACACCTTCTCAAATCTGTCAAAAATCTGTCAAAAATCTGTCCCCGCCCTGCGCTCTGCCTGTCAAAAATCTGTCAAAAATTTGTCCCCCACCACCGCCTTGCCCGCCCACCCCCACCCCGCCCGCCCCCGCCCCCCCCGCCCCCCCCACCCCACCCCGCCCCCCCCGCACCGCCCCGCCCCGCCACCGATCCGCCCCGCCCACCCCGCCCCCACCCCGCCCCGTCCCACGGAGTCTAAGTTTGATTAAGTGACGAGACCCTGCAGGCACCCCTGAAAACACGGACAAATAAATCACTAATAAATCACAAAAAAACACAGATTGGAATCCAGCCCCAACCAGATGAATCACAGATAAATCACAAAAAAATCACAAATAAATCACAGATTCAAAAACCAACGACATGGTTGATCACAGATTTGTGACAGATTGAAAACACAAAAAAATGACAGATTAAATCCCAGAATAATTAATTATCCGAAGCCAACGAATACCACGGAATCAGGGTTATAATTCGAGTCCATCAAGACTGGTATCTCCGCCCTCGAAGATGGAGGTATTGAGCGGCCACAATTTGAGTTGCATGTGAGCGGTGGGGTCCATCCCACATTGATTTTAGACGTCCTTCACAACACCACCCTACTTGGTGGGCCCAATCCTAAACCTTCAGTTGAGCCTTGCTTTTTGGGCGTTCGCACCTCGAAAGCCACAGAAAAAATTTGAAGTGGGAGCCAAGCTCCCGCTACTTTGAGACTGAATGTGGGGGAGAGGCTATAATTAGTTAATTCTGGTGAGACACTGGAGTTAAGAACCTGGAGTCGGAGAACGTCTCTCTCTCACCAACAGTGTGGGGGGGGGGGGGGCATTTGCGTGTTTTTGCCTGGAACCTGGAGCCTCACTCGCGTTGGAATGCCGATAGTGCGGTCGTTTGGTCAGGCCCTCAGGCTTAAAAGTTAGAGACCCAGGCCCTTGCCGTTGGTGTGTATGAGCCCTGGTCTTCAAGGCGGGTTGGGGGTACTAGTGTTCGGGTGTTGTGGTTGGCAGTACAGGCCCGGTCTCTTGTGTCCGACTGCGTTTCTCAGCACGCTAATTCCCCAGTGCGCGAAATCGCGCGGGGGGTCGGCGCACGCAGACTCCCCTGGCCGTGCTGAAGAAGAACTTGACGAGGGCAGCAGGTCCTCTTCTCCTAAGCTCTAGCTTTTCACCAGACTGGACAGAGACCAGGGCGTGGCGACCTCGTGCTCTCTTGTCTGTGTTGGAAAAATCCTAGTCAGAGAGCAGGTGCACCAGAATTATTTTTTCTACCTGCATCATTGTTGGGCCAATTTAGATCAACTCGAACAACGAAGTTCACTCGAACAGCCTAGCCCATCCCCCAGTCTGATGGATGAGTGGATTAGGCAGCACGGACACGAGCGGCTCGCGAGGACTGCTTGCGGCATGAGCCCAGAACACAGCAGAGACAGAGAGAGAGCCACAGAACCTAGGTGCGGAAGTTCCCACCTGCCAAGAGCCGCAGGTGCGCGAAACTTCGCGCGACGGGAGGGCCCGGACGCTGCCTTGGCCTCCTACCTCGGAGAGAGACATCCGCGAAACGCGGGTGTGCGGACCGCATGGGGGGATGGCCCTGAACGCTGGCCTGAACCCCACGCCCGGTAGAGAGAGAGAGAGAGACAGAGACTGCCGCAGAGCACAGTCAGCCGTGGAATAGCCCCGGCACCACCGCAGCGGGACGAGAGCAACAACATAATGTCCCATATCTAGTTCGACATGCTGTTTCAGAATATAGTGAAAGCTCCGCCCACGGAGTATCGAACAACAGTCGCACGTAATACCGTGCGTACAACCAACAGTCGGGCAGCTCCCGCGGGGGCTTGCCCTCAGGCATGGGGAAAGAAAGAGAGACAGAGAGCGTTTGTGACTCAAGACGACCAAGACTTGCCGGCAAACGTGGGGGATTAGTTAGGTCACGTCATGGCATTGTCCCAGGTTTGTGCGTGTGTTCAACGACCCCCACGTGGGCAGCTGCATGGGGACTTTGCCGCATGTCTCAGGGAAGCAAGCCCCAGGAACCATTGGGGCCATAGAGGCGAGGAGACGCGGCCTGCTTGGGGTTCTTAGCGTAAAGAGCGGGGCTTGCAAACCTAGAAACATAGAGCCAACCACGTTGTTCTGTGCAGCACTCAGTGGGACCCCAAAGCCAGCCTCTCCATAACCACATGGTGTGGTCGGGCCGATGGCTTGAGGGTCACGACGTGACCCCTAAGCCCAGCACAATGAAAGAGACCGTTTACATGCGTTTATGCTTCCCAGGTTCGTTCCTGATTACATTTAGTTTGCCTCGTCGGCTTCTTCTCACAAGGCTGCCCATACAATATGGGGGGCGCAGACGCGCAGGGGTGGGAGTAACTCCCCCACCCTCTCTACCCTAGCGGAAGTGAGAGAGAGAGAGAGAGACAGAGAGAGACACAGGACTCGAACAGTGGCGTAGCGCTCGCGCGCAGGGGGTGTAGGGACCTACCCTGCCTCCCACACGCCTTGCAAGCAAGCAAGCAAGAGAGAGAGAGAGAGAGAGCGGGAGAGAGAGAGAGAGAGAAATAGAGAGAGAGAGAGAGAGAGAGGGAGAGCGACAGAGAGAGAAATAGAGAGAGAGAGAGAGAGAAATAGAGAGAGAGAGAGAGAGAGCAAGCAAGCAAGAGAGAGAGAGAGAGAGAGAGGGAAAGAAGGAACGAAGGAAGGAAGGAGGGGCCAAAGGGAAGGAAGGAAGGAGGAGAGAGACTGGCTTCAAGTCTGCGAGGTCGACGGCCGGGGCCGCCTCTTGCTCACGTTCGTCTGCAACGGCGCATTCCCATCGGTGCCTTGGGCCCGCTTGGAAGCGGACGTCAGAACTTGTGGGATACTGTTTACGCATTGAGGTCCATGATTCCGCTGCATCTCAAGTTGAGTCTTAGCTCCAAGCAGCATCCGGTCAAAGAGCCGGAATGCTGGAGCGGGTAGTTTGCCGCATCTTTCACACATGCAACGAAGTAGCAGCTAGTAGCACATTGGAACATTTGGGATGTCGTTTCACTGCGGGTGGAGTCAGTAGCAGTGAGTTGTGGCAGCCATGCTCGCAGACCAATACCGTGATTTCATGGAAGCAACAACTGGAGTGACTCGGCTGCTTGTGAATCGCGTTCGGGAGCGGTGTGGAAGATCGGTGGGCGGGGGGTATGAGTCATATGTGGCATTCTTTTCGCACCATATATCCGTGAGTTCTAGTGCACAGCGGTCCGCATTCTGTGTGCTGTGTTTGTGTACATTGTTTGTGTTTATATACATATGTATGTATCTGTATTTACTTTCGAAAACATGCTACATATGTATACACGGATCTATACAGCTAGCAAGTGCAGTCTTGAGACAGGTTGAGAAGTCTTTGTCTTTCCTGGCTGTGTCTACCCTATATATATATATATATACCCACACCAACAATCTGTCCGGCTCACCCGTCGACCTATCTTATCAACCTGCCTGTCTATCAGCGTATCCGTTTTTCTATCTGTCTATTCATCTGCTTTCTGCTTGCCTGCCTGCATGCCTGGCGCCGACGCACGACATGCACGCATGCATGCATACATACACACATACATTGCATGTACCGCCGACATGCGGCAATGTTTGCAAAATATGCAGGCGGTGGTGCCCTCGATGAACCTTCGGGCACCCCGCAAAAGTGCCGAGCTGCGCCGTTCGACGGCGGCCTCGGCGGCCAAAGTGCAGCAGATGGAGGTCCCAAACAATGCGTTCACGCCTCTGTCTGACCTCAGGCTCTGCGAACTCTGATGCCACCCGTGCCGCAGCAGTCCGTGCGCTTGCATAGCCTTAAGGTCGCGACGGCATGCAATGCTCGAGGCAGTGGCTGGGATGAACGACACAAGCGAGACTGGCGGAGGGGAAGCCTCAGCGGCGCTTCAAATGTGCAGTGCCGCTGTTTTGACCGCCATGCCGCAGCTCCATGCCTCCGACTCAGTCACGACGGGCCTAGCCACGCGAATCGTGGCTATTCAGCTCACTCAGGTTCCCAAACCAGGCTGGGGCCACGGAGGCCCCTTGCTTCAAGACGCGGTGCGCTTGAGTGGCGGCGAAAACCTCATCCTGCAGCGCGTGCTCGCTGCTTCGAGCTCCATGTCCTGCAAGTTCTTGAGACAAATAGAAGATCTAGTGGACGCAACCAGGAACTCCAAGAGATATGTTTATGACGGGCGCTTCCACAGATAACCATATCCGCATCGATTCTCAGATGCAGCCGAGGTGCACCAACCTCTGAAAGTGCGCATGCGTTCAGTTTGAGGAGATTTTGGTAGCATGTTAGCTTGGTCGCAGCAGATCAGAATCTCACATGCACTGCCAACTCTGCATCTGCATCTAATCCGATGCGTCCTGCGAGGAGCGCAGTCACCACAGGCCGATCATTCTTGGACGCAACGCTGCCTCCAATGCCATGCCAGGGCCTCAAGAGGCGCGTTATTCAGCTTACTTTCCCTCCGCTTCCGAGGCTGGTGAAGCCAACTTCTCTGTGAAACGCTGGCATAGCCTACCCGGCTTTCTTGACGATGCAACTTCGTGCAAGATGTACCCCAGTCTGCAGCTTCAGCTGCCGCCAATCAAATGTAAATTAGCCTCGGGTCTCACACATGGAATGCGAATCCAGTCAGTCTTCTGTCAGTCCTCGATACAGGAGGCCTTGCCGATCTTGCGCCAGAGGGGACTTCAAAGTTTCAACTACCGAAAGCCGAAAGCATCAGCATGTTTCAGCGTCATGTTCAAAAAGTCGATGCAGGGGACGCCCGGCGGTCACAGGTCTGACAAATGCAATCTGTAGCGCTTTGACACCGTTTCTGAGAATCCAGAGCAGGTGCCTCGTTTGTCGTCGGCATGAAGCAGGCCCTACTAGTATCGGAGGTGTGCGAAACATGTTTAGCTGGATGATGCTAGGTGCTCAGTGCAGGTGCAGCATGGTCCAAAAATACCCAACCCTAACAAAGCGGAACGATGGGGTTCCTGTTCTCCCACCCAATACCCCAAGCTCCCCTCACCCGCAAGCTGCGCAACTCCGAACTCAGAACTCCTCACCGCATCGCATTGCATCCCAAAAGTGCTCGCGAGGGCGGTGATGGGACCAGCTCTCAACATGAAGGAAGAGGCATCCACTGCATTTCTTATATGGCATGGCTACCTTGCAAACTCCAGCAGGTTCTCAGCAAGCATGTGCCGGCGCTAGGTCCTCGCCCCTTCTCGGCGAGCTGCTCGACACAGAGCTTGGCGACATGGACTCAGCGATGGGTATCAGGAGCGGGTTCAGCAGATTAGGCACTTGCCAAGGCCCTGCAATGGACTTCTGTGGATCTCCAAGTGCTTGAGCAAGCTGCATATTTGCCAGTGGCTTTCTTAGATTCGGTCGTGGCAGATGCTCGAGCTAGACTTGAGCATGAGTTGAGTCGACTCTCAGGCGGGGTGCTTCGGTGCGGGACTTGTCGAAGCCTTGCCGTCAGCACGCGAAATGCTTTGCCAAGTTGCCAAGGAAGCTCCGGCTTTTGTGCACATCGACAGCATCAGCTCAGTCATCATGCACTCAGATACTCGTCTGACATCTGTGGATTTGCGCAGCTTGGTCTTCAGCTCACTTCTCGATTCTCTAGTGCTCTCAGGAGCGGGTTGATGAGTTCAAAGAGCGCTCTTCTGAGAGGGGACGGTGTGAATGCGGCTCCGACAGTCCATTTTTTACTTGAAGGCATGCGGGCCCCTGGCTGACTGTGTATGGGTGCCGAACTTACACGAGCCACCGATACGAAGCCACGGTCTTGCACGAATGAAGAAGTGACATGAAGTGACCTACGAGGCCTCTGCTGACCATCCACCGCGGTGTCTCCGAAATGGCGGTTCGTGGAGTGACTTCGAGTCGAGCTCCTGGGTGTGACTCGCAAAGCCTTCGACTGACGGTAGCTGTTCGAGCTGGCTGGATTCCCAAAGCAAGTAAAGGAAGCGGCACCTGCACACGTGCAGTCTTGAGCCTTCTGGGGCAGCGTGTGGTCAGTGCCATCCAAACGGGTGAGGACGTGGACTATACGTGCGCACTAGATCGTCACATTGCACTGCCAGATGACACTGAAGAGGCATCGCAGCTCCTCGATCTCATCCAGGAAGCTGTTTGTAGCGTGGATGTCATCGAGGAGGCGCATCCAGACATGCTTTTCAGCCCAGGCCGGGCTAATTCAAGAGTACTCTGTGGCAATCGTGTAGCTCTGTGGCGGCTGCTTTCGACGCAGAGCGAGATGCCGACGGAGAAGTCTCCCAGATCTGCAGAACATCGACTACTTGGCTTCAATAGCCTAACAACTTCGTGGCGAATTCCCTTGTCGAGCAGCCAAGAAGATCAAATTGGGAAGAAGCCGTTTGTGGACATCGATGTGCGCTCTGAACACGTGCGGTCACAAAGCATTGCATCAAAGCCGAGAGTTGTGTCACCTGAGCAGTGTGCCACTTTGCTGTTGTCTGGTCTGTGCGCCAGAGTAGATGGTGACAAGCGAAGTAGGCCTCTGTGTGTGTGTGTGTGTGTGTGTGATATGGTCTTGTAATCTGGTCTAGCGAGACATAGTCGCAACTAGAACATATTCCTGCTGAAGTTCCCAGGCTGCTGTGGCATCGTCTCCCCCCTTCGGCTGCCTTGGTATTGCAGCGCCGGTTGGCGACATGGTCGAGCAACCCGACAAGCCGAAACCGTACTTCTTGCAGATACGGCTGGGTGAGTTGAAAGCGGGGATCATGGCTAAGCCGGAGGACGTCCGAATAGAGCTTCGTTGCGCTGGTCTCAAGGTGTTTTCCGTGCCGGCTGGCGAGCCGTGCTTGCTGGAAGCAAAAGGCTTTATGTCCTTCCAAGGAGAGAAACTGCTGCTCCCATTACCGCCCGAAGTGGTGGACACATCCGGACAGCTTCCACCAGTACACCTCTTGGTCAAGTGTGCGAAGAGCAAGGATGCCCCACAACCGATGAATTTCCAAGATATGCTTAAGCTTTCCGGACGCGCTGTCCAGAAGCACTCGCCTGAGGTATCCATTCTGCATGCCAAGCTTCTGCTTGAAAATTTAGACTTCGACGATGCGAGCCATCTTCGGCCGCTGGCCTTGTGCGAAGTGACGGAAACTCCGCACGAATCGGTGCTTTCGCAACTGAAGGATACGGCCCTCCCGGCACACGTGCCGTCACTGTCAGTCGCTGCTTGCCTTCGAGATGATCTTCCGCAGATCAGCGGGGAGCAAGGTGGTAGGGTTTACATTGGCGATGCAGGGACTCTATCGGTGGAAGAGGTGCTGACATACCCTCGGAGCGAAGCAGATTTTCGCGACAGCCTGGCTGATGGACGCTGCGCCCTTAGCATAGCATCGCATAGCATCGCATCGTGGTTCTTAGCGTCTCGCGTGACTCGCGTGAGGCTGGGACGAGCGGCGGGTCGGCCTTGCAGGAATTCCTCTCCGCTGGCGAGTCGCCAAGTCGCCTGAAGCTTCGCTGCTTCTTCGAGGAGTCGCTCTCACTCAGGCCGCGCACAGCCGTCGAGCTGGCCCACTCGCGGATACCACCAGGCCATGAGATGCCATGGCTCTACGGCCCGTGTCTCGCATGGTTTCAAGCCTCCAGATACAAAAACGCTGGTGAAGCTGCTCCGGAAGCCGCCAGAAGCCCAACAGCTTCGCTCTGGTGTCGTAGCTGAGCCTGCCGTGCGCTTGAGGCCGGCCTTCGAGAAGTGGCCACGAGCTGAAGCAGTTCCTCCAAAATTCGTCCGTTCCCGAGATCGCTGGACGTCGCCGGTTGAGTCGTCCGGTGGCCGGTGGCCAGATGAGGCAGTGGCAGCAGATGAGAACGAGTGCGACTTTCGTCGACGGCAGCTGCACGGTCCCAAGTTCTCCAAAGGGGGAGCAGGGATGGGGAGGGATTGGGAGGGAAAAAAAGCCGGCGCCTCCGAGGCCGGCGACCTGGTCCAGGGTGCAGGAGGCCTTGGCACAGCAGGAGCGGCACCCAGAGTTGGGATTCTTCAGGCCTCAGGCCCTTATGGGGGCTTCCCCCTTTGGGAAAGTGCCCCGCCCCCCTGTGAGAGGAGGCCTCGGCCGCAACACCAAGCAGCCCATCAAAGCCAGGGCCGCTGAGGCCACCTCTACCTTTCAGAGCTCCCCCAACACCTCGTTTGCTCCAAGCATTGCAGGCAAAAGACCCTTCTTGCAAGGGCCTCAATCGCGATTCGCTGGATCTGTGCAGTGTGTGGGTTCCGTCTGCGTTTGCAACCTGAAGGTCCAGGAGTTAACACACGTGCTCCGGGAAGTCGTCGTCACTGTCTTGGCAGTGTACAACGACTCGTCCTCAGTTTCAGTGGGGCTTCTTCAAGCTCATCTCAATTGGAGTCTCGTCGTGCTGATACCTGGCCTTTTTGCGCTGCCTAATGCAACAATCATGAACATGCGACTGCAAGCCGGGCCGGGAGATGATTTTTGTTGGCCCGAATTGGATGTTTGAGGCCCTGTTGACAAGGCCCACCCTCTAAACAGAGGCGATGCATCGATGCAAAGCTCAACCATCGCACGGGGCCATGTCGAGGCAAAGGGACGGATCACCCTCGTAGTTCGACAAAGCGCCCGAAGTTCGAGCAACAATCTCCTTCAGAGGTGTCAAGATGCCGCAAATCAGTGGGTGGTACTGATTCAGAACATGTGGGACCGTCTCAGCTGGGAGACCGATGCCACAACACCAATCAATTCGGCCAAAATGGTTCGTCTGTTCGTCTTGTTGATCGGAGTTGGTAGCAAGCTCAGCATCGAGGATGGCACCTGCGATGTGGAGCTGTCCCCTGCCTTTGTGCGGAACTGGAAGGCAGGCCCTGGTGAAAAAAGCGCACGACCTAAAAAGTGATCTCCCTATGCAGGCCCGTGCGCATCGGCTTGCGGCTAAGAGTTGAACCTCCAAAGGCTGTTCGCATGTTGGGAGTGGGTGGAACCAAGGCGCTACCGCCTGCCAGGAGCAGTCCTCGCGACACCTTGCACTGCCATCTACGAGCCAGACGTGGAGCCAGTCACCCAGATCTGGGTCTTCGGGGTGGATTGACGCCTGTTGCCTTGCGAGGTCGTATCGCGTGGTCTTGCAAAGCCTGCCGGTGACCTCCATCAAGGTGCAGCAAAACAAGTACTGAGACTAGGACGACTAGGACCATGTTGCCGCGCATGGTGCAGCATTCCACTCTTCGGTGATTCAGCCCATCTTGTGCCTCAATTCTCTGCCGCTGGCCTTCCTGTGGGAGGCAGAGCAGTCGGCTGGCTTTCATGTCTACGATGCCGCTGTCCTGAAGCCGCAAGATGACCGGGACTTACGCACTTTACAAACCACTGGTCTGCAGGGTGCGTTTCCTGCTTCCTGCACTGAGGCGATTGCGTCGTCGCTCCGTGGATCCACCGCCCAGGTCCTCGGCGGCCCAGTTCCTCTCGCACCTCGCTGCCCATTGGAGAAGGGAGGGAGGGGATGCTGACCACAAAAAGATGGTCAGGGTTGTGTTCGAAGCCTCCGCGAACGGTGCCACGGGTGCCCAGGATGCTCTGGAGGAGGTCTGTCGGCACGAATGGAAGCTGCACCTGCGTGTCCCGTTCCTACGAGGTCTCTAGTCGCCAGCAGCTGCACTCTTCGACGCATTGCTTGGATCTGATGCAAAGGCCGACAGCGAGGAGGACATGAAGAGGTTGGTTGCCAACCTTCGGCAGTCTGTGCACAGCCAAGAAGAGAGGGGGGATGCATCTGTAGGACATCTAGGCCTCACAAAGTAGGTTCCTCGCCGCCAAGGTGAGGATGCATCAGCAGGTCCCATTCTCAGAACACGGGTTATCAAAGTATGGCCTTGCAGTCCCCGGCCGAGGCCCGGACAGCTGGTGGCATCTCACTCACGGTGGCTCGACTACATGATCCTTGATTCGCTGAGGCCTAGTTTTGTTGTGTTGTTCCGGTGCAGTCGCGCCAGGCCACAGGCCAACCAGTGCCCAAGGGCAGCGGCCAGCCGACGGCTCAGAGCAAATAAAGCAATGCGGGTTCCCCGTGGCACCTCGTGTTGTCAGGCTCGAAGTGCTTCTCGTTCGTGCCAAGAATCTAATGCCGAGGAGCCTCGTTTATCAACACAAGCACGCTGAGATCGATGCCTGCGCACCTCCACGTTCCCAACCTTGTGGGTGGATTGATCGTTAAAAGCAGCCAGGGAGCCCGGAACACTCGTCGCAACCTTGAAGCACCGTCGCATCGCCCTGTCTCAACATTGAATCTCGGCTTCGGCATGGCCCCGCAGGACCGGAGGATGTCCGGTGCTCAGCAGGGCGAAGGCTTCGATTTCCTGGCGATGGGAGTTTCTGGCCCAGGCACGGAGGTGGCGAACTCCCTGGATGCTTTGGCGGCAGGGAGGCCGATCCTGCAGGTGGGGGCGGTTAATTTTTGTGCGCTGCACGCGATTTTCGACTGGTGGAGGGTCTTGCTTTGGTGTGGTTCAGTGCCCCAAAGCAGCAAGACCGAACACGTTGACAGAACCACGGGGAAGGACGACGGTGAATCTTCATCATTTCCGGGCTGCCTTGAGATTGACATGAACGGACTCTGTGACTGCATTCCGTGCCCATGCCGTGCCGTGCCATGCCCACCGCGTGTCAACTGGGCAATCCTAGGACCTAGGTTCAGGTTCAGAATCTCCCACGATTCCTCTGAAGACGGGTGGCAGGAGATCACGCTGGCTTGCCTTCATGCTGCAGTCGTTCGTTACTTTTCGGCAGAATGCTCTCTACATACTTGCTGACCTCGGTAATTACCTTGATCATGACCGCATACGATGGCATTGGGATTCGCAAGTCCTGCTTCTGGAATGAGAACTCCATAGAGCTCACTGAGTTTGATATCCTTGAAAGCCGGCAACCACTTGCCGTGGTTTCGATCCGATTGCTAAAGGTCAGCACCACGTGATGGACAGCAAAACTGCCAAAAGATACAAGTGAAACCGGTACAGGTTATAGCATAATGATGCAGTACGCGATGCAGTGCAACAGACTGCATGACGCCGGCAAAGGGGTTTCCGGAATGGCGGCGATCATCGCAAAACTTTTTATCAAAGACTCCGGGCCAGGTCATGGGAGAGTTGCTGCGGCCTGCGAAGAACCTGGAGATCTTTGTCCGGCTCCGCATCCTCGATGATGCAGAGGTTGGTGGGGGCACCGCAGTACCGCCTGCTGTAGTTGCGAAGCGCAAGGTCGTTTCCATGGATGGGCACCAGTGCTTCGACTCCCCAACACGGGAGGGTTCAGCAAGTGTGACACCCAGCCAGCACGACCGTGAGAAGCTCTGCGAGTGCTGAAGCCGGAGAGGCCCCAGCTGGAGTGGACTTGACCATGGAGGGCAGCACGACGGCCGCGGCCCTCGGACACAGCTGTGTTGCACTGCAGTGTTCGGTGCTGGATGGTGCTGGGGCCGCGCAGGCTGGGTCTTCCGTAGCCAAATCTTCCTGCCCGAAAGGCACTCGGGCAGCGGAAGCAGCTTCCAGGAGAATCTTCCTTTGAATGCGGAATGTTGAAGGATGCCGAACCTGTGGCTGGAGTTGGAAGTCATCAACATCGGAATTGTCGGCTCCTGAACCCTCGGGTGCGAAATGCCTGGCATCCCAGCGACGACTTCGGTTCAAGGCCGGCGAAGAGCTCGTGGGCAGGGTCAAAGTGCCCATCACAAAGAAGAACTTTCTTACCAATGCCAAGGCCTTCGGCATCTCCCATATTTTTTCCTGCCTCTCTTACTCCATGTGGTGCTCGGTGAAGCGGGGAGGCGCCTTTCAGGAATCTTTGGCTGTGCGGATCTGAGAGCTGCAGAGGGCCCTCGTGAGATGCGCTGAGTTCTGCTGATCGTACTGTCTCTGAGGCCCTTGGCCTTGCCTTTGCCAGATGCCGATGGGAAATGGCGGGCTGCAACCTGAGCGAGCACGTTGGCAGAGTCGAGCTGATGCAACAAGCTTCTCTCAGGTCACAGAGTGTGGAGACGTTCAGATCATGACGATGCCATCTGCCTAGCGCTTTTAAGCCGTAGGGAGCAAGCGACAGACGGAGAGCAGCTTATCAGGAATGCTCTGCACAGCTCTGCTTGTGTGCCGATCGGGGAATTCGCAGTGTGGCTCAAACTGCACCGCGCTTGCAATGGAATGGACAGTGCTGCTCAACTGCTTCGTCAATCGCCCATACATGTCTCAGCGGGGAATCACACGAGGGAAGCATTGACGCAGACAATGTCAACGGTGGACATGGTGGTGGAAGGGGCTGGAACAGTCCTTGCGATGTTCTTTCTTTCCTCTCCCATGCCACAAGTCTGGCAAGCACAGAAAACTCCGGCCAAGGTCGACCTGGTCAATCCGATTACCATTCTCTCAATGTACGCTAACTGTGCTGCGCAGGTTGTCTATGGAATCTATCGACCTTTGCCAGCAGCGGTGCCCTGCAACCTTTATGGTTTGGCTGTTTCGTTATACTACTTGGGTTCTTGCTGGTGGTGCGCCGCGAAGTTTAGTGGGGCACTTCAGTGGAACTCGGCGGCAGCAGGTGGAACAGTTGGCTCGGTCGCAGTGTCCCTGCTGATGTGGCTTTATGCCGCCTTTGAGATCCACCAGAACGCTGCGGAGCACATCGGCTCGTTGGCCCTGGTCCTGAACGTCTTGGTCTTCGCGGCGCCTCTCTCGGCTCTTCAGCGAGTCTTGCGGGACCGCACCTCTGAATCCCTGCCACCCTTGCAAACCGTTCTGGGACTTCTTTGCAGTGTGTGTTGGTGTGGCGTTGGGTTGAGACATCAGAGCATGCCCTTGTGGGTGCCCAACGCCGTGGGCATTCTTCTGTCTTTGGTCCAGCTTTCGCTCATCATGGCTTATCCTCGGGTTAAGCCTTCCAAAGAGGTGCTCTTCGAAGACGAGATCTGGCAGAACTTGGGAGGTCATATCTTTTCATAGTCCAACACACAGCTTGAAACGGCTCTAACCCGCAGTAGATAGTCGGGGTTCACTACAGTGTATGAGTAGCACGGCAATGCCTCTGTTCCTGCACTCGACCCGTTCTCAGATGTTCTCAGCCGAGGTGGTCTCGGCAAAACTAACCAGGAGGCTGCTTCTTCAGATGCTGGCCATCGGGGCAGTCATGGTACTGATGGTGGCAGGGATGAGTTTGATAAACATAGACTATTCGATCGTGCTCGGCATCGACTTGACGAAGAGATGACCCGATCCGACGTGTTCCCAGCTCCACATGCTTAAGGCTGCGCTGCCAGAGCACTGCAGAGTTGGACGGCAGAGTGGACGGGGAGCTGGGTGCGTACTCCCCCGAATCCTGGAGTCCTGGATGTTGACTTGGGACCTTCATCAAGGACGAAGAGGACATGATGGAGTCAGATGCTGAACCGCACTGTGCATGGAACATACTGCTTGTGGGAAGAGCAGCGGCGGCAGCAGCAACGTTAGTAGTGCAGCATGGTGCCACATTGCCGCAGCATTGGTCTCGCAACCTCTCGCAACACACAGGCGCAGGAAAAGTGTGCCAGTTCCTGTGAAATTGGAGCGCGCAACCTGCACCTGGACCAGAGGTGGAAGCCCATAGACAGCGACAATCCACAAGGTGGAGTGCGGAGAGTGCGGCACTTTGCATTTGTTGGTTCCAGTCGCATTCTGAAGGCCAGCTTTCTGGTGCCTCCACCTCATCCTCTGCATCCATGAGCTACTTGAAGACGTATCTGCGGAGAGCTCCTCAGCCAGCTGTTTCTTTGCTCAAAACACAAATTCCTTTCTATTTGATCAATTTTCTTCGGTCTCAGGGGCGAGCTGGAAGCGGCCGAGGGCGGTGCTCGGTGCATACGAACTTGCGGAAGCGACCTGGGCTCAGCCACTTCTTCGCCGAGAACGGTGTTGTGCCTTTGTCGTTCAACCCAGGATGGCGAAATTTCCGGAAGTGCGCTTCCCTCGGTCAAAGGTGCCAAAAGTGGCTGCACTCGCAGAGACAGACCCATCTCAGGATCTTGCGCTGATCCTCGAGCCTGCAGGCACTCTGATGGACATGCCAATATGCTGACGCAATGCCGACATCGCAGTATCTTGCCAGGCTACAACCCGAACCTGGCTGATTGCCAGGGATCGGCTGACGAGGCTCGTGACTTCGAGCACATCGGATGCCATGTGGGCGACTCAGCGACAGCACGCAAAGGCCGCCCTCGAACGTGCTGTCTCGATGGCTATGCTGCAGCCTCGCCTTCAATGCGCCCATCTCAGCTGACGCTCGCTTCCAGCTTTGCACTGCGAGAATGCCACTTGAGGTCAGGAAGAGCGGAGCCTCCATAGCTGGAGAGCTTTCCGAAACAAGCTGAAGTCCGCCGGTTTGGCCAAGGCACGTGGGGTCCCCACTTCCCCTTGCTGGCACAGAGCTGCGTCTTCAGGCCCCCTTGGCAGAGCTCAGACTCTACCGTGCTGGCTTGGGTGAGGCGACGGCAGGGGATCAGAACGAAGTAGAAGTCGATGCTGAGCTGCTGCTTTCGCAGGCAAGTTGGGAAGAGCAGCTGAAGGACTGCAGTGACTGCAGCCTGACTCTGACCGCTCTTGCGGCGACACTGTAAGTCCTAACTCGCTGGCGCTGGAACCAGGGCTTGCTCCGCTCCGGGGTCCCGGACAAGTACAGATCGCAGGCTTCGACGGGTTTGTGCGCGGGGAGCCTCGAGCTTCCAGTTCTGGAGGTCTGGCTGGATCTGTCAATGGCAGCACGCTCTCGTGCAGAGTGGCCCGAAGGCAGCAAGGTGCTCAGTTTGGCAGCATCTGCTATGGAGCGTGATGGCCAGCTCCCCCAGATTCAACATTGCCACGAAGAGTCTGCAAAAGAGGCTACAATGCTTTCCTTGACTGTGGGAAGCAGCTGGTCAACGCATCCGTGCAACAATTGCAGCAGGACGTCAAGCTGAAAAAACATCAGACTCCCCCCAACAGAGTTGCCTTGCCCCGGAGGACAGCCTGACAGCGCTGGATTGGGAACCTTCAAAGGCCAGCTGGTGCGAGAGTTCCTCTTTCCTTTTCCTTGCCCCTCCTGTTTCAGGATCCAGCAGCTGTAGAAGCGCACCGACAGCTTCTTCAGAAGGTGTGGGGTGGCAGAGCTTGCGCCAGCTCAGGGGAATCTCTTCTGTCTGAACGAGGCCCGCAGTGTCTGCTTGGCACTCATTGGCTTCTCCTCCGAGCCGGGAGCCGAAGAAGCCTGACATCCACACCGAGCCCCTGATTATTCCTCCGGTTGAGGTCTGCGGAACAAGGTGCAGGCGTGCAAGCGTCCATTGCCCAGGGTACGACATCTCGGGTGTACTAGAGAGTCTTCAGGTATCGCTTACACGCAGAGTTTGTTGGCAGCAGCCCAAGAGCACAGCTGCACTGTCTGTTGGTCGTCCGCTCGTTCCGAGCTGGCAAGTAAGGAAATTGCTTGTCACCTACTCCCGGGCAAGAAGGCTCGACTGAGAATGGACAGCCGGCCCTTGACCATTTGACAAATGCTGTTGCGCTCTGCAGTGTCAGGGCCGTCAGGGTTCGAGCACCCGTCTTGAAGTGAGTTTGAGGTATAGTCTCAGCCATGAGCATTTGACGCGAGTCTCAATGCTGTGAGCAGCATGCAGAGGATGCGGTATCGTGACAGTCAGCAAGCCGTGATGCGACATATCGTACATCTGCGTGTCATTACCTTTCTCTGCGCAGACAGCTCTGCATCGTGTGCTTCGTTGACATCGCACTCGAAAGGGAACTTGTGTGAGTTGTATCGAAGGACTCGTTCATGTCACCAACGGCGGATGATCAGGTGAAGCGGGCCTTGTACACCGAATTATGCCGAGCCACACGGCCGGTGGCTGTGCAGCGCATCGTATCCTCCTTGCAGAAGCAACAGTTGGTGGTCGATAATCGGGATGCCACGGTCGTCGTACAGAGGCTTGGCAAGTGTTCTCTGTGGGACAGCGCGCTGGATGCAGTGATGCGACTTGCATGTCCTGGCTTGCTGCAGCCGGACGCCGTCTTGCTGGGTGCCATGGTGACAGCATGTGGACGAGGCAGTGCTTGGACAAAGCATCTCGGATGCTCAAACACTCCTTTCGATTTGGCGGTTAAGAGATTTAACCCGTGGTTTTATGTGGTTTTCAGAACAGGCTTCGTCACAACCTTCTAGAAACTTCCCCTATGCCTCGTGATTCCCACGTAGAGCCATGCAGCAGATGACGTAAGGTCCCTCCTTTGCTTGGACTTGCTGGCCGAGTATGGCATCGAAAAGGGTATCTTTACGGTAAATGCTGCAGCTAATGCCTGCTTGGAAAGTTCATGGCCTCGGGCCTTAGAGCTTTTGCGAGAGAACGCATACTTGCGGCTGAACACGGTGAGTTACAACATCTTGCTTGGTGCTTGTGAGCGCGGTGGCATCCGGGGCATGCGAGACTCCGTACTCTTGCAAATGCAGAACTCACTAGTGCTGCCGAGCCTCGTGACATACAACTCCTTGATTACCTTGTGTGGAGTTGATAACGAGTGGAAATCTACGTTGAAGTATCTGAAAGAACTCCGACAAGGCCAGCAGGAGCTTGAGCCGGACATCATCTCCTACAATGCTGCAATCAGTGTTTGCGGGACGTGCTCGCAGTGGCAGCCTGTCCTTGCTCTTTTCGGAGATATCGCCAAGCACGGGCTGAAGCTCGATGCATTTTCACTCGGTGGGGCGATTGCAGGAGCAGCCAAGTCGCGCAGATGGCGCTTTGCAATGTCACTCCTGCAGCTCGTGTGGCCCGCTGGCCAAGCTGGCTCCATTGGGATCCGGCCGAATGTAGTCGTTTGCAGCTCTGCCTGTGATGCGCTTGCACAAGGACACTGGGAGAGAGCCGTGGGCTTTCTCGCTGACATGGCGTGTGTGGCTCTGCTGCCGAACGCATTTACGATAAGCTCTTCCATCGGGGGCTGCGGCCGTGGCCAGCAGTGGGCAAAACCCCTGCTTCTGCTGCGATGGATGGCGGGCAGAACAGGTCTGTCTTGTCTACCGGAAGGAGTTTCCGCCACTATCGGGGCCTGCGCCCAGGTGGAAGGGGGGGGGGGAAATAATGCAGCAGGGTAGGTTTATGACATGAAGCGGCTCCCTGTCTCGAGGCCAAATGCTGGCAGGCCTCCTGTGCCTTGCTGCAGGTGTTAAGACGGCAACCATCGGGAGAGCGGCCGGGGGTCCTGGCATACAACGCAGTGCTGGGTGCCACGGCATCCTCAGAAGGTGAGGCAGGTAGCATCGACGCACGCGGTGTTTGGAAGTGGTCTCTGCGCCTCTTCTGGGAGCTTTCCAATGCCGCGACAAGCGCCGACATCATCAGTCCACGACTTACCAAGCTAGTCTGAAGCGTCACAGGTTCGGTTACATTACTGCAAGCCAGCTACATGTTCCCACACGAACTATACATCGCAAAGTCCAATGCCTTATCTGAGGCTTCAACTCCGGGATAAACGCATGTCAAACTGGTGGCTCTTGGCCGGGAAGCCTGACTTTGCTACGAAGACTGCATGAAGCCATCCTGCAGCCAGACTTTCTCAGCTTCAGCGACTCGGGCAGTAAGTTCTACTCCACAGAGCCAGCTTTTGGGTTATGCTTTTGCTTTAACTAGGCTTTTGTAGCAGTCTTCAAACACGGCCGACTCAATCTCAAGTGTGCCGTTGCGAAGGCTGCGCGGTCGAAGCCTGCAGCTGCGGACGTAAATGGGAGGTAGGATCTTCCTTGCTGGCCACCATGCAAAAGCTGCAGTCGCCTCAGGCTCAGCAGTAAGAAGACAGCAAGTTACAGCTCTGGTAGCCTGCATTGGACCAAGGCCCCGAAGTGAGGGACCCAACATAGCCGCAGCCTACGAGGTGTTGTTGGAAGCCTTGGCTGCTTGACTCAGATTTTGTTCGAAGGTTCTCATGGAGGGTTCTTATTGTCTAATCTGTTTAACACACTTCAGTCTTCGTTTGGAAACTTTGTTTTTGCTGCAGCAGGCATTTCTGGGCTTCAAGGAGGCCCCAAGACCGAGCACCGCCGTAACCGGAACGGAGCCCTCCTGGGTTGTAGGCCTCACCCTCCAGACTTGGAGAACCGCAGCCGGAAATACCTGACTAGTGGCCTGGAAGGCCACCACATGCCAGCACAGAAAGAACGGCAAAAGCACCCCACCCCACCTGCCACCACAGCAACAGACAAGACACGGCGACAAATGCCAGACATCAACAACGACATTCTTGCTCCTCCCGTCTTTGAAGCCGAAGGAGTCAGGAGGATCCCTCCCAGCTGCACCGCGGCTTCTGGCAGAACTGCAGCTTCGGACGGAAGAAAGCTACATATCGCGCCGGGACAAAAAAAGGACCGGCAGTCGATGTGGCAGCTCACTCATATGCCTCGTGCAACTTACGCAAGATTATGTTTCATTTGGTTTATCGCATATCACGGAGTCGACTTTGGCAGTTGCAAGGCGAGTCTCTCGGAGCAAGATCTTTTCTGGCTTCTTCACGCCAAAGTCTGAGCTTCTGAAAGGGCTGCCGTTTCTTGCACCCCTAACTCTACACACCGCGCCCTAAAGTTCTTGAAAGGGTTTAGGATTCAGGCCCTTCAGGGTCTGGGGATCATGCAGGCGCTGGCCTACTCCAACTCGAACGGAGCTTTTCGGGACTACTTCTGCCCCGCAGCTCCCGGAGACGGTCGGAAGCTCGCGTCACAATTTGCCAAGCCCGGTGGGATGGCGGTTGTAGCAGAAAGCTTGGCGAGGTGTGAACTCGGCCTTGGGCATGGCGGAGGAGTTTGCTGTGGGCTTCCATGCAAGCATTTACTATAGGCATCTCTGAAGAGTGTTTCGGCCCAGCAACTTCGAGCACGGCTTAGCCTGGAGCTTGAGCGGTAGGGGCATGTTAGCAGCTTGGCTCCATGCAGCGCCATCGTGTTCTCTCGCTGAAGAGCCATACTTGCACGTCTTGATTCTCTACCCGGTGTACTTGCGCATTGACATAATATAGTGAGCAGGACAGCCTAACGCCTGTTGCATTCGTGATGTATACAGTCAATTCAAACATGGATGGCGATTTCGATGCATGATCCTTTGCGGTTGCATTGCACACATGTCTGTAATGCATGCATGCACGTATTTGTTTTGCATGCCAATGCATGTGTGTGTATGTACTGGTCGATTTGCTAGTTTATCTGTTTAGCCAGGACACATTGCTTCTGGATTGTGCGCTGGCCATTCATGAGTACCGGCCTGATTTGGAGCTGTGAGCAGCAGGTGTGCGCATGCCGAGGGAGTTAGCAAAGCGACAGAATCCACGTGTCCTGGCAAGGCCCTTGGTGCGAAGACGCCTGGTCATGCTGGGGCTCCTGCCTCGGATTCGGGTCAAGATGAAAGCCGGAACAGAAGAGAGAAAGACAGAGCACGTTGGGGCCTGGCTGGGTGTTTTGAACTGTATTCTGCCAAGCCTCGCCACTTGTGCCGTTCTAATTGTGATATCAGCAACGAGAAAACAAGACGACGGGCCACTCTCAGTGTACGAATGTGCCAGCACGCTCATGACTAGCCGGCACTTTTTTGTCACAGGATTCCCACATCGGCGCTCTTCTGGACGTACTTCGGCCGGCTCTTTGCAGGGGTGACCCGGAAGTGCAGCAATGACTCGACTTGGCGTCCGGGCATCTCACGTCAGGTACTGCCAAGAGCCTCCTTCTGGCGGCTGATGGACGTGTTGGTCGGTGAGTTTGAGCCCAAGAAGAAAGGAGTTTTTGGTGTTTTGCTTGTATAGTGAATAGTGTTCTTGATGCCAAGGTCAGCCGATCCTGAGGCTTGCCCACACGGGCGAGGGCCTCGAGGGTCTCGATGGCCTGAGGGCCTGGAGCTTCCGGCGAAACTCGTCACGGCGAGGCGCCATGTGTTGGTGGACCTGTCCTTTGGCATCCTCCAACGCCGCGGCCTCGGCGACCTTGCCAGAATTGCAGCCACACTTGGTCCTGTGACAGGTGCCCGAGATGGCATCTGCGCGTGCAACTCTGCGAAGAACCGGCGAGTTTTTATCCGTGGCCAGCTTTCGACTAATTGCACCTTTTCGGGTGCCAGGCTTGAAGTCACGTCTCTCGTGCGAGCTAGACTCGCCTCTTTGCTTGACCCGGAGGACCTGCCTGTGCTTGTGCCAAAGGCTAAAGCCCGATTCAAGTGGCGAAGCTGCGGCTTTGGAATCTGGCATGTTGCAGGACTTGATGGACATCCTCGTTCAAGCCGAGGACAGCTTCGAAGTTCCGACTGGGCTATCCTTACAGTGATGGTGGGGGCTGGGAGCTGTGGAGAGGCCTTTCTTTGGCAAGGTTTCAGCCGACATGAGGCAAGGACCACCGCCGCGGATGGAAGTGGTGTGAGTAGGCTTCGAAGCTGGCAGGTCCTGAGTATGTGGAGCGCTGCGTCTCAGGAGTTCACAAGGTGCTCAGGAATTGAGCCAGGGAGGTTGAGGTGCAAAGCGCATTCTTGCCGTTTAGGTTCTGTCGCCAACGGCAGCGGCAGGCATCTGTATTGGGCATCGCGATGACAGAGCTTCGGCAAGAGTGAAACTGTTTTTGCGGGCAGGACATGGTCGTTCAGCAGCCGGCGTCCTACAGAACGAACGGGCACATCCGATTGTATTGTCCGGGTTGGTTGTGACCACTGCTGCAGGCTGCATGCCTTGAACCCATTGAAGCCCCTCGGCGAGTCTTCGGATGCCGCGCCAAGGTGCAGGGCGAGAACTCTTGAAGTGTGATGCCACGCATCGATGAGCAAAGCTTTTCTGTAGGGCTTGAAGGGCTCCTTTGACAAACTAGCGAGGCCGCTGACGACGCACTTCGTCATTCAATCGGCAGGGAGCCCTGGGATATTGGGCGGGCCAAAGTTCTGCATCATTGGTGTTGAGCCCCGAGAGCGTCATGCCTTCGGTTGAAATGGCCCGAGTTAAGAGTTCATCGAGGTGGTGCCAACGATGCAGAAAGCCTTGCTGCTTCACACCAACTGCGCGCGTGCGGCCCTCCGGCAGCTCCCAGAGGTGCAAGTTTGAATCAGCTGTGCAATCCGCCGCGAGCAAGCTCTCACCTCGTGTTTGAAGCTAGTTTGACGCCTGCTGGTTCGGTTCCTGAGCAGATCTGAGTCACCCCGAAGCAGCCTATATTATGCTTGAAAGCCGATACTATATTAAATGCTGAAAGCCAAAGCCTATGCTCGCCGAAGCCTACCCGACCCTCGCCGAGATCTCTCCCTGCGACCATTCGGGTCCCTCAGAAAATCACAGCAACTCATTTGCTCTCCTCAATGCATCATGTCTCACATCGAAAAGACCAGATCATGGTCGCAACGTTTCGCCACCACGAGCTGCCTCTAGGCCTGCTAGTACGAAACGAGACGGAGACACTGTACACCCCAAACTGCGAAAGCAACAGCACAGCGTCGCTACACTTCTTCCGAAGTAGTGGTAGCGGTAGTCCTTGCTTTTGCGAAGTGTAGTGTGGTGAGGAGCTGTTGAGCATCGTGCTGGGTCCGATGGTGGACCCTTCGGTGCCAGCCTCGGATGCTGCGAGTCTCTGGGTCCAAGCAGGGCTCGTGCTCGCACCAAGGCCCAGGCTGACGTCGGGAAGAGCGTCGCGCAGATCGCTTCAATGGTCGGGGCCCTTCTCGTCGGCGCTCGCCCCTGCTCCCCCAGCCGCCAGCCCCAGCCGAGTCTGCAAGAGGATCATAGAGGATCCTTTTGAGCAGTACTGTAGGTCATGTCCTCCGCGCTGGGCCTGCGCGGTCGCCCGGGTGCCGCCGCAGAGCTTCCCGACGTCGCTGGCCCAGCTGTCATGGCCCTGAAGCGTCGAGATTCTCAAATTTGGCTTTGGGTTTGAGGTGCGCCCATGGAATTGCTTGGGTTCTTCACCGGAGCCAGAGTCCTTGACGTCAGAGAGGCGGCCGAGTCGGCGTCAGACAACAGGGGTTTTCAGAGCGTGCGTGGGAAGGTTCTCTGCAGCGCTGACGGAGCACTTTCCAGGTCGCCGGGCTGAGTTCAAGTCCTCTGTGCATTCTTGGGGGGACTGGAGACAGGCTGGAGCGAGAAGGCCGAGGACACAAGAAACTATTTGTTCGCTCGTTTCCATTCCCTCTTCCGCACTGCAACTGTTGACGTTCAAGGAGCTCTTTGCAGCATTTCGCTGGGATGCATGGCAGGGTGCTGAGCCGAAACGCGTGTCGCAGGATCATCGGCCGAGTTCGGACTTGGCTGTGTAAGGGCATCGGAAGCAGTCTTCGAAAATCACATGAGCTTGAACGAGCCCAGCCGGCTTGGCTTACTGTAGTCGCCCTGTGAGCTTCAGATGTTCTTACTTGTTACTGTTGCGAGAATAGAACAGCTGAGCGCATGGCAGGTTCTTCCTTGTCCTCATCTGCTGCTCTCAAGGCCTCGGAGGCAGCTGCCTCTCGTGTCTCAAGAGAACTCAAGTCCGAACGCCAGGCAGTGTGACCGAGAAGGCCTCCGCCTTCTTCGAGTTATTTGCAGGCCCCGCCAGGCTTGGCCCGTGGCAGCTTTGCGTCGTCTTCAGAGAGTTTGACGGTTGGGAAGTGCGCAGGCCGGATGCTGTGGAGTCATACCCCCACCGGACGGGCCCTGCTGCAGAAGCCATAGATGCCCGCATAGCTGCACAGCTATAGCAGATGTAGCTCACGTGTTGATATTTCGCCAGCTTCGCAGGCTCGAATTGAAGTGTTGCATTCTTCTGGTTGCTTGTAGTATATAGTTAGTCTAGCTCACAGTTCTGCGTTGCCAGTGCAGGATACCCATCTCGCGGGTGGCTGAGCTGGCCGGTGGTCCACAGGAGGAGGAGGCTCGCAGCTGGTGGGATGCTTGCAGAACACGCCGCTGTGCAGTGGCAGTGGCACAGCACAGAACCCGTGGGAGGCCTTAGCAGCCTTGGGGCGGGTCCGAGACTGATCGCAGCGGAGCAGCCAGCAATAAGACCCCATGAGACGAACTTCTCCCTTCATCGAGCTTTCTTGCAGCTCAGGTGTGTGGCTCCCTCCCGCCGCCGCGGGAATCACCTGCACTGGAGATTGAGGCACTGGGCAAGACGGCCACTTGAGCCCCGATCTTGAGTCCCTCGGCCAAGGTTTGGGCAAACGAATATGGAGAGCTGTGAGCTCCTTACGTGATTTGGTGCTGTGCATTCCTGGGGGTGCTTTTCTGCATTTGCTTCGGTGGCTGAGGGCCGGACGAGCTTTCGTCCGCTCATTGTGGCCATTTGTTCGATCAAGCCCTCTTCTCCAAGAGCGGGAGCTCCTGCGAGCAGGTGCGGAAACCAGAAACTTTCATCATGTTTCATCATTCACAGCAGTCACAGCAGTCACAGAAGGCTCTGCGTTCTACATTTGGGTGGAGGACGAGGTGGGAAAGGGTGGCAGCTTCGCACCTGGCCTGGGCCTGTGGCTGCTTGGTGTTTCAGGGAACAGCCCCCCGCTGCGTGGGCGAACTTCGCTTGGGCATCTCCTGGACCCCCAGGACACTCGGGCCATGAAGCAAGCTTGAAGCAAAGCTTGAGACTGTGGGGACCCCTCCGCAAAATAAAAGAACAACTGATCATCGATCTAAAGGTCTGTGTCTTCAATTTTGTCAAAGGCGCGGCTGTTAACTACTTCACGATTGTGTTGTCGTCGCCATAGTCGGCAAGCTACATTGTAGACTACTGCACTAGCAGCACTAGCACAGCACGAGCACTCTCGACAGAACCTGGCAAAGAAGTGTTGTGAGAAGTGTTGTGGCGTGAAAGAAAGCTCATCAACACAACTGCAGTGGCCAGTGCATCCATTCCAGGAACGAGCTGAACCCGGCCATCGGGACATTGGTTCTCTGCTGCAGTCCGAGGGATCATCGCATCAGAGCTTTCAGCGATTCTCCACCGATGACCAAGGCGCCGGTGGCCTGAAGCTCTTCAGTGCTGAGCGGCTTTCAAGGCCAGCCCAGCCGTGGTTCTTTGCCGACGTGTGGCATGTAGATACTAGTAAAAGCAACTATCTCCACTTAGGCCTTGGGTGCGTGCAGTCGTCTATGACGAGGACCCCATTGCTGCATGCTAGCCGTGCCGGCCGCTGGCCGTTGATACTCGCAGCAGTCGTCCTTGGCACTTGGAGGATGGGCTTCGAAGGTTTCCGGTTCTTCGTGGACATCAGAGCATGGGTCAGAAGGCTCATCTGAATTCATGAGCCATCATGAATCATCATGAGTCATGTGCAAGCTTCGTTGCTGATGGCAGAAGCACAGCTCTTGCCAATCCCTGCTGAGCCAGGGTGCGAGGCATGTTGTTCGTCGAAGAAAAGTTTCAGAACCTCAAATGCTATGCTACATCCAGTTGTCAATTGGACGTAGTCAGTTAAGGTGCCGAGAATAATGATTGTCATGCTGCTGTACTGTACCTTGCATGGCTAGTGTGTCGCTTCCACTGTCAATGGTTGCCGATTCAATGCCTGATACTCGCAGGGTCTCTATCTCTTGCCAGGATGGTTTGCTGCCAAAGTGGGCGCAGGGCTCTTTTGCGGCCTCGATGACGTGGACGCAGGAGGTGCAATTAGCAGCCCGTTTCTCACGGTGTCTGATCGCGCCCAAGAAGGCTGTACGCTGGAACGGCGACAGACAAGAGTGGAACTGGGCTCCTTGTTATACTGGGTGACCGATTTCTCTGAGTTTCGTGAAGTATTGCCGAGTGCAACGAGTGCAATGATGCCGAGGTGTCCCCTGCAAACATCTTGTCTTCAACAGATGATCTGCTGGTATGTGGCGGCACGGCGCGCAGCCCAGTTCCTCTGGGCAGGATGTGACTTCGAGTGGTACACGCGGTCTCCAGGTCTTACCACCCCAGCGACCAGGCAGCCAAAAGGCTTTCCGATTGAGTCTGGCAGTGCTCACGTGTCACGCATGCCATCTCTCCCGACGTGATGTCCGGCCTCGCTTTAACTTGCAGGTTGTCACCCTGCAGAGCTGCCGTTTGATCTCTGATGTGTTGCTCAGGAGGGCAAGTAAGGCGGAGCTGGTTCTTGCTTGCCCGGCTGGGCCTTGGCCAGGAGAGGCTGCGCATACCTCTCAAGCCGCCAAGTGGCTCAGATTGCTGACCGCTGCTTTCACAGTCCGGACCTAGGCATGCTGCCATGCATCCTGCGGTGATGCCAAACTGCTTCACTAGTTTGAAAGGAGATGCCATATGTGCCGCCCTCCTGGAAGCCCTGTTGGTGGAGGGTGAGGCCCTGTATCGACAACTGGCTGGTGATCAAGGATGTGCCTCACCTTCGAAAGGATGTGCCTTCATGCGGCATTTCACGAGAGTACTGTGACGAGCATGGCGCTGCCCTTGAGATGTCGTAGATGATGCATGAGTCGGATAGATGCTCCTGTCGCGGGACAGTCTTGATCCGCCAAGGACGAGGATATGTGGACATCAACACATCCATACTGATGGAGTTGGAGAAGCAGATCTTTGAACGTGCGACACCAAGATATCCAGCAGCATGCGTCTGAAAGAAGCTACCATGATGCTTAGTGTTGTTTGTGTCAGCATCTGATAGCGACGTCGGTTGCAGACTTCACAAACTTCGGCAATGGCAGTGATGGAACAGCATGGTATCACGGATCAGCACCGGGAATCCTCGCAGGTGAAGGCAGCTTGAACCTATGGGAAACTGCCGAGTCCGTTGCGGCCGCCTCTCTGCAAACTCTGCCCTCAGCCTCAGCACTTGTCAGCACTCCTAGGCGCGGAAGCTTTTTTGCCTCATCCGCAGAGCTGCTCCGCCCAGGGACGTGCCTTTTGACCCCTTCCCGGAGCGCGAGAAGCTGCTGTGCCTCCACTACGCCCGCTTGCGGCTCACCTTTCAGCTCTTGCTGTTGTCAGTTGAGCCGCTGCTGCATCTTCTGTGGTCTGCTGAGGTGCCGGAGACGGGGAACGGCTTCGAATCACTCTGAAGGTTGGCAAGGACGGCCAAGTCAGCGCGGAACAGGCCGAGCTTCTCCGTAAAGCCGTAAAGCTCCTCATGGACTCATCATGGCAGGCAAATTCAATGTTTGCGGTGTGGCAGGTACTCATGGACTCATCGTCTTACGAGTCGCTCGCGCTGAGCAAGAAGGAGTTTCAGCCTTGTTGTGCCTGACACACTGCCTCAATGAACTTCATCACACTTGCAAGCACATTTGCCTCAGGTTTATCTCTTGCATCGAAGCTTCCCCCTTGCTGAGTGAGCCGCTACGATGCTCACTGCTTCATGTCCGAACCTGAGCTGCCTGCAGTTCATGTTGGTGCTGGGTGCAAGCACATAGGCATAGCCGGCATAGCCTCCGAGGCCCCGGCGACTTCCATCGAAGCTCAAGGCCACCGGCCAGCGGCTCCTTTCGCCCACTAGAGCTGACAGCTTCCAGACAGGAGCTGATCTCGTCCAAGATGGCTTTCGAAGGACAAGGACTCGCGAGTTTGGCGATCGCAGAGCCGCGGTTTAGGATGGATTGAGACTTTGGGGAGAGTTGGAAAGTAGTTCACTACGACGATTCAAGGAGTGGCTGTTGACTTTATCCTCGCCATAAACGGGCTGCGAGCGCCGATGCCCTGAGGAGTCCGCTGATGGGTTCCATCGTGGGACTGCTGGGAAGCGTAGGCTCGCTGGACTTGTTTCGCGTGTCCCGATTTCTGAAAAACGCAGCGATGCTTTGCTGCTACGGGACCATTGTGACCGGCACGCCGTACTTCACTCTGACACGAGCGGCGGTTCTGCGAGGAAAGGCAGATGCTTTGGCTCTCGATGTTCTCGTGGCGCGGAGCTTAGCAAAGACGATCAGCAGTTGTGCAGCGATCCATCGCAGGAAAGTCTGCAGAAATGGCCGTAGAACGTTGACTTTTGACCGGCTGCGCAGCGACCGATTTAGTTGCGTGTGCAGACTTAGGAAGACAACACATCTTCGGGCAGTCCCACGTCACAAAGCTCCGTGAAAAACAAAGGATTGTGCGCCTGCTGAGTTTGAAATCTCACAAGATCGAGTCGAACCACAATTTCTCCTTCGAGGCCCCTGCTGTTTGGAGATCTTCTAAACCAAGCAGGCCCGGCGGAATTGCAGTGCGGGCCCGGGCTACGGAGAAAAGCAACAGGAGCCACGAAGACGCCAAGACTGGCCCGTGGCTCAGTTGGCTCTGGAGCTTGGTGCGGATGTAAGCGCTTTCGGGCACGAGCAAAGGCACTCGAAACGGCCATGGATGGTGGAGGCCATGGCGTGAAGGTGCGTGGGCTGTGTCATAGTTGCTGAAAGATGTTCCAGATCCGTGCATTCGTAAGCAGGTGTTTTTGAACGACACGTTTCGAGACTTCCTGGCGAAAGTCCAAGAGGCTTGCTCCAAGCCGGCTCCTCGAATCTCTGGACTCGGTGATGTCGCGCTGCCTGTCTGGAGTCTTCTTGAAACGAGGCTCGGGAGAAGCCTTTCAAGCCAGCGGGTGGTGCAGGCAGGCTAAGCAGCGGATGTGTAAAGCGTTCGCAGTAGAGCCTCTGCACTTCGGCCGTGCCTTTGGCGATCAGGTGCTGGAATCGGCCAAGAGATACAAGAGTGTTAGCATAGGCGGCGAGTAGATGATCTGTGGCTGAAGTCTCTCGCAGACTCGTAGACCCCTTTGCAACTGCCAGGGCCGGAGCATCAGGTCTTTGCGTTCATGCCCCCGGTGAACCCCGACCCCAAGGACGTAGGTGTTTTGTGCATGTGCAACGGGTGGCAAAGTGCAGGTGGTTGGCACCCTAAGAGCACATCGGAGAAGAAACCATCGCTTCGCCACAGCTTCGATCTTTTTGCAGGACGGTCTGGGGGCTCTGATGGGTGCGCTTGCCGACCATGCCAGCTGGTTCCCGTTGGACAAGGACCTTCAAGCGTGCAAGGGTATCCGTCTGGAAAGTCACAGCCACTGCAGTTCCCTGGAGTAGGCATCGGACACGCGCCTCCAATCCAAGCTTGCCCGCGCGGGTGCAAGCTGCCCGACCTTGCAAACAGGACCTGACTTTTCTCGACTATGTCACAGCTTTCTCCCGTTACAAATCCATGCCGCCGTGCTTCGGCAGCACGATGGACGTGGCTGTCGGGGAGGAGAGTCCCTCCTACCAGTGTTTGGAGTGTTGGGTGTTTGTTGAAAGAACGGTCGTGGTAGAACAAGGAGGGCTGAAGATCCTACGCACTGTTGAGCTTCGTTTCTGAGTCGAGGTTTCTCCGGGTGGTGCGGCCGGAGCCCTGGCGGCATCTCCGAATAGATGACCGGCTTCTGCTCCAAGGGCGGAGGAGATCTCCGAGGGCGTAAACGAGCACAGCCTGCCGGTCACAGGTGAGCTGAGATCTGATTTCGACGAGCCATGAGTCAGAGTCTTCCTTGCAGGCCCGTCTCGCTGGAGGCGAGGCATCGGGCGAGCACACGCAAAAGCGCATTTGTGCTTCCGAGAGGCAGAGTTGGCGCTTGCACCAACACCAAGACCTCTCACAAGAGTGGAGGTGCTGAGAACCTCCGTTTGCGCAGTCCGGTCTCTTGCAAGCCAGCTACTTGCAGGTAAGTGCTGGAGCCTACCGACACCTGGGGGCTTCGCCGAGAGGCACTGCAAGTTCGATAGGCTGCCCGGGTCTGTCTGTGCGCTGTGCTGTGACAGCAGGGCTCTCGCCGAGCCTCTGAAAACGACTCATCACTGCTGGACGGGCGGTCGGGTGTGGATGAGAGCTCACCTGGGTCGCAATAGTTAATGTTAGTGCTTGTCCGAGTGCTGGTCACGCTCCTCTGTGTTGGCTTTGCATTTGCTCATGCTTCTGCAGTTCGGTCCTTCCACGAGGACGGCGGAACATCTGCTGACGGCAGACTGAGACTTGCTTACGTCTGCAGTGTGTAGATCATCATTACACGTTGGCATCATGGGCCAGAGCCGGAGCATGGCATGTGTGAGGATGTCGCCCCTGCAGCAACGTTCATGCCCCTGATGTCTACACATGTAGCAGACCTGTACAAAGTTGGATTCGGGTCGAAACTGACCAGCTCGCATTGATCGCGAAAGATAGCAGTGGCGCGTGTGTTGGGATGTACTTGACTTGTAGGAGCCATGATCCTGCAGCCGGCAGAGAGCAAAGTGACTGGACATCAGGTGAGATCTTGCAACTGCCTTAACATCGGTGCTCAAGTCGTGCGTGACTTGGAGTTCACCTCACGTTTGTACCGCCTGCATCTCTGGAACGCAACATGCGCACTGACGAAGGATTTTGACAATGGTGTTAGCTGACAGGACTGAGTAGGAGGGGCACCGTGCTCGCTGGCTCGCTGGTTTTCAGCTGCCATGGCATGGCTGTCCGCGGCGACCTGGCTGAAAACGTTGGCTATGGCTACACCTTCCGATCATGTGCTGCTTGCGCTTTCAGAGGTGGCATGGTCCTTCTGGGAGGCGCCTCGCTTTCCATGTCTGGCATGCCCCCTTGTTTTCCGCAGCTGATTGAGTTTCTCTGCCGGCGCTGTCCTGCCATCAGGCAAAGGAACCCCAGAATGTCGGGGACTTGGGGTCGAGCGTGGGTGACTTTCACGCGGCCGTGCAATCGTTCAAAGGCTTTTCGCAATCGTTCACAGGCTTTTCCGCTGAATAGGGCGGAACTTGCCCCGGTGCCGCACTCTCAGCGCGATCCATGGAGAGCCGTAGAGAGCCGGGAGCGGCTCGCAGTAGTCCGTTCCGAGGTTGGAATGCGTGAAAGCAGGGCTGACGAAGGGAACAAAGTTCTTTCCGGGCCTGCCTACTCAGGCGGACGCGGTGCGCTCAGGAACGCCCGCCAGTTGTGGCATCCCCCGACTCCAAGTCTGTCACAAGGCCCTGGTGGAGTACATCCACCAAACTGGCGCTGCGTGGCCTGTTTGCAAGGATCCGCACGGTGTGCCAAGCGCTGCTGCCCGTTTCGCGCCTTTGCAGTGCCTGCACCAGATCGAGGCTGGCCTTTTCCGAAGAAAACGGCAGGGACCTTTTCGGTCTCTTCGCCGAGTACCAGGCTTGTTGGACCGGTGGTTGCTCTCTCCACCTCTCCAGATGCAAGACGTGCCTGACAGGGGGTCGACATGCTTGTGGACGGGCTCCTGGCGTTTGAGACACTGGACCGAGTTAGGGTGCAGCTCCTCCAGACGCTGCCCCTGGGCTTGCATGCAGTGGCTGCACTCGCCGCTTGGATCATGGCCTCGTTTCGAGCCGCTCACGAGGTCGATCCTGCTCGTGAATGTCGCCCAACTGCACTTGGCGGTGCACGGTTTTGGCTGTTCTACTGCCAGCCAAAGTTCTCACATCTGTTGCAAGGTTCGAAAGACCACTTTTCGCTATGTTTTGCAAACGGGGGCCTACAACAGACTCCTGCGCGGCAAGTGCGGCACTTGGACACTGAATCGGAAGGCACCGTGGGCCGAAGGTGGGAAATGCAAGCCGCGTCTAGGCTGCGTGGGTGCTGCTACCCAACTTCTGGTTTGTTGGCAAAACAGAAACAACACCAGCCGCATAACATTTCTGCGTTCCCGGGGCCCAGGCCCTACTTGCCCGATGGTGACGCCGAGGCTTGGGCCCCGTCTACGATCTTCGACCCACGACACCGCCCCGTCATTCATTCGAGAAAAGACTGCAACAGTGTCAGGCCTTGTACATGAATATACAGAAACGCCTGGCAATGAACGTGGATGAGCAGCCCGAAGCCTACCGCAGTCAGCAGCAAAAACGCGAATGTCTCGCAAGCTCAGCACTTGTGCTCCTCTGTTAGGGCCGCCGACCTGCTCCTGATGACAGTCCCGTGCTCGGTTCTCCAGCTTGCTTAGAAAGCCGCCATGCAATTCTGTCCGTGGCTGTGGCTGAGGTGGGACATGGAGAGGACGAGGCCAGCTTTCCGTGTGTCTAGGTCTTGGGTTTAGAACGAAACATCTTATGCGGAGGCTCCGACAGTGCACCTGCCGCTCATGACAGAGGCCACCGAATCGTGAGGGTTGCCAAAGGGCGTGGCTCTGCACAGACGCGCGCCTGAACCGCCTTGCAGGCCATCGGCTTCCTGTTCAACGACGAAAACCTGGCCCGCACAGGGGCCAGGGTGGTCTGCCTCAGCAGCTGGGCTGCAGATATGAGTAAGGAGATGGAAGGTAAAAGGAGGGCTCCGGATCAGCCCGCTGTGCTGCAGAACCTGCGGAGGCATGCTGAAGATGAAGAATGCAGAGGCCCCTCGCTGCTTGAGCAGCTGGCTTCGCGGAAACGTGATAAAATGCAGGTGCGAACAGCAGCCTTGGAGGCCTCGTCCCCAATACCGCAAGGCTCGGCCTCAGCGCAAAGCGTCGTCAGCACAGGTCCTGGAGGAGAGCCTCCTTCCAGTCCTGGCCGCCGCGCTGCAGACCTCCTGGGCAGCTTGGCCGGTAGACACGGCCGAAGGGCCAAAAAGAGGTAGGCGGAAGGTCTGTCGGGCTGAGAAGTCCCAGGCAGACATAGAGGCCGCCGCCCGTGCGGGGGACGAGGCCGCGTTCCGTTCGGCGACGTGCTCAGAGGAGGTCCGCTCCGACTAGGTGACTAGGGGCGAAGTCGCCATCCATGCAACTCTGCTACTGCATGTGCTGCTTTCGGCAGTTGCAGGACATCTTGGAGTTCATTGGCGAATTGCTTGGCCTCGGGCTGCCCGGGGTGACGCAGGTGCGGCCTCACCCAAGCGTGCTCCAATCTCTTCTACTAGCACTTCGGAATGCTTTCGAGGCCATCGCGGACACCATCGTCGCCGAGCTGCTGCTGCCGCAGGTCTTCGTCCTTGTGCTGCCGGCTGAAAATGCTGTCGGGCGGTTGGCCGCGGGCCGCGGACGGGGCGAGCTGTGATGCGCTGTTGGCCAGTGGGCCAGGCTGCCTGGCACCAGCCTAAGCCTGTCCAGCCTCGGCCAGTCCGACGCTCAAGCTCTTACTCTCTTTCGCGGCGGGTACTGCTAAGTGACGATTGCCTCCGCCAGATCTTCGACTGTTTCCCCGATGAGATGAAGCGGCAGCCCCGGTCGGGAAGGACGAGAGGTCCGATTAGCTGCGTTTGGCATTTGGCGAAGGCCGCCGGCGATCGTCCCCCGCCCATCGGAATTCTCCATGTATCAGGACAGGTGACGTCCCGTTCAATGCACCTGCCGTGACATGTCAGGACATACATGATGAGTTTCCAGGAATCAATATAGGATCAGGCCATTTCTGTGAACTGCGAGCTCCACGCTCTTGGGACCCCCATCACAATCATTCATCAAAGTACCGTGCGTGCCCTCGATTCACTGCTCGTGAAACTGTTTCGCAGGACATGCTGCGGGCGATGTCTCCGAGCCCAGTGGCATCGCCAGCTGCAGCTCAGGCCACTGTGCCATTGCGCAGCCTCGCCACGCGCAAACCTTGACGAAGAATGCCCTGGGAAGGATGAAGCTGAACCCCCTGACGAGCTCGACGCCGCGCTGGCCGTCCGCAACGATCCCAAGCGTTACCGACGGAGGGTGGCCCGCGCTTGTCACAGCACTTGCCCAACGATGAGAGCCTCCAGGCTCGATCGCTGCCTTCCTGCAGCAGATGCGCAGGGAGCAGATGGCAGGCACCATGAGCCATGCTGGGAAAAGACCGAGATGCAGGAGACTGGGGCAGTAACAGGTATTATGGTGCCGATGATCCAGCTGCTGCTGTGGCCAGCCCGCGTCCAAGCTGAGCGTCCAAGTGCGAAGCGGATGCGGCCCAAGTGCCACATCCACCCCATGCGGTCGAGGTCGTTCCTGCACACTTTGCAGAGAGGAACGTCTCCGGCCCAGTGGAGTACGCTTTCCACCAGTGGACATGGCATCAATCTACACTCTACATCAGGCGATGAAGACTGTCGGCTGGAAGGAGGCTTGAATCTGCTACACATGAGGCGGTCTGAGGCGTAAGGTGTTGAGAGAGACACTTGGTCGGGCAAGGAACCCGTGGTATGGAAAGTTTCCGGGCTGTTTAACTCGGAGATGCCACAAAGAATTTTAGCTTGATCCCCAGGTGCGGCAGGGCTTCGTCGAGCTCAGCGCTGGCAATGGCTTAGAGGACAGAAGTGCTGTCGGGCAGTCAGTGTCAGAATGTCGCGTCCCATATATTCCTGTTGGCCCTTCGGTCACGTCATGCCCGGATCCACTCCGCGAAGACGCCAACTTCAGTCAAGTATGAGTGCATCCACTTGGCGCTTGTAATTGTGTTGATTTCTGTCGTATTCGTGCGTTCGCCAGCGGCAGTGCCACTGCCGGCAAAAGAGAAGACTGGAGTGAAGATGAGTGGAAGGCCCGGAACAGGAGTCAGGGCCGCCTGTGCTTGGGCTGGCGTGCCATGTATGCCCCTAACTTCAAGTATGGCGGTTTCGGCAAACTCGCGAGTGACAAACCCTTTCCCTTTCAAGTGTCATGCCGACCGAAAGCCATCCTTGCCAGTCAGGCATGACCGAGCCCGTGCCAAAGCCCGGAAGCCAGACTGAGCATCGTAGCCTGCTTACACCGAAAATGCGCTAGTAACCTAACGATCTCGGACCCTTGGACGTGCAAAGCAGCTGAGCTCAGCGCAGAGTGTGGCATGCTTCCGTTACGCGAAGCTCAAAGAGCGGAAACCGACACAGAGGGAAATGGACCAGACACGGATGGGCACGCAGCACGGCAGATACCTGCCAAGAAATCCTCAGGCCAGATCTGGCCAGAAATCGTTGAAACTGGTTTAGAGTCATTTCATTGCAACAGTTTTCAGAGAATTAAAGACATCCTCTGCCCTTCCTCGCATCGAATCTCTGACCTCCTATCACGTGAATCTGTGCTCGTGGCAGGATGTGGCGCTTGCAGCCTCGGAGGCACCGGTCCGGTGCAAGAGTTATAATTTGTAGATATACATATGGGTGGTTGTCAAACTTATGATCCCTTTTTGGGCACCCTAAGTATTAGGTGCCGTACTATATAAGGGACCCAGAAGGTTTCTCGACGGGTCGTATTGTGTTAATCGGAGGGCTCGCAACGGCAAGTCGTAACTGTACCGCAGCCGTTCGACTTAGGCGCATCCGTTCCGCAATCTGACGGTGTGCTAGCCTTTTCTTTAGTCTGTCACGGCTTGATGCCTTCTTCTTCTGACTCGTCCCGCTCCCGTCCTCGCCGACGGCGTAGGGCCCGGCGGTCCTCGAGTACATCATCCTCATCTTCGAGGCTGTTTTTTCTGCTTAACTTTGCTGCCTCTTGACCCTTTCTGTCAGGCGGCCCCGGTCCCGCCTCTCCGCCAAGAGGCCGACCCCGCCTTTTTACACTTCCCGCCTTGGCCCATATCTGGCTAAGGTCCTTCGGTGCTCAGCTCCGTTCCATCATGTATGGTCCCCAGCTGCATGCACTCTAATTGTTAGCTTCTCGTTGGCTCTTCTCAGGCCTGACCCGGCTTCTGGTCCGCCGGTCTCGCCCCCGAAGGCCGGCTTGCAAGCTGTTTCCGGTCCTGCTTTAGCTCTGGCTGGTTGTCTCGCCGTGCTCGAGCTACCCCTGCCTCCTGCCGCAGCCGCTTTTAGCTTCTAACGCTTTCTGCCTTCTCTGCCTTTCGCTCTTGCTGATCATGGCCCGCTTTGGTGGACACGCTCTCCGCGACTTGGCCCGCGGTGTGGTGGGAGCTGCCATTGGCATCCGGTCCGACGTCGACCCGACTCCGGCCGATGTCGAGGCCCAGGCCGTCCCAACGGAGACCCCGGCACAGGACACTACCGTGGCTCCGGACCCGGCCCCCTCCGCGGATCCACCTGCCACCCCGTCCCAGCCCCCGGCCAAGCGTGGTGCCGATTTTCTCGCGCCCCAAAAGCAGCCTCCCAGCCACCCCCCTACGACTGGTGGCCTGCCAGCTGCTCCCGCCGGACCCTCTAAGAAGAAAGCCAGCTTTCCTCCGGCCCGGCCTTCCACCCCCTCTTTCCCCCCCGCCAAGCCGGCGGCTGCTCCATCCGAAGCGGCTCCCAAGGCTCCTGCGGCAACTGCCAAGGCCGCTCCGCCGCCCCTCGAGATGGACCTGTCCGTTCTTTGCACTCTGGACGATGATGCCATTTACCGGTCCCTGGCCGACTTGCCACCGTCCCAGGTGACTGGACTTCTTTGTTTGATCGCGGAGGTCGCCCAGGACGTCACCTATGCCATGGGCAACCTGGGCCAGCTTGACGTCGAGGTTCCGGTCGCGCACATGTCCCAGACCGGCCCGCCTCCGAACCGAGGACGCTATCCGCAGACTACGCGTGGTGACCTCGCACCGGTGCCGGCCGGTCCGCGCTTTCCGGACCAACAGGCAGCCGACGCCATCCATGCCGGTCTGGACCAGAACGATGGCACCAGGCCCTCCGATGGCAACTCGGCCCAGCCGACCCCACCCGGTGCTGGTGGTGATTCCGGTGGCCTCCGTGTCCTGCCCGGTTTCGCCCGCCCGCGCCAGGCCCTCCTTACGGACACGTCGGCCATCGACCCGAATGCGCCCCTGGTCCACTCTGATCCCAACCGCCCCGGCTGCACTCCGGTCTTTGTGGATCGGGGCCAACTCACCCCGCGCCGGGCCAATACCGGCCCCTGGACCATCAGCGAAGGCTGGGAGCGCCTGAGCATCTTCCTGCCCGAGACGCCCGGCCCGTTCATCCGCACGGACTCCTGGCCCTGGCCCGACCTCTTTTGCTTTGAGGAGCAGGACTTGCCAAGCTGGGCTCCGCTTCAGGAGCCTCCGTCGGTTTTGTCTCACCTGCACATTCGCGGCTACTGCTCGCATGATTGTCCGGCCCGGGGCCCGCATTGCCTCCGCATTTGCCTCCGGCCCGTGATGTTGCATTCCCGGACCGATCACACCGGGCACAAATGCCCTTACTGTATCCAGGACGGGTACTAGGCACCTGATCCGGACCGCCCCGCGTTCCCCATGCTTTTTATGGCCCATATTGCAACTAGTCTCCTAAGATCATTGTGTTGGGGTGGTCCGCTAGGCCCGGTGCTGTGCACTTTTCTGCTTCTCGCGGCCGGCCTGATCCGGCCCCGCTGCGGCGATGCCTAAAAAGTCGTGGTTCCCCGCCTTGCTGCACCTGCCTGCTGCTTTCAGAGACATGTTGCTTTTGTTTTTTCCTGCCGCCAGGCCAACATCGAGCTGGAGACCATCGAGGATGCGCCGGTCTCTCTCTTGCGCGTTGTTCCGCTATTTGTTGCTTACCCTGCCCGGCCAGGTACCTGTGCATCCGCCGGTGGCCCCTGCGGGCAACCCGGCCTTGGCATCTGACCTTGGTTCCTTGCTTCACGGCTTTCCTTTGCAGCCCTCCGCTGCCGCTCCTCTGATCACACCGCCCCGCCCGCAGCGGTTGGATTTTTTGGGCGACACCTCCCCGCGTCAATGCGATTCTCCGGCCTCGGCCCCTGGGCCCTCGGCACCGCCTCATTCCAGCCCTTCTTCGGCATCCTCTACATCCTTTCAGGTCGTGCCGGTCCCTACTGCTCACCCGGTCGGTCCTCCCTTACCTGGACTTGCATCCTTGCTTGTGCCTCGCCTTGGGCTGGCCTTGCCCTGCCTGTCCCGTGCCTCTTTGTCGGACCTGGCTGCTCGCCCCCGGCCCGCTCGGCCTCGGCCTGCCCCCTTCCCCTTGTTCCGGCCTCTTCGCTGCCCGGCTTTGCGTCCTGCACGTTCGGCTCCTACGTTTCCATTGGGCCCACCACTTCTGTCCTGCCCCCGGGTGCCTCGCCTGCCCCGCGACCCATTGGCGTACCCCCGGGGTCTTTCTGCCTCATCTCCGGATACGCGGCCCTCTGTGATTCCCCCGGCGCCCTTCGTGCATTCTGGCTTTTTGCCACTGGCTACTGACGCCTCCGATTCCTCCTCTATGGAATCCACAACTGCTCGCGCCTTGGCACATTTCCGCAACATGTTTTGCGACTTTGTTCAGGAGCTTGGCGACCGCTGCACCCTGTTTTTGCATACCAAGCTGGTACCCGCGCCTCGGGAACTCCAAGCACGTGCCATCGCGAAAAATGCCCCCAGCACTTTGCAGCTTTACTTGCGTTCCTGGTCTGCCTGGGTCCGGCACTGTATCCGCCCGGTGCACTCCCGTCCTGGCTTCAGCTGACTTCCGCCCCTTCTGGCCTCTCTACCACCAGTTTCAAGGCCTTGAGTTGGATGGCCAAGGTGGCGGGTTTGCCATCTATACAGGTACAGTTGCACACTCCGCTCTGCTCCGCGTTTCTCTCCTCGACCGGCCCGGTGGAAAAGCGTGAAGCATTGCCTCTTTCCGTGTCCTTTGTCGTCTGGCTCGAACGGTCCGTCATGGATCCCACGACTCTGCTTGCCGAGGTCCTGCTTCGGGGCTCGGTCCTGTGCCTGATTTGGTCGTCTCTTCGTTGGAACGACGGCCTTTGGTCTCCCCCGTCCCGGGTGATACTGCAATCCGGCTCCACTGCCCTGACCGGTGTCGCCACCCGCACTAAAAGCTGCCGGGCCAACATGCCGTGGGGTTGCCAGCTCTACGGGTTGACAGGCTCGCCGTCCGCTTGTTGGGGCATATCCTGGCTTAACGCCCTTCAGCAGTGCCTGTCCGACACCAAACGCATGTTCCCGGACCGCACGGTGGATTTCTTGCTTCCGGTCCTCGGGCCTGACCCTGCCTCTCCGGTGTTTGTCTCTCCTTTGCACCGGTCCCGCGCCATGCCCTGGCTCCGGGCCCTCCTGCAAGAACACTGGCACCTGCACTCCCCCGAGGCCTGCCCGCCTGAGCACTCCATGTATGGGGTTCACAGCTGCAAGGCCACTGTCCTATCCTGGGCCAGGCAGCTTAACCTTGACCCTGAGCTTCGCCGTCTGCAAGGCCATCACCGTCCGTCCTCCATGGAAGGCTCCGTTCGGGTCTATAGCCGAGACGATATAGGCCCAATGTTATCGTTGCAGGCTGAGGTCATTAACCGAATCCGGTCCGGCTACCGCCCCCTTCAGCCAGTGGGCCGCGGTTCTAGCAAACCATTGCCTGACTTTCGGGTGTCCTTGCCGCCACCTGATAGCAACATGGGCGGCATGGCGCCTCGGGAACGCTCTGGCCGATCGCGCTCCCCCCGGCGCCGTCCGGAGCCGGATGAAGAGGAAGTGGAAAGCACTGACCTCTCCGATGACAGCTCCGACTCCGAACAATCCGGGGCCTCGGGTTCGGACGATGACTTTGCCAAGCCTCGGCCCCCTCGCTCCCAACAGCGAGAGCCCAGCATGAATGGATTTCTGCATAACCCTCGCAGCAACGTCTTGCACCGTCCCGTTCCGTGCCCGCCCGACACTGCAAAGTCCGTACGCGTGTCTCTGCTGGGCCTGGAACCATTTTGGGTGAAACCGGCCTGTGGGGCCTCTGTTGGTCAGCTCTGCTCTGAGGCATGGTGCTCCGCCCCGCCTGCGGGTGCCCAGCTCTGCCTCCGCCGCGCCTGCCAGACTTGATGTCCCGCCCCGCTGTGAAGAAAATGCATACGCATGTGCCAGCTCGTGCCAGTTCCATGCGCCTGTGCTCACACTTGCTTGCACTGTCTTTCTTCCGCAGCCGTTTTCTGTTTCAGCCTGCCCCGCCCCAACCCCCCTTTATTGTCGCCATCTTCCGCCATGGCTTCTGATGGTTATCCGTCGGCTGGGCCTGGGGACCGTCCGGTTCGAGCGGCCTGGGACCGTGATGGTGCGGTTCTCCTGCCGTCTGCTCCGGAACTGCAAGACCTGGAAGATTTTACCGACCAGCAACTCCTTGACCTCTTGCGCCGCTGCTCGGTCAGCTTCCTGGCCCGACTGGTCCGTCTCTGTGGGAGCATCCTGCGACCGCCCCGGGTCGTGATCTACTGCCAACTGCCATGTGTCAATCCGGAATGTCCACAAGTGTGTGGCCGTCAGGTGGATCCGACCCGCAGACGCCAGCATCAGAATCACGCGTGCCGCGTATGCCACCGCTTCGGATGGTAGCTCAGCGGCTTCATACCAGGGGACGGGCCGGAGGCCGCCGGGCCCTCCCATATTACTCCGCACCTGGACGGTGCTATTCACCGGCGTGGACGGTCGGTGGGGAAAAAAACCTGGACTCGGCCCTGCTCCCGTGCTTGCTGGGATTGCCTGCCTCTGTCCGCTTATTACTGCCTCCGTCCCGCTGCCATTTTCAGGCTCTTAGGATCAGGGTAGGCCGTCAGCTTGGACTTTACCTGTGTCATCCTGGACTTTTTGCTCCTCCGACATGTCTAGTTCTGGCACACCCGCCTTTGACGATCCTGCTGCGTTGGTTGCCCTGCTCCGGCAATGGTCTGCTCCTGATGAACTTCTGGAGGTCCTCACTGTAAAGGGTTTCAAGACCATCGCGACCATTGCCTATGCTATCCCTCCGGATGGCTCCCCTGACGACTGGATTCGCGTCTTGTGGCCTCCGGCAGACCCCAACGACACCTCGGCCAGGATCACACCATCTGCCAGTTTTGCACGACGCCTTCTGGTGCAGGCGCGCGACCTTGTGCATCCGGCACCTGCCCCGTCGACCCCTGCCTCGGCCGGGAGCGCTCCGCCTTCCCTGCCCGGCCCAAAAATCACGGCCGAAGCGGCGGAGCTGCTGCGTCAAAAGTTCATTGAGGCCTATCCGGGAGAAATCCTCTCCCCGTCCAACACACCCAGTTTGGAATTTCTCAACCGCCTCCGCTCTGAGTTGGACAAGCCAACAACCCTGTGGATTCCGTGGCGCTTGAGGACATCTGAGCATGACGTTCAGACGTTCTATGAACATCGCCGACCCAGGTCGGACAACCAGCTCCTCCGCTCCTTATTGGATGATGTTCCGGACCCGGTTGTGGCTCACGCGTCCGTGCCTAACTCAGGTCCCGTTGAGCCCCTGCTTCGCCGCCACTTTGGGATTCTGGTCACGGCCTTGGCTTTCCTGGGTGACCTGCACCTCCGTATCGGCAAGATTTTTGCTGAGTCTTTCATTGCATCCGCTACGGCTGTCCCTCTGGATCCTTCCCTCCGGGCACCATCTCTGCAAGAAGTACTCGCAGCCGACCGGTCCATCTGGGCTGCCGTTGGCACACTGATGCGAGATGAGAAGTGGTCGCTGGCTGATTCCATTCATGAGGTTTCCGTCACCCGGCACATGATTCCGACTTTGTTGTGTGCCCGGCCTCGGTCCATGCCTGCCCCTCCGGTCCGGGAACCCACCCGCACTGGGGGTACGGCCGACACGTCACAGCCAGCTAAGCCTGACCGGCCCACGAAGCGTCTCAAAACCGACGGCAAACCGGAAAAACCGACCGGCAAAGCCAAAGCAGATGCCAAAAAGCCGGCCGGCAAGAAACCCGTCAAGGACCTGTGGGAAGAGTCGTGGCATGAGGTGGACGAGAATGGCAAGGAAATTTGCAAACGCTTTGTGCTCGGCCGTTGCAAATTGGATTCCTGCCGCTTTTCTCATTCCTGCCCGATTCCGCTCCCTTCCGGCAAACCCTGCGGCCAGAAACACACGGCTGCCAAACACCGCGCCACATCGCACTGAAACGCGGATGCAGCTGAACCCCTGTCGGCCATGGCTCCGCCGTTGCAAGGCTCGTCCCCTGATGCCCTGGCCGATGAAGCCGTGCGTATTTTCTCCTCTGATGAGGAGATGTCAAATCACGCCCCGGCTGAGTCCGTGGCTCAGGCGGCCCCTGCCTCGGAGTCGGTCCGACTCAGAAGTCGCTCGCCGCACCGCCCGGTTCTCCGATACTCCTTCTCCTTTGCCCGCCCACCCTTTCAAGGGGCCCGTCCTGGCATGCATCCCCCCTCCCCGTGTGCACGCCCTGCCAAGGAGACAGCTCCATCCTTGGATCGGGCCCCCCCTTCCACTTCCCCAGCCGATCCTCCTGTTCGCCCGGCACTGTTTCTGGACTTGTTCTCAGGCTGCTCGGCCCCGCTCTCTAAAGCAGTTTCCAATCTTGGCCTCGACCGCATTGCCCCTATAGACGTGCTTCATGGGGAACAGGTGGACTTGCTTCTGCCCCAGCATCAGTCGTCCATGCGGAAATTGTGCTCGTCTGGCCTCGTGCGTGTGGCTGTTGCCGCCCCACCCTGCTCCAGCTTTAGCCGTGCACGCCTTAAACCCGGTGGCCCGCCTGCAGTCCGGACACCAGCACACCCTCACGGCATTCCCGCTCCTTCCCAGCGCCAGCAGGCTGAACTGCAACGTTCCGACAAGCTGCACGAGCTCTGTCGGGAGCTCCTCACTCTCGTGCTTCTCTCGGGCGGTCTGGTTATTCTTGAAAACCCATCTAGCAGCTTGTTGTGGCTCACCGACCCGTGCAAAGCGTGGATCCGTCACCACTGCCTGTCCGCCGTGGAAGTTGCCGCTTGCAATTTTGGCATGAATGCTAAAAAGAGCTGGACTTTTGTCTCAAACTTGGCGGACCTCTCCTCTCTGGCCTCGACCTGCTGCCACCCGCCAGGCACTCACCCGCCTTTGACAGGCAAGCGTGACTCGTCCGGTGCCTTCCTTACACGGACCACTGCCTGCTACCCGGACGGTCTCTGCGAGCGCGTTGCGGCACTGATGGCACCATATCTCTCCCGGTCTGTGGGCCCAGTCCCGTTCCTCTCCTGGGAAACGGCTCTTCTTGAGCCTCATCTCTGCTGGCCACTTCCTTCCTCCCGGATTGAAGATGGTGCAGGTTCGTGCTCCACTGCTTCCTGGTCCAAACCGTCCGGCCCCGACACCATTGGCCCCCTGCGCAAACTTTGGGTTCAGCGCATCCTGTCCGGGGATTTCCTTGCCAAGTTTCGCGCTCGGCTGGCATCCGGCTCCAAGGATGCCCCGATTTCTGAGTCCGAACTGGTACCTTTCTTGGGTGACTTGCGCTCCTTCCTGGGTCTGGCGGCCACTGACTTTGATACACTCCTTTCGGTCCCTCCGGGCCAACCGTTCCGCCTGTTCCTCCTGGATGCGCTGCTCCAGCTCTCGCGCGATCCGGATCGACCCTTTGTGGACTTGCTACTTGAGGGAGTTCCTCTTGGTGTTGACGAACCTATGCCTGCCTGCCCTACACTGTTCCCTGCTTCCGCCCCCAAGGACCCATCCATGGACTTACAGCATTGTTCCTCCTCCTGGGGATCAGCTCTTTCCGACCTGTCCACTGTTGACTCCCTTCTTCAAACCGAAGTTTCTGAAGGATGGGTGCGGGAGGTTCCAGGCGGTCTTGACAGCCTCACCGCCACCTATGCTCGTACAGCCGTGGGGAAGCTTGGACTTGTTAAGGCCCCCGACCGTGACCCCCGCCTGGTGGTGGATTCCAGCGTTTCCGGTGTTACAGAACACACCGCTCTTCCCAATAAGTCTGCGAACCCGACCATCTCGGGCCTCCGTCGCTGCTTTCCTCTCCGTCTGGCCCTGGAACAGCTCTTCGCACTTATCCTGGATGTCAGCAAGGCTCATCGGCGCATACTGATCCGGGCCGCCGATCAAGGCCTTCTTTGCTTTTTCCACCGCGGCCGCCTATTCCAGTGTCTGACATTGAATTTCGGCGCACGCGCGTCCGGCTTTTACTGGGCACGTTTGGCGGGGATCCTGTCACGCCTCATGCATCGGCTTCTGTTCATCCGCCATGCCTTGCTTATCTATGTCGATGACCTGATCTCCCTCCTTTCCGGTCCGTCCGCGCCAGTGTGGGCCGCTGTGCTATGTGTGTTCCTTCTTGTGCTTCGTGTCCCAATGAGTTGGCACAAAGCCTACTTGGGCGCACGGCCGACTTGGATTGGTTGGTCTATGTCCTTGGAAACCTTTACCGCCACGCTTGAACCACCGAAGTTGGCCCGTCTCCGCCTTCTGATTTCTTCAGCCCGTTCCGGGGAGGCGATTCCACTACACCTGCTTCGCAAACTCACGGGCAAACTTCTTTGGGTTTGTTCCCTGTTTCGCCCATTCCGGCCGTCCCTTGCACCGCTTTATCGGGACCAAAGCCTACCTCCACTTGTTCACGTTGCTGTGGCCCCCTCCAAGTGGGAATCCTTCCGTGCAGCCCTGTCCAAAGACCTCGTGCTCACGAAATCTGTTGGTCTGGCCAGTTGCCCCCAGGGCTGCACCCTGGTCAGTGTGGCCTCCCGTGCTGTTCATACACTGAAGGATGTTCCTCTCCACTTTGCCGGTGAGCGACGACTCTGGATCTCTGTCCGCTCCCCTCCTGACTCCGACCGGAAGCTCTCACAGGAATCTAAAGCTGTCTTGGACCTTTGGCACTCCTGCCTGTGTCAGTCCATCCCGCTCTTCCCGCTGTCTCTCGCTCCGCTGTTAACTTGCGAGGCGTTTGCTGACTCCTGTGCCGACAGCAAACACGCGGGCCTGGGCGGCTTCGTGGCCTTTCCCTCCGGCCGCACGGTATGGTTCCGCTCCGCCTTATCTCCTGCGGAGCTTGCTCGACTTTGTGCTTGGTATTCCCCTGACATTTCCCCTCAGAAATTCATTGCTGCCTGGGAACTCCTTGGCCAAATCGCGCTTCTGTGGTGCGTTGCCCTCGTTGTCCCGGCCGCTCACCACCCTGTTCACTTCGTCAGCCGCTGTGACAACAGCCCTTCCGAATCGGCCTCCTGGAAAGGCCTCTCTACTGCCCGCGGTATGTGTGACCTATTGCACTCCTACCTGTTATGGCAGCGTCATTTCTGCATTTCCGCACATATCGACCATGTTCCGGGGTTCCGTAACAAAATTGCTGACGCCCTGAGCCGGTCCCGCGACCCGGGCACCTTGGGACTCAATCCTGCCGATGAGATCCTGGTCCCTTGGCATCTGTTGAGCCGTCCTCCGCGGCCGTGTTACTCTCCTGCGTCCGCCTTCAACCGTGACCTCTTCCCGGCATTGGACTTCTGACTTTGGCGGTTTTCTCCCCGGTGCGGGTACTCCTTTGCCTGGATTTCGTTCTAGACCTTGGCCTCAGAAAACCTGCAAAGTCCATTTTGGCACCCGGTTCCGACGGTTCCTGTCCCGACCGGTGCCCGTACCGATCCGTAGCAGCACCCTTTGGACTTGTGTCCGGCCCGAGGCTCTGACACAGATCCAGACCGCTACGGTTTCAGCCATCCGGAAAAAGGAGTCCGTCTGCATTTTTCCGTGCATGCACACCGATCGTAACGGACTAGTGCCCTCCGAATAACGGTTTCTCGACGGGTCGTATTGTGTTAATCGGAGGGCTCGCAACGGCAAGTCGTAACTGTACCGCAGCCGTTCGACTTAGGCGCATCCGTTCCGCAATCTGACGGTGTGCTAGCCTTTTCTTTCCCGCCACCTCCCCTTTGTTCTCCGCCTTGGATTTAGGCCCTTTAATCCGCAGCTTTCAGCCTGGATTTCCGATGTGGGTTGGACTTTGCCCTTTCCTGCACGCCGTAGGCCGGCCTCAGAAAACCTGCAAAGTCCATTTTGGCACCCGGTTCCGACGGTTCCTGTCCCGACCGGTGCCCGTACCGATCCGTAGCAGCACCCTTTGGACTTGTGTCCGGCCCGAGGCTCTGACACAGATCCAGACCGCTGCGGTTTCAGCCATCCGGAAAAAGGAGTCCGTCTGCATTTTTCCGTGCATGCACACCGATCGTAACGGACTAGTGCCCTCCGAATAACAGGGACCATAATTTTGACGACCACCCATATATAGAAAACTAGAGTTTGCATATGGCCAAGACGTTTCGGAACCTTGTCAGACTCAGGAAAGGAAGCCATTGCGTAGCCACACTGCGGTTGCCTCCAACTTGTGCAAGTTGCAACTGCAGGCGTCGAGCGCCGAAAGGCGCGCCACGAGGGTGGTCCCCGTAGGTCAATGTCACTGCGCAAGCTCTCCGCAGCTCCGAACTGAAGTTTGTACGGCTTGTGAAGGTGAGAGGCAGTAGCATCTCTCCAGGCAGCACTGCTGGCGGCTCGCACTCCGGCGGTCGACAGGCCTGCGTCTGCCAGGCGCACCCTTGCAGGCCCAGCGTGGGAGAGTGGAGGAATATATCGAGCTGCAGTCAGTCTTGGGGCAAAGAGGGCCTTCTCAAGGACAGACACAGGACCAGGAGTGTTTGCAGGCATCGCCTGGTGGACACTGTTAGGGTCCTGGCTAAAGAGCCATGCATTCTTGAGCCTTCTTTTTTGACATGAACTGCAATTCATCTGCAACGGTCTTCGATGGGCATGTTGCTTGCGTTGCGCGAGGTGGCAAACCCGTTCAGAACTCGCCTATGCGCGCGGCTCCCAGTAGGCCTGAAAGCACAGATCTCGCCAGACGTTCCGTAAACCAGGAGATGATGGACATTGCTGGCGTGGCGATGTCCACATTGGCCATGGGAGCTCTGGCCGCATCGAGGTGTTCCCAGCAAAACCCGGCGGTGCCAGCCACACCGTGGCTTTGCAGATGCTTCACCGTGCCATGAGTGCACGATGCCATCCGGCTCAGGAGACCATCCCAGCTTTAATGGCGAGGAGCGAAGGCAAGTCGAAATTCACGTGCTCTTGGTTTCTGAGACCGACCCATACTGACCCCGCCGCAGCCTCGCCGGTTTGCCCTCTGCGGCATCGTGGCTTGTCAGGGAAAGCGTGGCCTGGATCTGAGCTCTTAAAGTCAAAAAGGCCGCAAGCCACCGCAGCGGTCTGCAGTCTCGTTGAGGCGTCCCTTTACGCCACCGTCCTGCAAGATGCTGGCCTAGACACAAGCATCGAAGAGGCCCTCCCTCCCAGACTTGACGCGTCCTTGGTCTTCTCGGCCGGAATCGGTCGTATTCATGCACCATGTTGCCAGCTATGCCAGCTGTCGCTTCCATCTCGCAAGAGTTACATCCCATCGAAGTCCTGCAGCAAATGCACCCGCCACTAACTGCCATGAAGCTACACTAGTAACTGCGAGGCACACACACACACACACACTCCGTCATGAACTTCTTCACTCACCTCATATTCAACATGGGAGTCGCTCGGAGACTGGCATCGTCGACGCACCTATTCGATGCGCTGCTCGCAATCGCACCCACTCACTCTCCCTATCATATGAAACACAATGCCTCGCTCTCTGACTCACTGATTCACTGACTCACTCACGCGCCGATTCGCTCGCTTGCTCTACACCCTCAGCGGTCCTCACCCCTTTGATGCAGTCCGTAGGCGTCGATGACTCTCCACTCGCTGCTTCTGCGATCTGGCACTGCTACTGGTACTGGTACTTGCTTACCGTCACTCACCGCTGCTCGCAGCATGCCGGTTGGCCATGGCTTGCCGCTCAAGTGCAGAATGCAGCAAGTGATCGCGTGACAGTCGTGTTGAGAGAGCTTCACTGTTGCAAGGGTGTTTCAGTGCAGTATGCACGGCTTGCTCGGTTTCGGATGGGTTTGTGATGAATGTCTGGGTGGACCGTCCCTGGCCCATGGCTGATGTGAAGTTCACAGGTGTCGGAGTAAACGGGCATGAAGGAGCCTCTTAAATTTGCGTGCTGGAGGTGCCGAGCCCGCTGCCGAGCCCTCTGCCGGTTGCGAACGAAGGCCAGCTAAGACGAGAGCAGGTTTTCGAAGCAGCTGGGAATATATCCCGTTTCAACCAGCATGAACACTGAACACTTTCTCAGTTGTCTCCCGCTGCGCTTGCACGGTTGCGTTTTTTGCAGCACATAAGCTGCCAAGATGATAGTATCTGAGCACAGAGCCGGAAGCCCGGAGGAGCGGTTGCTGCGTTGCCCCCCTCTACCTCTGCATTTTCTTCGCTGGATGATTTGATTAATGTGACCTCCGGACTTCCCCAGACAGGTGGCGGCGGCAGCTTCAGCTACCTGATGGAAGCAGTCGGCTCTTTTTTCCGTCACGCTAGCTGCGTGTGAATGTGGCCTTGATGGATGGCCAAAATCCACGGTCCACAGACTCGGCTGCGCCATGTAAGCTTAGCTGTGACAAGCCTTGTAGCTGTGGGGATGTACGTCTAGAGAATGTATCGGGGGAGGGGCAGGGCGGGTGTAATCAAATGAATGAATAAAGAAACTTGAAAATGTGAGTTGACGTGAACATATACATAAGCAGATAGATAATAAATCAATCTATGGACAAATAATAGCAACAGCACGAAGTCAGAGATGGACCTCTGTCTCGTTCTGCAGGTATTCATGTGGGCAAGTATGCAGAATGTATGCAGGCTGCAGGCATAGACAGATCAGGGAGAGGAGATGAATAACAAGAAACAAAACGACATGCTGACAGTGTTGACAACCGAGCACCATCAAACATGGCATCATGTGCCAGAGGCGAAGAATAGCATGTGCGAGGATGTGGTCCCGACAGCAACATTCATGCCACTGATGCCTGCGCATGTTGCAGACCTGCACAAAGATGGATTCGGGTCGAAACTGACCAGCTTGCGTTGATCGTGGAAGATGGCATTGGGGCGCGTTGTAGGGCGTTGACTCTAGATGCTTGCAGCAGCATCATCCTACAACCGGCAAAGAGCAGAGTGACTGGAGATCTTGCATCTGCCTGAACATCGGTGCTCAAGTCGGGGTCACCTCACGTTTGTGCCTCATGCATCTCGGGAGAGCATGCGGATGTTGTAACATGCGCGCTCACACGTGGCTTTATGGCTATGGTGTTAGCTGACTGGAGTAGGAGGGGCACCGTGCTCGCTGGCTCGCTGGTTTTCAGCTGCCATGGCATGGCTGTCCGCGGCGACCTGGCTGAAAACGTTGGCTATGGCTACACCTTCCGATCATGTGCTGCTTGCGCTTTCAGAGGTGGCATGGTCCTTCTGGGAGGCGCCTCGCTTTCCATGTCTGGCATGCCCCCTTGTTTTCCGCAGCTGATTGAGTTTCTCTGCCGGCGCTGTCCTGCCATCAGGCAAAGGAACCCCAGAATGTCGGGGACTTGGGGTCGAGCGTGGGTGACTTTCACGCGGCCGTGCAATCGTTCAAAGGCTTTTCGCAATCGTTCACAGGCTTTTCCGCTGAATAGGGCGGAACTTGCCCCGGTGCCGCACTCTCAGCGCGATCCATGGAGAGCCGTAGAGAGCCGGGAGCGGCTCGCAGTAGTCCGTTCCGAGGTTGGAATGCGTGAAAGCAGGGCTGACGAAGGGAACAAAGTTCTTTCCGGGCCTGCCTACTCAGGCGGACGCGGTGCGCTCAGGAACGCCCGCCAGTTGTGGCATCCCCCGACTCCAAGTCTGTCACAAGGCCCTGGTGGAGTACATCCACCAAACTGGCGCTGCGTGGCCTGTTTGCAAGGATCCGCACGGTGTGCCAAGCGCTGCTGCCCGTTTCGCGCCTTTGCAGTGCCTGCACCAGATCGAGGCTGGCCTTTTCCGAAGAAAACGGCAGGGACCTTTTCGGTCTCTTCGCCGAGTACCAGGCTTGTTGGACCGGTGGTTGCTCTCTCCACCTCTCCAGATGCAAGACGTGCCTGACAGGGGGTCGACATGCTTGTGGACGGGCTCCTGGCGTTTGAGACACTGGACCGAGTTAGGGTGCAGCTCCTCCAGACGCTGCCCCTGGGCTTGCATGCAGTGGCTGCACTCGCCGCTTGGATCATGGCCTCGTTTCGAGCCGCTCACGAGGTCGATCCTGCTCGTGAATGTCGCCCAACTGCACTTGGCGGTGCACGGTTTTGGCTGTTCTACTGCCAGCCAAAGTTCTCACATCTGTTGCAAGGTTCGAAAGACCACTTTTCGCTATGTTTTGCAAACGGGGGCCTACAACAGACTCCTGCGCGGCAAGTGCGGCACTTGGACACTGAATCGGAAGGCACCATGGGTCGAAGGTGGGAAATGCAAGCCGCGTCTAGGCTGCGTGGGTGCTGCTACCCAACTTCTGGTTTGTTGGCAAAACAGAAACAACACCGGCCGCATAACATTTCTGCGTTCCCGGGGCCCAGGCCCTACTTGCCCGATGGTGACGCCGAGGCTTGGGCCCCGTCTACGATCTTCGACCCACGACACCGCCCCGTCATTCATTCGAGAAAAGACTGCAACAGTGTCAGGCCTTGTACATGAATATACAGAAACGCCTGGCAATGAACGTGGATGAGCAGCCTGAAGCCTACCGCAGTCAACAGCAAAAACACGAATGTCTCGCAAGCTCAGCACTTGTGCTCCTCTGTTAGGGCCGCCGACCTGCTCCTGATGACAGTCCCGTGCTCGGTTCTCCAGCTTGCTTAGAAAGCCGCCATGCAATTCTGTCCGTGGCTGTGGCTGAGGTGGGACATGGAGAGGACGAGGCCAGCTTTCCGTGTGTCTAGGTCTTGGGTTTAGAACGAAACATCTTATGCGGAGGCTCCGACAGTGCACCTGCCGCTCATGACAGAGGCCACCGAATCGTGAGGGTTGCCAAAGGGCGTGGCTCTGCACAGACGCGCGCCTGAACCGCCTTGCAGGCCATCGGCTTCCTGTTCAACGACGAAAACCTGGCCCGCACAGGGGCCAGGGTGGTCTGCCTCAGCAGCTGGGCTGCAGATATGAGTAAGGAGATGGAAGGTAAAAGGAGGGCTCCGGATCAGCCCGCTGTGCTGCAGAACCTGCGGAGGCATGCTGAAGATGAAGAATGCAGAGGCCCCTCGCTGCTTGAGCAGCTGGCTTCGCGGAAACGTGATAAAATGCAGGTGCGAACAGCAGCCTTGGAGGCCTCGTCCCCAATACCGCAAGGCTCGGCCTCAGCGCAAAGCGTCGTCAGCACAGGTCCTGGAGGAGAGCCTCCTTCCAGTCCTGGCCGCCGCGCTGCAGACCTCCTGGGCAGCTTGGCCGGTAGACACGGCCGAAGGGCCAAAAAGAGGTAGGCGGAAGGTCTGTCGGGCTGAGAAGTCCCAGGCAGACATAGAGGCCGCCGCCCGTGCGGGGGACGAGGCCGCGTTCCGTTCGGCGACGTGCTCAGAGGAGGTCCGCTCCGACTAGGTGACTAGGGGCGAAGTCGCCATCCATGCAACTCTGCTACTGCATGTGCTGCTTTCGGCAGTTGCAGGACATCTTGGAGTTCATTGGCGAATTGCTTGGCCTCGGGCTGCCCGGGGTGACGCAGGTGCGGCCTCACCCAAGCGTGCTCCAATCTCTTCTACTAGCACTTCGGAATGCTTTCGAGGCCATCGCGGACACCATCGTCGCCGAGCTGCTGCTGCCGCAGGTCTTCGTCCTTGTGCTGCCGGCTGAAAATGCTGTCGGGCGGTTGGCCGCGGGCCGCGGACGGGGCGAGCTGTGATGCGCTGTTGGCCAGTGGGCCAGGCTGCCTGGCACCAGCCTAAGCCTGTCCAGCCTCGGCCAGTCCGACGCTCAAGCTCTTACTCTCTTTCGCGGCGGGTACTGCTAAGTGACGATTGCCTCCGCCAGATCTTCGACTGTTTCCCCGATGAGATGAAGCGGCAGCCCCGGTCGGGAAGGACGAGAGGTCCGATTAGCTGCGTTTGGCATTTGGCGAAGGCCGCCGGCGATCGTCCCCCGCCCATCGGAATTCTCCATGTATCAGGACAGGTGACGTCCCGTTCAATGCACCTGCCGTGACATGTCAGGACATACATGATGAGTTTCCAGGAATCAATATAGGATCAGGCCATTTCTGTGAACTGCGAGCTCCACGCTCTTGGGACCCCCATCACAATCATTCATCAAAGTACCGTGCGTGCCCTCGATTCACTGCTCGTGAAACTGTTTCGCAGGACATGCTGCGGGCGATGTCTCCGAGCCCAGTGGCATCGCCAGCTGCAGCTCAGGCCACTGTGCCATTGCGCAGCCTCGCCACGCGCAAACCTTGACGAAGAATGCCCTGGGAAGGATGAAGCTGAACCCCCTGACGAGCTCGACGCCGCGCTGGCCGTCCGCAACGATCCCAAGCGTTACCGACGGAGGGTGGCCCGCGCTTGTCACAGCACTTGCCCAACGATGAGAGCCTCCAGGCTCGATCGCTGCCTTCCTGCAGCAGATGCGCAGGGAGCAGATGGCAGGCACCATGAGCCATGCTGGGAAAAGACCGAGATGCAGGAGACTGGGGCAGTAACAGGTATTATGGTGCCGATGATCCAGCTGCTGCTGTGGCCAGCCCGCGTCCAAGCTGAGCGTCCAAGTGCGAAGCGGATGCGGCCCAAGTGCCACATCCACCCCATGCGGTCGAGGTCGTTCCTGCACACTTTGCAGAGAGGAACGTCTCCGGCCCAGTAGAGTACGCTTTCCACCAGTGGACATGGCATCAATCTACACTCTACATCAGGCGATGAAGACTGTCGGCTGGAAGGAGGCTTGAATCTGCTACACATGAGGCGGTCTGAGGCGTAAGGTGTTGAGAGAGACACTTGGTCGGGCAAGGAACCCGTGGTATGGAAAGTTTCCGGGCTGTTTAACTCGGAGATGCCACAAAGAATTTTAGCTTGATCCCCAGGTGCGGCAGGGCTTCGTCGAGCTCAGCGCTGGCAATGGCTTAGAGGACAGAAGTGCTGTCGCGCTGTCAGTTCCAGAATGTCGCGTCCCATATATTCCTGTTGGCCCTTTGGTCACGTCATGCCCGGATCCACTCCGCGAAGACGCCAACTTCAGTCAAGTATGAGTGCATCCACTTGGCGCTTGTAATTGTGTTGATTTCTGTCGTATTCGTGCGTTCGCCAGCGGCAGTGCCACTGCCGGCAAAAGAGAAGACTGGAGTGAAGATGAGTGGAAGGCCCGGAACAGGAGTCAGGGCCGCCTGTGCTTTCATATTACAGGGCTGGCGTGCCATGTATGCCCCTAACTTCAAGTATGGCGGTTTCGGCAAACTCGCGAGTGACAAACCCTTTCCCTTTCAAGTGTCATGCCGACCGAAAGCCATCCTTGCCAGTCAGGCATGACCGAGCCCGTGCCAAAGCCCGGAAGCCAGACTGAGCATCGTAGCCTGCTTACACCGAAAATGCGCTAGTAACCTAACGATCTCGGACCCTTGGACGTGCAAAGCAGCTGAGCTCAGCGCAGAGTGTGGCATGCTTCCGTTACGCGAAGCTCAAAGAGCGGAAACCGACACAGAGGGAAATGGACCAGACACGGATGGGCACGCAGCACGGCAGATACCTGCCAAGAAATCCTCAGGCCAGATCTGGCCAGAAATCGTTGAAACTGGCTTAGAGTCATTTCATTGCAACAGTTTTCAGAGAATTAAAGACATCCTCTGCCCTTCCTCGCATCGAATCTCTGACCTCCTATCACGTGAATCTGTGCTCGTGGCAGGATGTGGCGCTTGCAGCCTCGGAGGCACCGGTCCGGTGCAAGAGTTATAATTTGTAGATATACATATGGGTGGTTGTCAAACTTATGATCCCTTTTTGGGCACCCTAAGTATTAGGTGCCGTACTATATAAGGGACCCAGAAAGGGACCATAATTTTGACGACCACCCATATATAGAAAACTAGAGTTTGCATATGGCCAAGACGTTTCGGAACCTTGTCAGACTCAGGAAAGGAAGCCATTGCGTAGCCACACTGGAGTTGCCTCCAACTTGTGCAAGTTGCAACTGCAGGCGTCGAGCGCCGAAAGGCGCGCCACGAGGGTGGTCCCCGTAGGTCAATGTCACTGCGCAAGCTCTCCGCAGCTCCGAACTGAAGTTTGTACGGCTTGTGAAGGTGAGAGGCAGTAGCATCTCTCCAGGCAGCACTGCTGGCGGCTCGCACTCCGGCGGTCGACAGGCCTGCGTCTGCCAGGCGCACCCTTGCAGGCCCAGCGTGGGAGAGTGGAGGAATATATCGAGCTGCAGTCAGTCTTGGGGCAAAGAGGGCCTTCTCAAGGACAGACACAGGACCAGGAGTGTTTGCAGGCATCGCCTGGTGGACACTGTTAGGGTCCTGGCTAAAGAGCCATGCATTCTTGAGCCTTCTTTTTTGACATGAACTGCAATTCATCTGCAACGGTCTTCGATGGGCATGTTGCTTGCGTTGCGCGAGGTGGCAAACCCGTTCAGAACTCGCCTATGCGCGCGGCTCCCAGTAGGCCTGAAAGCACAGATCTCGCCAGACGTTCCGTAAACCAGGAGATGATGGACATTGCTGGCGTGGCGATGTCCACATTGGCCATGGGAGCTCTGGCCGCATCGAGGTGTTCCCAGCAAAACCCGGCGGTGCCAGCCACACCGTGGCTTTGCAGATGCTTCACCGTGCCATGAGTGCACGATGCCATCCGGCTCAGGAGACCATCCCAGCTTTAATGGCGAGGAGCGAAGGCAAGTCGAAATTCACGTGCTCTTGGTTTCTGAGACCGACCCATACTGACCCCGCCGCAGCCTCGCCGGTTTGCCCTCTGCGGCATCGTGGCTTGTCAGGGAAAGCGTGGCCTGGATCTGAGCTCTTAAAGTCAAAAAGGCCGCAAGCCACCGCAGAGGTCTGCAGTCTCGTTGAGGCGTCCCTTTACGCCACCGTCCTGCAAGATGCTGGCCTAGACACAAGCATCGAAGAGGCCCTCCCTCCCAGACTTGACGCGTCCTTGGTCTTCTCGGCCGGAATCGGTCGTATTCATGCACCATGTTGCCAGATATGCCAGCTGTCGCTTCCATCTCGCAAGAGTTACATCCCATCGAAGTTCTGCAGCAAATGCACCCGCCACTCACTGCCATGAAGCTACACTAGTAACTGCGAGGCACACACACACACACACTCCGTCATGAACTTCTTCACTCACCTCAAATTCAACATGGGCGTCGCTCGGAGACTGGCATCGTCCACGCACCTATTCGATGCGCTGCTCGCAATCGCACCCACTCACTCTCCCTATCATATGAAACGCAATGCCTCGCTCTCTGACTCACTGATTCACTGACTCACTCACGCGCCGATTCGCTCGCTTGCTCTACACCCTCAGCGGTCCTCACCCCTTTGATGCAGTCCGTAGGCGTCGATGACTCTCCACTCGCTGCTTCTGCGATCTGACACTGCTACTGGTACTGGTACTTGCCTACCGTCACTCACCGCTGCTCGCAGCATGCCGGTTGGCCATGGCTTGCCGCTCAAGTGCAGAATGCAGCAAGTGATCGCGTGACAGTCGTGAAATGATGAAAGCTAAGCCTTCAGCGGCTCCAGCGTGTTGAGAGAGCTTCACTGTTGCAAGGGTGTTTCAGTGCAGTATGAACGGCTTGCTCGGTTTCGGATGGGTTTGTGATGAATGTCTGGGTGGAGTCGGAGTAAACGGGCATGAAGGAGCCTCTTAAATTTGCGTGCTGGAGGTGCCGAGCCCGCTGCCGAGCCCTCTGCCGGTTGCGAACGAAGGCCAGCTAAGACGAGAGCAGGCTTTCGAAGCAGCTGGGAATATATCCCGTTTCAACCAGCATGAACACTGAACACTTTCTCAGTTGTCTCCCGCTGCGCTTGCACGGTTGCGTTTTTTGCAGCACATAAGCTGCCAAGATAATAGTATCTGAGCACAGAGCCGGAAGCTCGGAGGAGCGGTTGCTGCGTTGCCCCCCTCTACCTCTGCATTTTCTTCGCTGGATGATTTGATTAATGTGACCTCCGGACTTCCCCAGACAGGTGGCGGCGGCAGCTTCAGCTACCTGATGGAAGCAGTCGGCTCTTTTTTCCGTCACGCTAGCTGCGTGTGAATGTGGCCTTGATATGCTGCAGCGACTGTGACGGCATGGGGCGCTGCGGCGACTGTGAGGGGCACCTGGGGGCTGCAGCGACTGCTTGGGCTGCAGGGCGCCCACGAGGCTGCAGCGACTGTGAGGGCTTGGGGACTCTGACGGTCTGCAGTGACTGAGGGGCGCCTGAGGGGTTAGGGGGCTGCAGCGACTACTTGGGCTGCAGGGCGCCCACGAGACTGGGAGGGCCTGGGGACTGTGCCCGCAGAGGCCGCAGCGACTGCGAGGCTGCAGCGATTGTGAGGGCACTTGGGACCTCCAGCGACGGTGAGGGCACCTGGGGGGTGCAGCGACTCGCCCGCGCCGTCGGTCGTGGCTGGCAACATTTGGCTGGCAACATTTGGTGCGGCTCGGTGGCAACAATTCGGTGGCAACAGTTGCGAGGCAACATTTAGCGCGGCTCGGTGGCAACAATTGCGTGGCAACATTTAGCGCGGCTGGGTGGCAACAATTGGGTGGCACATTTAGCGCGGCTCGGTGGCGACAATTCGGTCGCATCAATTGGGTGGCAACAATTGCGTGGCAACATTTAGTGCGGCTCGGTGGCAACTTTGCCTTGGCAACATTTGGTGCGGCTCGGTGGCAACATCTCGGCGGCAACGTTTCGGCCGTGTCCTCCTCGTCGCCGCGTCGTCGTCGTTGCCGCGTCGGGTCGCGTCGTCGTCGTCGCTCTGTTGTCGGGTCGTCGTCGTTGTGGTTGCGTCGTCGTCTCATCGCCCTCTATACCGCTATCCTCACCCATCCTCTTGGGTCAGGAGTGAGGGGGAGCAATGAGGCCTGGGCACTGCAGCGAGGCTGGGGGCACGTGGGGGCTGCAGCGGGGGAGAGGCTGTTGTCGTCGCCGCCTCGTCGTCGCCGCGTCGTCATGTCCCGCCTCGGCGCGGCTCGGTAGCGACATTTCGGTGGCGACATTTCGGTGGTGACATTTCGGTCGCGACATTTCGGTGGCAACATTTCGGTGGCACCATTCGGGCGCGGTCGTTGTCACCGCGTGTTCGTCGTCGCCTCGTCGTCGCGTCGTCGTCGCCGCATCGTCGTCGCCGCATCGTCGTCGCTGCGCCTCGTCGTCCCTTCTGGGTTAGGTGAAGTGAAGAGGAGCAATGAGGCCTGTGAGGCTCGGGGGCTGCAGCGACTGTGAAGGCACCTGGGGCATGCAGCGACCGCTGAGCCTGCAGCGACTGTGGGGGGCACCAGGGGGCTGCACCGACTGTGCACCTGGGACCTGCAGCGACCGTGAAGGGCACCTGTGGGGGCTGCGAACTCGCCCGCGCCGTCGCCGCGTCCACGTCGTCGTGTCGCATCGTCGTCGCGTCGCATCGTGGTCGCGTCGTCGTCGCGTCGTCGTCGCGCCGCCCTCACCTCTACCCCGCTATCCTCACCCCATCCTCTTGGGTCAGGAGCTAGGACCCGCGGAAGGGTGCAGCGAGGGAGGGCGGCTGCGCATGCCTGGGCTCTGTGAGGGCAATGACGGCACCCAGCAAAGCAGCGAGGGCACCTGTGAGAGGGCACTTGGAGCCTGGTGAGCTTGAGTGGGCAGTGAGGGTGTCTGTGAGGGCACCTGCATGAAGCCTTAATTTGCATCCAGTGAAGGCACGAGGGCAGCCGGGGCTGTGAGGGCACCCATGGACATGCAGCGATTGTGAGGGGGGAGCAGCGACGGTCTGGGGGCAGCTTCGCCGCATCGTCGTACCCCCATCCCCCGCGCGGTCGCCGGCTCGTCGTCGCCGGCTCGTCGCTTACTCGTCGCTTCCCGCGCCGTCGTCCTCACCGGTACATCCTCACGTCTATCCTCACCGGTATGCTCACCACTATCCTTACCCGGTCCTCACCGCCGCGCCGTCGTCGTCGTCGTCTCCACGCCGCCGTGTCATCGCCGGAAGCCCCACCGGAATCCTCACTGCTATCCTCACCCCGCGCCGTCATCGCCGCCTCGTCGCCACTAAATCCTCACCGCTATCCTCACCCCGGCGTCGCCGCGTCGTCGCCTCGTTCATGCGGTATCGGCCCACATTGTCCGCTGCGGTACCACCCACTATCCTCACCTCTATCCTCGCCTCTTCCTCGCCTCTTTCCCGCCCCGTCGTTGCCCGTCCTCACCCACTCTCCTCACCCGCTATTCATCCTCTTCATTCAGGAGTGAGGACCCGAATCAGGAAGCGCCTGCAGCGAGGCATCCGTGAGGCAGCCGCTTAGGGCAGGCGCACCCACGCACGCGGCAGGCACCTGCAGCGAGGCTGGGGGCTGCAGAAACTTGTGAGGGCACCTGTGACCTGCAGCGACTGTGAGGGCCTGGAACGGTTGGGGGCTGTGGATTGTCAGGGCACCTGGGACCTGCAGCGACTGTGAAGGTGTCTGGAAGGCTGCAGCGAGGGCACTCGGCAGCGAGGGCATTCGGCAGCGAGGGCACCTGTGAGGCACCTGGAGAGACTGGGTCACCGCGTCGTGGTCGTCGCATCATCGTCGCCACGTCGTCGCCGCGTTGTCGTCGCAGCCGTCGCCACGTCGGCGCCGCATCACCTCTATACCTCCATCCTCTGCCTGCGGGCGTCGTCGCCGCGTCTCGTCCTCTCACCCCATCCTCTTGGTCAGGAGTCACAATGAGGGGGGCGGTGAGGGCGCCCGTCAGGACTGCAAAGGGGCCTTTTGTGAACTGAAGGGAGGCAGGGCAGAAGACCGAGGCTGGGCCGGGAGTGCAAGAGGGCAGGCCTGAAGCCAGAAAAATGGGCGCCCAGTTGCGCCGCTCTTCGGTGCAGCCAGGTGCAACCGCGCCCTTGGCCTGGATGGTACTGCAGCGGGCGCATGGAGGCTTCGGCTGGAGGTGACCGGAAGCGGCTGTGCAACCAGGTGCACCCAGGTGTCGCATCGTCATCGCGTCGTCGTGGCCGCGTCGCATCCCGCGTCTCGCTCCCATCGTCGCTTCGTCGTCCCATCGTCGCCTCGTCGTCCCAGCCTCGCCGCGTCGTCGCTCGTCGTCGCCGCGTCGTCTTCGTCGCGTCGTCCCCGCCGCATCGCCGTCGTCGTCAGCCGGTTCACCGCCGCCCCCTCAGTTGCGCCTCGGTGACTGCCGTCAGCTTCCGAGCGGCTCGCCCGTCACCGGTCGCCGTCGTCGCCGCAGCCCATCATCAAGCGTTCACACGAATGCACCGCAACGCCGAGCGGCTCTTCAGCCCTGGTTTGAAGTCTCGCAGCTGCCTGACCTCGCTGTACGCTCAGCGTTTCTCAGGGGGCACAGGCAAAGCGTGCTTGTGCTTTACCAAAGTCTCCATCGGAGTTGTTAGAAGGTTGGAGGTAGAGCTGCACTTCCCCCGCGGAGGGCAGCTCTCCAGGCATGCATTTCACGATGTTATGGTCGCCGCTGTTCACGGTGGTCGCCCTGCGCCTGCACGCCGAGGTGGGCCGGGCTCGGCAAGGAGACTGCAGTGCGCCGGGCTTGGAAGCTTGGAAAGTGCTGGGGCATCTGGGGCTTGGGGACTATGTGGAAGTTGCAAGGCTGCAAGGCCTCCAGCCTCCAAGCTGGGCTTGGAGGCTGCACCGTCCCATCGTCGTCAGTCGGCGCACCCAGCTGCAATCAAGTGCATTCAGGTGCACACCGCCGCTCCCTCCCTTGTGCCGCGCCGGCCCCGCCGCCCCTCCTGCCCCGTCGTCGTCGCCGCGTCGTTGTCGCGTCGTGCTCTACCTCTATCCTCACTCTCACTGCCACGTCCGCCGCGCTGCTTTACTTCTACGCCTACCACGTGAAGGCACCAAGCTCCTACGTCCCCGCGTCGTCGTCGCTGCGTCGCCACATCGTCGTCGTCGTCGGCGGCGTCGTTGCGTCGTCGTCGAGTTGTCGCCGCGCCGTCCTTCTTGCCATGTTCTTGCGTCGTCGTCGCATCGTCGGCGTCGTCGTCGTCATCGCCGCGTCGTCCCCCTTCGTTGCCGTCGCCGGGTCGTCATCGCCTCGTTGTCGCCGGGTCGTCGTCGCCGCGCCGCATGAAAAAAA